TGGAATTCTAATGTAACACAAAACCCAACTTGGAATACTATAATAGACTTTACTAACCTCGCTGATGGTGATTATTATTATTATTATTGTTCCCTTGGGTTCCTAGTGGAACATAGGGCTTCAACTGCACGTCTCCACTTGCCACTTCTGTCTTCCTTCTGCTGTACTTTTCACCTGCATCCATCCATGTTAGTTAGTCCATACTGTTTCAACTCCTCTTCACACGACCTCCTCCTCCATGTCACCCCTACACCGACGTACCACTCGCCACTTCCTTTTTGACTTCCACTCGAGCAATGGCCTGACGCGCTCGCGCGATGTCACCCAGCGAGCGAGTGTCCGATCCATCTTTTTTCACTTTCTCTTGCATATTTGTTGGTTGGCGATTGATTGGTTCTTGTTTTGTTTGTTTCCATAATTTGGTGATTGTTAGTGATTCTTTCCGACCCGGCCATCTGATCTTCAGTATAGAGAGAGCGAAGACAGTTGTTGGTGAAGGTTTGCCACTGGCTATTGGAAATATTCTTTGTGACCCGTCCGCCAAGTTTCTCATCCGTATAGATGAACTGACTGACTGAATTGACGTTGTTTGTATTGAAAATCCGACCGAATTTTATTGTCGATGCTGGCTGAGTGACGAAGATTGGTGTCTGGTTGACGAATGTGTTTCTCGCCTTCCGGATTCTCGCTCGATCTGATTGATATTCTCATCCGTTCCTCGTGTAGTTGAGACAATGCTCCCTAGATAAGCGAATGAAGTGACCTCTTTCAAATCCCTCCCGTTGATGGGGACTGACGCTGGATGTTGCTGTTGTTGTTGTTGGTTGTTTGGTTATTTTCATAACCTCCGTCTTGTCTATGTTCACCTGGAGTCCTGTCTTCTCTGTCAGCTCCTTCGACCAGTTTGTCGGTCGGTTTTCGCTTGTAAGTCTTCGATTTTGTGACAGTGACATCAAACATAAATCATCCGCACGCGAAATCCAGGTCTTCTAGGTCCTTCACGTCGGTTCAGGATATCCCTGTCTTCTCGTTTCCCACTCACTGTCTGACGCATAATCCAGTCAGTCCACCACAATTAAGAATATCATTGGTAATAATAACCACCCTTGTCTGAATGACTCCTGTGTTTACTCCAAACGCCTCGCTGAGTTTTCCGTTGTGGATCACTTGACATGTCCCGTTGTCGTACAGCTGTTGAATAAGGTTAATGAATATTTGGGGTACGCCGTAGTATTCGAGTAGTTTCCAAATTACTTCGCGGTCAACGCTGTCGAAGGCCTTCTCAAAGTGTATTAGTTGAAGTAGAGGTTTGATTGCCATTCCATGCTTTGTTCTGTGATGATGATGATGCGTAGAGTTGCAATTTGGTCAGAACATGATTTACCTTTCCTGAATCTAGCTTGTTCTGGTCGGAGTTCTAGATTCAGTGCGTCCTTTATTCTCTCCAGGATGATGCCACTCAGAATTTTAATTGGTGTGGACATCAAACCCAACTTGGAATACTATAATAAGCCTTACTAACCTTGCTGATGGTGATGATGACGATGTTGATAATGTTTATATCCTAGAGTCCAAAGGTTACGAAAAGCAAATGAGGTATAGTTTTACTAGATGTGGATTTTCAACTCCAATATGAAGTCAGGGCTACTTGCTCTACGGATCATAGACCTGGTGCCGCAGCACGAAGAGTACTTTGAACAAACTACAGACCTTCATCAATCAACAGCTGCATTCTCTCAATACTGCTGAAGATCAGATGGCTAGCTAGAAAAAGGACAGCAACAACAACAGGGATCTCTGGCAATAATGAATGAACCAACCCAACAGGAACACATTGTGCCACAAATATGCAGGAAAAAAAATAGAGTTGGATTGGCCATACTCTGAAATCACACCCCAGGCCATCGCTTGAATGGGACCTGAATGGGAAGCCGTGAGTTGGTTGTCAATACGTGGGTGATATAGAGGAGGTTATACGAAGAGGAGATGAAAACAATTGAGCAGATGTGGAGCCAGGAGAACCGAACGCAATGGAGACGTGCGGCTGTGAACCCCTACGTTCATCTAGGAACTAAAGGAAACAATAGTGATAATAATATACTGGAAACCTGGAACGACAACTCATTCGGCTTATGTGTGGAGCGTTGAAGTGTAATTAGTGGGTATTATGATATATTTACATATCATCCTTTGAGAAGTCTCTTGATTACTATATATATTTTATATCAATGCATGTGGATAATACTCAAGATCAGATGGCCAGAAAAGATCAGCAACAGGCATCTCTAGGAACGGACCAACCAACCAGGAACCGATTGTGAAACAAGTAGGCAAGAAGAAATGGGGATGGATTGGCCATACTCTGAGGAAACCATCAAGTGACATCACTAGACAAGCCATCGCTTGAGTGGAACCCGAAAGGCAAGTGGCGAGTTGGTCGTCAGTGCAAGGGTGACTTGGAGGAGGTGATGTGAAGTGGAGATAAAAGCTTGTGGGTAGATTTGGAGAGGGGTGAAAAAGTTGACAGAAAACAGAGGGCATTGCAGATGCGCAGCTGAAGCCCTATTTTCCTCTAGGAATTAAAGGATAAAATAATAAATATACTCTTTTATATCGACGCATGCGGATACTTATGGAAACCAATTTGATTGGGTAATGCATAAGTTTTAAATAGAGGAAACACTAAAAGTACTGCCAGGAAATCTCTCCAACTCTGGTTGGTAGGTACTCAAATGAATCGGCGATCAATACATACACATTACTTCACACCAAATTTACTAAGTAATTAAACATAAGCGCCACATGACAAGAAAGTTCGAATTCCAAGTCATTAAAAATGATGAGTAGGGTGGTAGATTAACAACCAGTTACGACAACAAAAGTTGTCAGGTGATACAATTACATCATCGAAGGAGAATCTGGTTGAGTTCATCTATTACTAACACCTGCGCTGAAGGGGGAAGTTGTTTGGAAGAACGATGAGAGCTTCGTAATTAAATCAACCAGCCAGCTCAGAGAACACAAGTAATTTAATATCATCAAAAATTCCCATTCGAACATTAATAGACCAGTAGTTCAGTGAAGAGTGTTGTCGGCGAATTCATTTTCATAGCTGTACAATCGCATATATATATATATATATATATGGCTGTTATGTCTGTCTGTTTTCGATATAGAACTTTGCACCGATGTGCAGAAGTTCAAGTCGCCACACTCCCTCCATGTACCACACAAACCAAGAGAAGAAAGTAGAAGAAATGCATAATACAGACAGTAAACAGAGGTGTGAGACAAAGGAATAGTAATAACGAAGAACAATATAGTTTCATTGGAAATCATAAGTCACAAGGAGTGGATGCATCTGAGATTTTCAGCCATATCACCAATTGTCTCCAGCCACTGGTTTGTACCCTCCCAAGGACACCAACCAGTTAGGAAGTCTACACCTTCCTACGTGGCTGGCTTAAACTAACTGTTGTAGATTTCATTGACTGGCGAAGCCATGTTTTGGTTTGACCACCAGGTGCTAGCTCTTTTCCAGCCTGACCCTATATCAGCTAACATTGCACATCGGTCGAGGAAGGCGATGACTAGGTTAGACATACGTAACACATGTCCTAACCATCTCAGTTGATGTAATTTCACAGCCTCATCGATTGATTTCCCCTCCTTACCTAGCACTTGACGCCCAACCACAATATTGCTCAGTCATACCACTTTAAACGGGAGATAGAGCGCAGGCATCTATGATCGAAGACAGCTAATCTTTTCATGTCTTCCACTCTCAGTGGCCAGGTCTCACCCACAGCCATAGAGGAGGACGGACCGGACTGATGGTTGTTTTGTGTGTGCACATTAAATTTGTCAAACGGAAATACAATTAGTAAGTTCAGATGAATTGGATGTTGATACAAGAGGGTAGTATAACAAAAGTGATGAGTTGTCAAACACGATTCTCAAAGAAGACTTACGTAATAAGATGAATAGTTTGATGAAAGAATTGTGTTCAGGGTGTATGTGGAAACAAAATAACATACGAAATTACGCAAGGATTTTAAGTAGTTAGAAAAGTATGCAAACAAAAGTTAAGTCAAATCAACGGAGTTGTTATCATAATAGTAGAAGTGGTTGAATAATTTTCTTTTGTATGCAAAATTCTGGTTCCACCAACTGAATGGCTAGGGCTTCTGCAATACGAAAAAGACGGAAACGTGTTATCTTTGACAGGCAGGTTGTTCTTCACTTTGTGGATTACTTTGAAGGAGGAGGCGTTTGTTGAGATGGAATGACTAGTGGTGACGAGATGTTCGGTTATTGCACTCCATGCTGGATAGTGTTCTTTGACCCTTTTCGACAGGATGTGTGTCGAACAACCGATGTACCTGGCTGGGTGGCACCACGGCAACAGGTGAACTGATATATACACACATAGAAGTAGCCAGATGCGAGATCTTGTCCTTTGGGATTCCTGAGTTACACAAATCTCCATTATGACGGTGTTTGTACAAAGTAACAAGACGTTTGTCAGGCCTGAAGAGGCTATACTCGTTTGTCCTCAAATACATGTATTTGGAGCATTTTGAAGAGCTATTGCTGTTGTTAGTGTAGGCGCTTTAATCCCTTACTCCACCTGATTGGCATCGTTTGGGCAGTTATTCAGGTGGTAGTATTGTTAGTTTATTCCCTTTGGCGTGGAATTGCAATTCCTTAGGCAGCACAGTAAGAGAAGGAATACACTCATCAGTAAAAACATCTCCTTTTCAGTATTTGAATTGTCTTCAATATCTTGACATAAACTATCCCTCATCTCATCATTTAGGACTAGAAGGAATTATCAAAACAGACGTTATGCTCACTCGACTAAATATTAAAAACTCAACGGGACTACCTTCTCTTCAGAATTTTAGTACAGAAACTACTTTCTCGAATCTTGCTACAACCGTCAGCCTTATCTCTAACCGTTTTGTGTTGTCATACCGATTTATTACTTTATATTTTAGCTTCTCTTCGAGGTTTAACTGTCCACCGGGGTTCATTACTGTGCTCCACTGATAACTGGCTGTCATAAAACTTGTTATCAATCTAATGTCATCGTCAAATATTCTGCTAATTACAGGCAAACCAGGTATGTGAGAAGCGTTTTATGTTTTCCTACTCATGTTATGGCTGACAGTTATTCATAGTATTGAATATTCATTATATTATATATTCATTATAATTATATTGTTATTGTTTCTCGTGTGGAGCATAGGACTTCAACAGAACGTCATGATTTTGTCCTATTTTCTGCAGTCCCCTTCAACTGGCCCGACAATTGTTCATAAGCTGTCATCTCCTCTGTGTCACCATCAAACGCCTCACTCGTCGTTTATAATTCAGGTTTCAATCTAGCGATGGCTTGGCGATGACGCGATTTCACTCGACGATCTCCTAAGCTTGTGTCCGGTCCGTCTGAGTACTGGTGTTGGAAATTCGAATTTTTACGTTTATTCTACAGATGCAGAGATTTTCCAAACTGATTTCATAGTGATGAAAGTTTGTCTTGCCTTTGCAGTTCTCGTTTTCACATCCTCATTTGTACGGATTGCCTGCAGTTGATAGGATGCTTCCGAGATAATTGAAGTAATTGACGCCTTTCGAATTTATTCGATTGATAGTGATTGGTGCTGGTTGGTGATGCAGAGTCTTCTAAACACCTTGAGCTGCAATCTACGAATGTTTGGCATGCGATTCGCTCCCGCCAAATGTAAGATGATGGTGCAAGACTGGAACTACACTGACTCCTAGTTTAGAAATAGGCAGTGAAGTGGTAGAGCTAGTTGACCGCTTCACTTATTTGGGAAGTTGCATCAGCCAATGTCAACGGGTTAATCTCTGACGAAATCTCAGTACGGATACAGAGGGCTAGTTTCGTATATGCCATTTTACTCCATCACTAGCGTACACGCGATATCCAGCTGGCTATCGACCAAAGGACTTGTGTACTACTCAGCAGTCCTCCTTTATGGCCAGCTGTGAGACATGGCCACTGAGAGTGGAAGACATGAAAAGATTAGCTGTCTTCGATCATAGATGCCTGCGCTCTATCTCCCGTTTAAATTGGTATGACTGAGCAATATTGTGGTTGGGCGTCAAGTGCTAGGTAAGGAGGGGAAATCAATCGATGAGGCTGTGAAATTACATCAACTAAGATGGTTAGGACATGTGTTACGTATGTCTAACCTAGTCATCGCCTTCCTCGACCGATGTGCAATGTTAGCTGATATAGGGTCAGGCTGGAAAAGAGCTAGCACCTGGTGGTCAAACCAAAACATGGCTTCGCCAGTCAATGAAATCTACAACAGTTAGTTTAAGCCAGCCACGTAGGAAGGTGTAGACTTCCTAACTGGTTGGTGTCCTTGGGAGGGTACAAACCAGTGGCTGGAGACAATTGGTGATATGGCTGAAAATCTCAGATGCATCCACTCCTTGTGACTTATGATTTCCAATGAAACTATATTGTTCTTCGTTATTACTATTCCTTTGTCTCACACCTCTGTTTACTGTCTGTATTATGCATTTCTTCTACTTTCTTCTCTTGGTTTGTGTGGTACATGGAGGGAGTGTGGCGACTTGAACTTCTGCACATCGGTGCAAAGTTCTATGTCAAAAACAGACAGACAGATTAGTGCTGGTTGGTTATCTTTATGACCACCATCTCTATGTTCATTTGAAGTCCTGTCTTTGCTGCTTGCCTCTTTCTGCAACTTGTTGGCTTTTGCCTCTATTGGTCTTCGAATTCATGTTATATTAGATATAAGTCGTCCGCAGAGCCCAGATCTTATACAGTATTTTTGTCTGTCCAATATATTCCTATCTTCTCGTACCCCCTCCATCTCCCCCGCCACACACGCACACGGTGTTCCGCATAATCCAGTCCACCACAATTAGAAATATCATCGTTAGGGGTAGTAAGCAGCTCTGTCTTACTCATGTATTCACTTCTAAGGTTTCTTCGCTGACTTTTCCGTTGTGATATCACTTGACATTTGGTATTGTCTGTTATATAGCAGCAGCTCTTCAATGAGATTGATAACAATTTCGAGATGCCTCATAGTGCTGAAATCGTTTCCGAATTGCTTCTCAGTGTCAGCACTGTCAAAAGCCTTGTCAAGGTCGATGAAGTAGAGAAGAGCAGAGGTTGAAGTCGCCCTTCTTTTGTAGTTTATCAAGGTAGCCTTTCTTCCAATCACTAGGTACCTTCACTTCCTTGCAAACGTTTTCCAATACTAGCGTAAGAATATCCGCTGAAGTCACTAGTTTCTCTCTCAGTGCCTTAGGGGGAATCCCCTCTCGTCCTGCTGCCTCCTCAGCCTTCAACAGCTTGATTGCAGTTGACACAGTAGTTTGACAGATAAGTAAACTAAAAGATTTGAACAAAAAAAGAAGGAACGTTGGCGCAGAATGATCTGGATCCATTTTATTTCGTCATTTGTACTGTTTGGGTGGTAATAATAAAATATTAGTAATAGTTACATGAGGTCAGATGAGAAGTTGATGATGTAATACAATGAGCAGAACTTAGAAGATCAAGAAAAATTATCTCTTAAGAGAGAGTCAGGCGAAAAATAAAGCCGTGTGTGGAGTGAAAAGATAAGTTAACAAAATTAGAAAACAAAGTGTTACTAAAAAGTGAGTCACCAGGGTAATTGAAGTTCAACAATGGATTCTTTTTGGACACGTAGGTCAGGCTTCAATCGTTTTATTGTTATAGCTTCAGAAAAGGTGAGAAGACTTGAGGTACTGTGTCTGTTAATTATTTTGAATGATTCCAGCACATCTACCCGGTGTCCTGTGTCAATCAGGTGTTTGGGAGATTGAAGAGCTTAAATAATTTGGTCCCTTTAACCGGAAGCTCGTTCTTTGGTGCATGTTCGCCGAATCGAACGTAGGCCCTCCTCTCTGTTCTTTCAATGTAACTGCTCCCGCATGTGAGGGGTACTTGTCAATCTTTGACTGCACCAGTGAGGAGTTTGTTCGCAATAGAGAGACTAATAATGCTGCAAGATACGTCCTAGACAGGGCTTAGCCTAATATTTTATTTACCATTTTCATAATATCGTCACTCTTGTAGTCGAGTTTGATGAAAATAGGCTTCTTACTGGCTGTAGCTGTATCAAGCTTCTTGAGTTCATTTTTGCCATATTTGTTAATGAAATTTTGTGGGTAACCATTTTCTTTCTTTTTCTTGATCTTCTGAGTTCTGCTCACTGTATTATTACATCATCAACTTCTCATCTGACCTCATGTACACCCAAAATTTTGATATTCTCTTATCTAATTACGTAACTATTAGTAATTTCCTTGTGTTACCACCCCAAAAACACAACTGTTAATTATTTTTTTCAAGAAACTTCTCTCTAACAATATATATATGTATATATATCGTAACACTTTAGACACCTTGTAAATCGCAACGCCTTATTTCACTATGACCCTCTGACAACATGCTAGCTAATGGACAAAAGTTTGTTGAAAAATCGTACACTTTTTTATTTTACTAAAGAATTCAGGTTGTTTGCAGCTGCTGATGAGAACCGACGAAATAAAATCGATCCAGATTATTCTACACCAATGTTTCTTCTTTCTTTGTTCAAATTTATAAAAGGGAATCATTGTGTGAAACTACTCGCCACGGATGACATTGGCAAGCGGTTGCGCTGTATCATGAATTGGCTGAAGCTAGAATTCATGGGTTGGCCGTTGGATCGAGTCCCACTGGCTTAATGGTCTACGAGCTCGGTAACCTTGAAACCAGAAGGCTCTGGGTTCGAACCCCGATGGGCGCGTACTGATGAAGAGTCCCAAGCTAGGACGAAATGGCTGTCCAATACTGCCTCGTGGCTTTCCACTGGTTCTCTAACCAACGTTAGCTCATGATGAAATCTCGTCTCAGAGTATGTTGGGATGTTCGCATTTTCGAGTCGACCAAAAGTGGTGGCACTTTTAGGCTGTTAGACCTATGTTTTCTATTAGTCCTGACCTCACAAGTTGAGAACCCCCTCCGCTCAACACAGTGTAGACAACTTAAACTGTTAAACCCACCGGTCTTAGTCTAATTGCTATCTGAACATCCTTTCTGACATCGTAAAATCTCATCCAGTATAGCTCATCGGGTCATTGCGATATGCATACTCGACCACCTTGACAAGGTAGCAAATATTGTCAGATACTGTAATTTTGAATTTATCTTGGGCATATTTTGAGTGTTAAAACTTAACACTGTGTCATGAAGACACAGTTCTTTCATTCTGTTTTTATGATTCGACTTCTTGAAGTTTCATACTGCTTTTGGAAATAGGTATGATGAAGTTTGTGGAAATTCGTACCTTTTCTTCCAATATATCTCTGTGTGTGTGCGAGTTGTCAAGTGTGGTTCTACATAAAATTCCAAGGATATTTAACTACTTCAGCTTGCGCAATATGAGTATTCTCCATGAACATATTATGTGAATCTGTTTTGGTCAATTTGAAGCGTATGAGCGATCCAGAAGTGCAACTGCACCAATGACCTGGAACGGATGCTCTAGTCACAGGGTTTCATCATGAGCTGACATCGGTTAGATAACCATTGGAAAGCCAGCTGGGAGTACTGAACAACTGTTTCGTCCCAGTTTAGGACTCTTCATCAGCATGCACCCACCATAGGGGTTCGAATCCAGGACCTTATGATTACAAGGCTAGCGAGCTCGTAGACCATTAAGCCACTGGGCTTCGGTCCGCTGGCCAATCTATGAATTCTAACTTCTGCTAATTCATGTAATAGCATGACCGCTAGCCAATGTCATTCGTGGCGAGTATTTGTCCTCACACCCGACCTGCTGCATCCTACTGGTCACGGCTTCTTGCTAGAACCCAGGTAACTACCTACCTGAATACGGTTAGTCGCTAGCGAGCATCATTGATTTTGAAGTATTGATTTGTAGGGATTTTGATTGATCGGTCACAGGATTTCATCATGAGCTGACATCTGTTAGAGAACCATTGGAAAACCAGCTGGGAGTACTGGACAGCTGTTTCGTCATTGTTTGGGACTCTTCATCAGTACGCACTTCACAGAGTTTCGAACCTGTTGTCAGTTCATGGTGAAATCCTGCAACCAATCAATAAAATTCCTGCAAACCAATACTTGGATACTCTAGTTGTTAGATAACGGGACCTGCCGTTATTATAGCGCCAACCATTACGAGCGCTATTCACGAATCGAGGTGCAAATTTCTTCCGGATCTCGTTTCTAAGTATTGTTTAGGTTGATGAGTTGTTACCGTGATGTGATGCTTCTTTTGTGTACATCCGGCGGTGTTTGTTCAGAAGCTACTGATCGACGTGTATTGAAGTGTTATACACTGTGTAGGAAATGAATTAGTTGTCGGAATGGCAAGTTACAAACTCAGTTAATTCATTTCTAGGAACTTCCCTTCATAATTCCAAGCTGTTACTGACAGATATACTTCTTGTCTGCTATTATTGCGTATTAAAGTCTGCGTGTGAGATTGACGGCCACACAGAGGGAGAATTTGTTGGTGTCCACTGTAAAATGGTACCATCATTGCAAAGGTATAACATCCTGGAAAATGTATACTGTCATGCAGCTGTTCTAAGGAATAAGTGTTATTATTCATATTGATGAAACCAATCTGATAAACAAGAAATATAATCGCGGCTGCCCTAGAGTGAATAATCTTTGGGAAGTGTCTATAAGTATGTGTATATGTGCTTTGCGCCGTCTAAGTGCAAAGTACTGTTACAAGATTGGCAGGAGCATGTACCTGCACTCACTCTTGCGGGTGAACCGCTTGAAGTTGTTGATAAGTCTCTGTATCTGGGTAGTTGTGTGAGTGCTGGTGGGGAGGGGTGACGGATGAGATTTCCAACCGTATAATGAAAGCTAGGGTGGCATGCATCGACTTGAGCCACTTCTGGCGCCGTCACAACGTTAGCCTGGCTCTCAAAGGTCGGGTATACGATGCTTCGGTGCGGGCCTGTGGAACCTGGCCTCTCTGAGCTCAGGATGTGCAGCGGCTCTCCGTGTTCGATCATCGCTGTCTCTGTAGGACTGCTTGCGTTCGATGGCATCATCGTGTTAGTGAGTAATTCGGAGGTTCAGCGGCGTGTGTTTTAACACAGTGGAGATCACCATTCATTGAGTGTCGTCATCTGGAAACACCGGCTCTGGTGGCTTGGAAATGTGCTGCGAATGTCATCCCAGAGGCTTCCGTACAGGTCTTTGTTCGCTAGCCCTGGGACGGGATGGAAAAGGCGGAGGGGTGGTCAGTCCATGATGTGGCGTCGTGGGATGATGGGTTTTTGTGCTAGATTAGCATCGGTTGGTGCGTCACGACTCCCTGGTTGGGGTCGGAGAGATAGCTCAAATCGATGGCTCGAAACGTTATTGGATATGGCCGAGAATCGTAATCAGTGGCAAACGTGTTGCAATTTCCTTCTTTCTTCCCTTCCCGATGATAGTTAACGAATACTGTTTGAACTTGTTAAGCATGACTGTTTTCCTTCCAGATGAAGTTCTTTATTCGTTCTCTACTTATATTTTTACTTTGAATCTATGTTGTTTTATTACTATTATTGTGTGACGCATCCTTCTTGGTGCCATATTGTACCAAGTTTTTTCTGCGTTTAAATGAATAAATAATTGTGGAAGCGATTCCTGATTGTTGTGAAGAGATTCTTCGACCTACTATACAAGGGTTGATCATTCCTTCTTCATACAAACGAATAGGCCGGATACAATCGGTTATGAGATTTAGGTTTCATCTGTCATCATGTGAATCATTGAAGAGATTTTATCCATCCCCTTACTGGAATCTATGCTAATTCGATCGAAGGCTTTTGGAGAAGACTGAAAATTACAGGATAGGAACGATAAGTTGGTCACAAAAAGTCACGTTAGGGGAAAAATATCCTCTTTAATGTATTTTATCAGCTGTTCTCAGTACTTGTCTCGCGTATATAAATATCAATTAGAGAATCATTGAAAACAACCACGGAGTGCTGGACAGCTGTTTTGTCCTAGTTTTTGGGAATCATCGGCAGTACGCACTCACCTATCAGGGTTCGAACCCAGAACCTTCCGGCTACAAGGCGAGCTCGTATACCATTCAGCTGGAATTCACAGACTGGTCATTGAATCAGGTCCCAGTGACTGATTGGTGTACGAGTTTGCCTTGTAACCGGAAGGTCCTAGATTCGAATCGTCTGTGGTGGATGTGTACTGCCGATGATTCCCAAAAACTAGGATGAAACAGCTGTCCAGTACTACCTACTTGGTTTTCAATGGTCCCCTAACTGGATATCATTCCGTGGTGAAACTCGTGAAAACAACTCTAATCCTTACAAATCAACTCTTGAAAATCTTTTTTTTTTTTTAAAAATGTAAAAATCAATAATGGGTTTTCTGATAATTGGTGTCACTACAAGGTTAATCGTACGTTCGCATTCTATGAATTGCTATCGTTAAACTTTGGCGCCATTGATTGTAGGGATTGTTGGGTGTTTTCCAAACCTTTTATATTTAATTGTTGGTGTTTCATTGCTTCACTAGGCAATTACATCGCTTACTAATGAAGTTATTGTCGAAGAGTTCGCTAGACCTGATGATGATGATGATGATGATAGACTCACGACTGGACAAAAAATATCTCGGATCACTAGAAGACGACTGTCGATAAGATCCCAAGCTACTGATGCCCTTTAGCTATCATAAAAAATATTCGTTTAGATAATTATTTAACTGATTAAAAATGCCCATTAAAATTTTCAGAAGAATGAATACTAAACAAAGAGTATACTCTTTTCGATAACCCCTTCATCATCAGGCTTCACAGTTATATATCCATCCATTATAGTGAATGAATGAATGAATGAATTAGTGCTATGAACAACACCATTAATGTTGCTGTTTAAATAACATCGAATCAACAATATTGATAGATTACAGCTCAATGACAGCACCAACATAAAATAATAAGCTGAATGTCAGAAAAATTAGGAGAGATAATATTAGAAATTCATGAATTTATCGTCTTTTCTGAAGGCTGGCCAGGGCAGTAGTAGTGGCTGGCTGGACTTGCTTCTTTTGAACACAGAGCACTGGTTGTTTCACGCGATTCGTGATAGACTCTGCTGTTTGGTGTATGTGGTACCTCGATATTTTTATCAATTTATTCGGTACCCGGTACATGATGATAGAGGAGGATTCTTCTACGCTGGCTTTGTATCCTGTTTGAACCAGATGGTCCCATATCGAACTGTCAATGGTTTTCACTACACCTTTGGTTAGAAAATCAGTTCAAAGAATCTTTAATGGTGGAGAACTACACGTTTTATTCTCTACACGATCGATGGTTCCACCTCGACTTAAAGATGAAGTACCTAGGCTATCCACTTGAAATTGTATCTAACACTTCAACTGCGCTCGGTGTGGAGCGAATTATATTGGCCGTTGCTCTAGGAACTTGATTTTTTGTGCTCGAGAACATATCCCTTTATGGCTAAGTAAAGGTGTAATTAAAACCATTAACAGTTCAATATTGGGCAATCTGGTGCAAACCGGATACAAAGCCAGCGTAGAAGAATCCTCCTCTATCATCATGTACCGGGTACCGAATAAATTGACAAAAATATCGAGGTACCACATACACCAAACATCAGAGTCTATCACGAATCGCGTGAAACAACCAGTGCTCTGTGTTCAAAAGAAGCAAGTCCAGCCAGCCACTACTACTGCCCTGGTCGGCCTTCAGTAGAGACTATAAATTCATGAATTTGTAATATTATCTCTCCTAATTTTTCTGACATTCAGCTTATTATTTTATGTTGGTGCTGTCATTGAGCTGTAATCTATCAATATTGTTGATTCAATGTTATTTAAACAGCAACATTAATGGTGTTGTTCATAGCACTAATTCATTCATTCATTCATTCACTATAATGGATGGATATATAACTGTGAAGCCTGATGATGAAGGGGTTATCGAAAAGAGTATACTCTTTGTTCAGTATTCATTCTTTGGAAAATTATTTTTCAACAGTTTTCTTTTGTGTTTTATATGTACTGTAAGTAAAATTTAATTTTCCCTCTCTCCACCTTAGGTATTGGAAAAACCACTCTAATCTCTCGTGTTTTCGATGAACTCTCTAAAAAGGCAGGAATTCATGTCGTAGGCTTCAAAACAGAAGAAGTTCGTCAGACATCGTATTCTGGAAGATCAACTCGTCTAGGATTTGATATAGTATTGCTTGACTCATCGCGAAGATATCCTCGAGCTTCATTAGCACGTCTAGCAACGACGGCAACTAATGAATCAAATCAACAGTTACAGCGTAGATTACCTCGTGTTGGCCAATACAATGTAGATATACCGTCGTTTGAGAGTTTAGCTGTTCCTTGTCTACAGGTGAGTTCACTAGATGATGATAAATTGTGGTATTAGTAGTAATAGCGTAACGACAGAAGACAAGGGCCAGGGAACAGATCGTTTTGTGGTGACCGCAGGCTGCTAGCCAATCGATAGACATTAACTTACGTCAATGTTTATGTCCCAAATATTGGTCGCGAGAAAATATGAACAAAGACTGATTCGACAACCAATCACAGCAGACTTAACGTGGGCAAATACGGTTCGCAGATATATGGCTTAACTTTCTGAGAAACCAGTCACAAGCAGTACGGAATAACCTTGAGCAAAAAACAACCAATCAGAAGACTGTGTTTGTCTGCTTAAATAAGCTATAATAATGTACATGAAATATATATAAATACGTTCTGATTTTGCTTAATAAACGATCTTTTGCCTGGCCCTTGTCTTCTGTTGTCACAGTTTATTCAGTAAATCAACAGATATTTATAGATTTCTATGTTCATTATTATTAGCGTTAATATTAGCAGCGAAACAGTGTTTTCTTCTTCTTTCTTGCTGAAGGTTATTCGGTCATCTCTTTGTGGCCACTTCTTTGAAGGTCAGACTGTATATATCTGCGAATCGTATCCGCCCACGCAACGTCAGCTGTGATTGGCTGTTGACTTCCTCAAGATTAGGCTTTGTTATTGTTGTATCTGGTGACCCCGATTTGGGACGCAAACATTGACGTAAATTGGTGTCTACAATTTTGGTTGGCAGACAGCTCTTACCACAGTAGTAGAGAGTGTGGATATTCATGCTAGGTATTCATGAGAACAAACCTTTTTATGGCAGACTACGGTATAAGTCGAGTCGACGTGATGAACCACTAGAAACTGCAGATGTTTGAGTACTAATCCTCTTTTTCATTATTAATGAGGTTACGCATAGAGTACAAGGTAACGACGAAGGGAAGTGAATGGATGAGTCTGTGAGGCTACATCGATTGAAGTGTCTGGAATACATATTTCGCCATGCCTAGCCATCGTCGTCCTCTACGGGAATTGCTAACTGACATGGAATTAAGTTGGAAAAGGGTTAGGGATCCTCCACATCTCACATCCTTCACACCCGGAGCCATTCTCAACTCATCATATCCCATTCGGCTTCTATTCGAGCAATGGCTTGGCGGACGATATCACTCAACAGTCTTCTAAGAGTGTCCCCTATCCAACTCAATTTCTGTAGTCATATTTGTTAAGAAATAGAGAAACTTCTTGATTGGTTACTTCGCAAAGTTTCGTGTTTGTTTATTCTTTCTGGCCAACCAGTCATCTTATTTTCATTGCGATACCATCAAAGGGGGCAGTTGTTGATAAGTGTCTTCAATAGCCTGTTGCAAAAACTCTTCATGACATGAATGCCGAGTATCTAACCCCTTAGAGAAGAACTGACTGACTCACAAAACATCTATTGTGAGTTCAGTGGTTTTCTAAAAATTGATTTCAGAGTGATCAAAGTGAGTCTCTTGCCTTTAATGATCCTGTGTGTGTGTGTGTTTGACATCTTCATTGGCGGAGTATGCGGAGTATGTATTTGGCATTGATAGTGGTAAGATAAGTGAAGGAAGGGACTTCTCTTTCAAATTTTGCCTTGTTGACAGTCAGTGGTGTAGGTTGTTGTTGTTGTTGTTGCTGTTGATTGGTGTTATTTTCATTATCTGTATCTTCTGTACGTTGGCTTGAAGTCCTATCTTTACTATCTGCTTCTGTTGCCAACTTGTTGGTCTCCATTTGTAAGTCTTTGAATTTGTGTGACATTATATTACATAAATCGTCCATTGCAAAATCCAGATCTTCTAAATTTTCTTTACCGGTCATTCCAACGTACTCCTGTCTCCTCACTCATCTTCGACACACAGTGTTCCGCATAATCGAATCTACCGTCTGTCTGTCTCTGTCTGTTTTCGACATAGAACTTTGCACAAATGTGCGGAAGTTCAAGTCGCCACATTCCGTGTAGCACGCGAAGCAAGAGAAGAAAGTACAAGAAAAGCATAATAGAAACAGTGAGCAGAGGTGTAAGACAAAGGAGTAATAAAGAAATACAAAACAGTTTCATTGAAGATCATAAGTCACAGGGAGACCGAAAGCTGCTACCTTGACGTGGTGGTCGGGCTTGAACACCGCAATGACCTAATCAAGCTATACTGGCTGAGACTTATGTCTCTTGAGTTTCTACCATGCCAGGCAGGTTGTTTGGATAGCGGTTAAACAAAAAGCAGCTACCCAATCCAACATCATGTCCAATACAAAATTACAAAATTTCATGCCGGATCGGCCGTGGCCCGGATTAACAACGACCGCGCTTCCTGCTGCCGTGTCACAGGGCGGGAGTGATAAATCTGCTACTGAGACACACCAAACAAAAAAGAACGAACAAAAACAGGCCGCGTGTGACCGGCCTCAAGCAGTTGTCCCCTGGGCTCTGCGGTCACGCATCCAACTTCCACGGTGTGGGCAACCGGGAAGTAACAATCGCCCTCACAATCCGAAATGCACACGTAACCTCTCTATCGAATCTACCACAATTTTAAGAGTATCGTCATCGGTGATAGGTAAACAAGCAGCATTGTCTTGCTCCTGTCTTCATTTCAAAGGCTTCTTCCATTGAGCTTTTTTCCATTGTGAATCACTTGACATGTCACATTGTCTAATAGCTATACTGTTAAATAAGGCCGATAACAGTTTAGAGTATTACCGAAGTATTTTTAAGTAGTTGTCAAATTGCTTCGCAGTCAACGCTGTCAAAGGCCTTTTTTAAAGTCGATGATAGTATTTCACATAAAATTAAGTGCGTTTATGTGTCTGCTTACAGCATCACACTTATATGATGACGTGATGCAATATTTTGCTTGACGTAGACAAGAGTATGATCCACACCAGTTCTTGTTGAGACCTAATTCGTCGTTCTTTTGTTATACTTTCACAAGATGGGGTAGCCTTTCTTCCAATCGGTAGGTACCTTTACTTTTCCTGAAACGAATTAGGGGTAGTTCAACTAAAGCCTGAAATCAGTCTGTGAAGTCTTTCATCGTCAGTGTGAGGGATCTAGGGAGGTGTAGGCTGCCTGTCTGCCTGCCTGCTTATGAGGTCTTAGGATGCTAAGACCGAATGACTTCGAGACTATTGATGGTGGTGTGGCTCAAGATTGTACTCAGTGGCTCAGATGCATTGAGTCCTCATGTGTTTCCCCATGTCAGTATTCTCTGATTCTCCAACAAATTTCTGCTCATTATCGTATATTTTTGTCACATGGAGTGTACCGACTTGAACTGGTGCATTTCTGTTAAAAGATCTCTGTTGAAACTCACTCAGCCAATCAGTCAGAACCATTTGTTAGTCCAGTGAAGACTACACAGTGCGATTTTCTCTTCTCTCGGGAATCCACATCAATGCAGGCGCCACGTGACGAGTGCTACTGATAATAAGATTTATCACTAGTACATAAAGAGACGTTCATCAACATAAAAAAAACATCAAATAGCAGGCAGATACATTTGATTTCAGACGACGCATATAATACAGCATTTTGGGAGACAAAGTGAAAGGAACACAAGAAAAAAAAACGCAACATGAAGTCCAGAAGTACCTACAACACGAAGATCTGTGCAGATAGGGTAGAGATAATTTGGCTATATACAGATACCAATTTCCAAATTAACTTTTCGTTCCTTTACCAAGTCTCCGTTTGCTGCCGTTTCAGCATGTCCGAATTTTCCTCTGTTTCTCATATTAGTTTGTTTATTAGATGTATCACACAGTTAGTGAAACAGTATTATTTACTGGATGACGTTTCGAACACAATTTATTTATTGTTCATAGTCATATCAAGTGTAATCACACGAATTCGGAACTTGAGTTTTATAGTTTTCTTTGTCCTCTCCTATTAGTCGTCGTTGGGGTAGTAGAATTTTCCAGATATCTGGCTGGACAGGTGTTGAATAATTCCTATTACACGTGTTCTCCTCAGTTGATTCGATAAACACAACCATACAATAAGATGGGATAAAATGACAGTTTTAAAATCTAATGTCACAGGGTGGATGCAGGGAGAGATTGATAACAGAAGCTTTGTTTATCGAATCAACTGCAAATACATGTAACAGGAATGATTCAACACCTCTCCACCCAGATATCTGGAAAATTCTACTACCCCAACGACGACAAATAGGAGAAGACAAATAAAACTATAAAACTGAAGTTTCGAAGTCGTGTGATTATAATTGATGATATGATTATGAACAGCAATAAATTTTGTTCGAAACTTTGTCATCCAGTAAATATTACTGTTTCACTAACTGTGTGATACATCTAATAAACAAACTGATATGGAATTACTTAGTACCACAGTGCCTAATTTTTTCACGTATATTAATATTCCTGTCTATCTGTTTTCGACATAGAACTTTGCACCGATGTGCGGCAGTTCAATTCACCATACTTCATGTAGCACACAAAGCAAGAGAAAGTAAGAGGAAATACAAAGTAGAAACTCTAGACAGGTATATGAGACAAAGGAAGAGTAATAATGAAGAACAATATAGTTTCATTGGAAATTATAAGTCACAAAGAGTGGATGCATCTGTACCAGTCATTGACAACGATTTTGAGCCATAACACTACCGACTGTCTCCAGCTTTCATTGATTTTTACGGTTGCGAGGACCTCAACCAGGAAGTCTACAGGGACGGTAAAAACCAATGGCTGGAGACGACTTTTTCTAATTAGAACCAGAATGCGGATATAGTGTAGCAATCCGATGTGTTGATCTCCGAACGTGAGATAGTTCTGTAATCTACTTCTAGACAGTCGGGTTATGAGTTCTTTTACGTTGCTCATGATTCCCTAACTGAGGTGGAGATAGCTGACCACCAGTATCCCTTAGAAGTGGATGTAATGCGTGTTTCGACGTTTTTATTTACCAGTTCTCTCTCTTGTAAAAATTATATTTGTAAAATCTCAGAGAAATTGAAATGATTAATTCCAACGTTTCTTGTGTTCGTCAATCTGGTCCGAACTTCTTCAGGGAAATTAATCGAAATTAACATAACAGAGGTTTATATGTAAAAGGAACATCTCTTGTTTTAAAAAACTTTATCCAATCATGAGTCATGAAGCAGGTATCAACATGTATAATAAACAGAAAATTGTATGAGCTGTGATCAAAATTTGACCTCAGACTTTATGGGTCTACCTTTGTTAAACACTTTAAACAGTGTTTTTGTATATATATATATGTGGGTAAACAGTTGTAAAACATTTATTGACGTCTCCATAAGAAGATATAGACAGTTGGGAATTTTGACCAAGGATTATTAATTGTAGATACATATCCAATTTCAATTATGAATCAGGATTTGCCATGCATCAGCTAACAAGATCACACCTTCACGTTTGTTCAAACTATTGGGATTCCCCCATATATATGCAGGGCTTCAGCAGTCAGTCTTTCTTTATACGAACCAAAACCTTTCTGTAAAAACTTAGTCCTATCAAAGTCGATTTTGTGTCCTGTTTCTATCTAGTGCAATGCACTCGCTGAGTTGTTTCCTAGCTTCTTTAAGTCTGCAGAAGTCTTTGGAAAAACCACCTTTAGATATTGTTTATGCTCTTTCACTGTTATATATTCACCTGTCTGGAAGTTTTTCCTACATATACACTGTTACAGTCCCTACAATTGATCTGGTATACGCAATTCTGCTGGTTTTCTTGTTCTATTTTATCCTTAACCTTCACCAGTAATGAGCGTAAGGTGTTAGATGCACGAAAGTACACTCTTATGTTATGATCGTTAAGGATTCTTTTTATTTCATCGGATGTTCCTTTGCGGTAAGGAATCACCGCTGTACTAATCCACATCTTAACAACAGGTTTCTATCCATCCTTATCTTCACATTTTAAATATTTTTTTATGAAGGCTTTAGGATAATTATTTGATTCAAGATTGGGTTGAACCAATTCTATAATGCAGTCAGTCTTCTCTTTATTATAGCAGAAATATTCATTCAGACATCTATAAAACACAGAATAATTGAGCCAGCAAAGAATATCCTTTTCGATAAATTCCTCCTCTTCTGGCTCTACAATTACAGATATGCATGTTTATATACACAGAATATTCTAGAATACTAGTTAATAACAATATTAGTGTTTTGTAAATAAAATCCATTTGTAAAGTATGATCAATGCAATTACAGTTCACTAAAAATACTTAAATTATAATAGTAATAAAGATATAATAGCGAATGGAATATCAACTAAAATTAGGGAAATTCCACAAAAATTCAGGATTATTCAAACCTGGATGGCCAGCGGGGTAAAGATAATGTCTGAACTAAATTCTTTTGGATGCATAAATTAGCCTTTTTAATGTGGATCTCAACGGTCAGCCTCAGCAATATTTAGTAATCGAACTCTTAAGGCGAAATTGAGAATCGTAGGTATGCGGTAAATGACCCTGAAAGCCGCCTGGTTAACGTCAATCTTGTGTTCTGTCTCCACAAGATGAGTGAGATAGAATAGCACTGCGAATAGATTATGTTTGTCCTTTACTTAACCACTAGGCAGGATGATGTTCAGAAATTCGACGAGAAACACGCCTTATTGTACGGCTTATGTAACTGGCTCACTCCACAGGAGCAGTTAAATTGGTAGGTAAACATGGAAGAGGCGCAATTAGGCAGTTTATCTTCTACTCTCGAACGCAAAACAGCGGAGTGGTTTTGAAGACACAGTGTAATTCAGTAGCAGGAAATGCTATTTTCACCGCATTTCTAAGGTGCTGTGTTAGTATCTCGCTGGTGTTGTCCCCAAGGAACTGCATTTGTAAGAATAAGGCCCTCCTTTTTAGGAACTGTTGGTAACTTGGGGTGCTTTGGTTTCAGATTCAGATTCTTAACAATAAACTTTTCAGGATAACCATTTTCACTTAGCAACCGTTTAATGTTATTAAGTTCCTTATCAAGATATTCATCCGAGCAGATGGCTCTTACTCTGTGAACCAAGCACTTTATCAAATTGTGTTTGTATTTCAAGGGCACAAAGCTGAGAAAATGTGTGTACTGGCCCGTTGATGTAGGTTCTCTATGAACACTTTTTCCGTTCATAAGGACGTCTAAAAATGAAATATTAGAGTCTTTTTCTTTCTCAATAGTAAAATTTATTGCAGGATGTACCACCTCATTAAATTTATCCAGGATGTTCTTTGCTTCCTTCTCGTTTTTCATTATCAAAAAAGTATCATCCATGTATTGACAAAACATCGTTAAACTAAATCATTTACCTCAATCTCTTTTTTCTGATAATGCTAGTAGAATGTATGGTACTATTAAAATACATAAGTCGCCAGGTTACCCCATACGACTAATAGTAGATATTAGAAATACCCCCCCCACTTATGAATTATCGAAACACTTAGCTCTAATATTATGTCCCATTAGAAATCGTTCAAACTCTAGACTAACTAACTAACTAACTAATTCATATGAGATGAAAAATAAACTAAATGACATTCAACTAGAGAATGATGAAACAATGGTTAGTTTTGATATAACTAGTCTTTCTGCTAATAAACCAGTCAATATGGCGGCCTTAGAAGCAGTTAAAAAAGAACTAACTGCGGATCCTGAACTCAATCATAGGACAAAGCTACCCATTGAGGAAATTATTTTAGGAATTCAGTCAGCTGTCTCACATCTACTATCTTTAAATTTCAAGGTAAAATATATAAACAATCAGAAGGTGTAACAATGCCATGGATCACCAATATCCCCTACCGTAGCAGACATATTTATGGAAAGCTGGGAAAATAGTGCTCTTAATACGACACATTTAATCCTGCTCCAAAAATATGGTGAAGATATGTGGATGACACTTCCACTCACAGTGTTAAAACACTGAACATATCTCTCTCTAGCTTCTTGACACATATAAACTCACAAGTAAACGGAATAAAATTCACATTTGAATCGGAAAATGAACAAGAAGAATTAGCTAAGTTAGATTGTAAAATAAAACGAATAGAAGAAGGTAAACTGCGCACACTAGTGTATACAGAAAACCAACTCATTCGAATAGATATTTAGACTTTAATTCATCTCATCCGTTAACTGTTAAGGCAGGAGGCTTAGTTAAGCGTTTAACAAACCGAGCATTGGCACTAAGTAGCACAAGAAAAGACCTAAATGATGAAATAAAACAGATAGAAGAGGTTTGGTGTTAAATAACTATCCTTTAAAATTCATTAGGAAGATCGAAAAAGGCCAAACGAAAAATAAAAATAATTGTGAAACTAGTAATAATAACGTAAATAAGAGAGAATATAAGTCATCTATAGTTATACCATATAAAGAGGGGACATCTGAAACCCTACGTAGGATTTTAAATAAAGCAGGAATTAGGGTGGCATTTAAACCTACAAACACACTCAGAGACAAGCTCTGTAGGTTAAAGGACCCTGTAGGTTGATGATCCAATTAGACAAAATAATACAATTTACAAAATATCTTGCAGTGGCTGTGAGTGAGGTCAACTACATACGTCAAACTAGTGGGTCAGGGGTAGTCAGATTGTCGGAGCATAAGAATTTAGCTAAGGTGAGAATGATTGACCCTGAAAAGATAAGTAATTTAGAGAAAAACTCAGCAATTGCAATGCATGCATTAACACACAAACCACAGAATAGGATGGCTGGGAGAGGGTTAAAATTCTTAAAAGTAATCTAGATAGGTGGAGAGAGCGAGAGAGAGGTTGATTACTGAATCCTTGTTCATCGTATAATCTACACCCAACACCGTGCAATAGGAGTGATTCATCACTCATACCCGAAATATGGAAAATACTACTACCAATCAAGTCAAGTGAAATAAAAAATGGAACTATGTAAATGAAGTTAGAAAGTCAGTCGTGTGATTACCATTGATATGATTATGTGCTGTCTCCGCTCAATACTCAAGATCAGATGGCCAGAAAAGATCAGCAACAGGGATCTCTGGGAGCGAACCAATCAGGAACCGATTGTGAAACAAATAGGCAGAAAGAAATGGAGATGGATTGGCCATACGCTGAGGAAACCAACAAGTGACATCACTAGACAAGCCCTCGAGTGGAACCCGAAAGGGAGGCGGCGAGTTGGTCGTCCAAGGGTGACTTGGAGGAGGTCATGTGAAGAGGAGATGAAAGCATGTGGGCAGACCTGGAGCAGGGTGAAAAAGTTGTCAAAAAACCGAAGGCAATGGAGGTGCGCAGCTGAAGCCCTATGTTCCTCTAGGAACTAAAGGATACAATAATAAAATAATAATAATGATTATGTGCTGCAGTAATAAATTGTTCTCGAAACGTGGTCATCAGTAAACATTACTGTATAACTAACACTGTGAGACTTTATCAAAACAAAATTTACCCATAATGGAATTATACTCTACCACCACAGTGCACAAGTTTTATTCTTATATCTCTGTTCTCTCTCTCTCTCTCATTTTTTTCAATGCGACTTGGTTACCAACCCCCCCACACACACAGTCAATTATGAACAAGTTAGACAATTTATCTTCAAATCTCATCAACACAGATGGACAACAACAGCAGCAACAACAACAACAACATGATGTTGATTCAATAGTGTGTATTATTATTGATGAAATTGGTAAAATGGAGTTGTATTCAACAAAATTCACCGCTTTAATTGAACAACTGATTTCATCCATTCTCAGCTTCAGTGAACCGATGACGACGACGATGACAACTAATCAATCGAGGAAAAAAAAGCGATCAAAAGTTGTTCTTTTAGCAACTGTCCCGTCATCGAAACGATTCGATGGTACACGTGGTATTCCTTTTGTTGATCGTCTGTGTTCAATGAAAGAGGCTTGTATCATTGAGGTAAGATAGAAATGTTGTTTGAGATGTGTATTTGTTGGTGTGTGTGTGTGTGTGTGTACGGGGGAGGGAGGTATTATCAGCGGTTTTTTTATATATTCAGTACTTGAGCACCATTCGACAACTCTCTGAGTGTGATATAGACACACTGGTCCTTCGTTTGCAAATGAGGTTATATAAAGGCTTCCTGTAATTTGAAATGAGGTAAAGCAGCCAGGACCTGATGGAATGACTACGGAGGTGTTTAAGGATTGCTGTTTTTGGCTAACTAAGGTGTTAGGCAACATCTGGGAATCAGAAATTAGTCCTCTTGGACTGGTGTAAGCCATTGGTTATCCCAGTTTATAAGGGGGGGGGAGACAAGTCTTCCAGTAATAATCATAGGTGGGGGGGGATTAGCTTGACTATTATGGTATCTGATGTTTCTAGTGCTCGGGTGAAACAAACACGAGAGAACCAATCAGACTTTAGACCAGGGAGAGGGTGTATTGATCATATTTTCACCCTTCAATAGATTCTGGAACAAAGGAATACTCATCACCGGCGTCCAACAGTTGCTATACTTCTTGAATTGAAGGCTTGATTTGATTCTGTCGACTGAGAGGTACTATGGCACTGATCGAGACACAATTGTTGAATTCATGCAGCCATGTAAGTGCTTACGGAGAGCTGTTGTCGTTTGAAGTGATGACAACCAGCTGTGTCTGTCAGAGATGCTCACTGTTTCCATGTAGGCTTAATTTCATCATAGATGTACTAATGGTGTGGTGAGAGCTGGCTGCTAGTCAATGTTTACGTCCCCAATATTGGTCGTGAGAAAAATAAGAACAAAGACTGATTCAACAACCAACCACAGCAGACTTTGCGTAGGCGGATACAATTTGCAGATAGATAATCTGAACTTCAATAAATGGCCACAAATTAACCCTCAGCGAGAAACCACCAATCTGAAGACTGTGTTTGTTTGCTTACAATAGTCCATAATAATGTACATGAAAATCTATAAATATCTGTTGCCTGGTCCTTATCTGCTGTTGTTACAGTGGGATTATTGAAGCTTACATTATCTATCTGCAAATTGTATCCGCCTACGCAAAGTCTTCTGTGGTTGGTTGTTGAATCAATCTTTGTTCTTATTTTTCTCATGACTAATATTCGGGATGTAAACATTGACGTAAATTACTGTCTACCAATTTGGCTAGCAGCCAGCTCTCAGCAAACTACGGCAATGTTTGGTCATTAAGTGATTAACTATAACGTATATTGCGTTGATCAAGGCACTCAATTGTTGAACTCATGCCGTCGTGTAAGAGCTTACGGAGAGCTGATGTCATTTGAAGTGATGACAACTATTGGTGTCTGTTAGCGATGTCCGCTTTCCCCATTTCTGTTTAATTTCGTCAAAGATGTACTAGTGGGATTGATCCTAATTGACTTTAGTGACATAGGGTAGAAACCTGACCACCTAGAATATGTAGATGATATAGTCTTCCTTGGTGAAGACGCTAGTGAAATGCAGAATCTTCTGACCACCTTGAACAGCAGTCTTCATATGTTTGGGATCCAGTTTGTTCCTGTAAAATGTAAGAGGATGCTATGAGATCGGATTGAGTGTCGTCATCTGGAAAAACCGGCTCCGATAGCTTGGAAATGTGCTTCGAATGTCATTCCAGAGGCTTCCGTACAGGTCTTTGTTCGCTAGCCAGCCCTGGGACGGGTTGGAAAAGGCGGAGGGGTGGTAAGTCCATGATGTGGCATCGTGGGATGAAGGATTTTGTGTGCTATATTAGCATCTGTTGGTGTGTCACGACTCCCTAGTTGGGGTCCGAGAGATAGCTCAAATCGATGGCTCGAAACGTTATTGGATATGGCCGAGAATCGTAATCAGTGGCAAACGTGTTGCAATTTCCTTCTTTCTTCCCTTCCCGATGATAGTTAACGAATACTGTTTGAACTTGTTAAGCATGACTGTTTTCCTTCCAGATGAAGTTCTTTATTCGTTCTCTACTTATATTTTTACTTTGAATCTATGTTGTTTTATTACTATTATTGTGTGACGCATCTTTCTTGGTGCCATATTGTACCAAGTTTTTTCTGCGTTTAAATAAATAAATAAACGAGATCGGACTACATCGACTCCTAACTTAAAGATAGGCGGCTGTTGTATTAGCTAACGCCAACGGGTTGATATGATGACTGACGAAATCTCAGTATGGATACAGAAGGTTCGTTCATTTAGCATGTAGGCAACTTACGGCATCTTTGGTGTAAACGTGATATCTGTCTGGCAATCGATCAAATGATATGTGTACTGTGAGGCACTTCTCCCCGTCCTTCTTTATGACTGTAAGACATTTCCATTGAAAATGGAAGACTTGGCAATGCTATCTGTCTTTGATCCTAGGTATCTCCATTCTATCTCTCGAGTTCAGTGGTTGAATAATATTGAGGCTTGTCGTCGAGTGGTAGGTAAGGAGGGAAAGTTGATCGATGAGTGTTTGTGAAGTAGGGAAATCAATTGAGAGATACCTAAGAGACATGTTTTACATCTGAGCTATTCGGATTGACGAATAATCTCTAGTCATGAATGCAATAACAATTCCCCGAGGTGTTTACTTTTTCTTTTGGTGCAAGGAGATTCATCGTGCTGAAGTCTCTGTAGCAACATTTTTTACAGGGTGTGAGGTTGCTAGCCTCATATCTGAGAAGGCGGGGGGTTGTTACATTAAAATATAGTTTTACAATGAAGTGACCTTGTGGGTTGCTCGCCTTAAAACCAGGAAAACAACGAATAAAGCAATCAGAACAACACCCCACCAAAAGGAAAATAATTCACAACAGGAAGAACAACAAGCGACAACGACAACAACTACAAAAAAATCCTTAGCAGTATTATCACAGTCAGATAAAGTTAACAAAAATGATATCAAAATCATAGACTCACTGACTTGAGCCGACTTGGACATGTGGATCCATCAATATATACAATTATAGATATTAGTTAGTGTTAGACAGTCACTAAATGGCAAGTAGATAGATGGAGGATCTGGACTTCGCCGATGATATATGTCTGATTTCCCACAAACACTGGAAGATATGCAAGTGAAAAGCAATCAGCTGGCGATAGAAGAAGCATCAAAGATAGGACTTTGGGTGAACATAAAGGAAAACAGAGTTGGGTGATGAAGATTCCTGGCCAACACCAACACCAACAGCAACAACAGACAACAATCAGAATAAATGGGAGAAGTCTGAAAGAAACAACTTCCTTTACCTACCTTGGAAGCATCGTTTCAACTACAGGCGGATGGAACTGACGAAGATATCAAAGCAAGGATCAGGAAAGCAAGACAAGCTTTCATTACTCTCAAGTAAGTCTGTGTGGAAGTCAACAGCACTCAGCATAAAAAAAAAAGATCCGGATTTTCAACTCCAGTGTGAACTCAATGCCACTTGCCGTACGGATGAGAGACTTGGCGCGTCATAAAGAACACCTCAAACAAACTACCAACCATCATCAACAGCTGTCTTCGCTCAGTACTTCGCTCAAGATTAGATGGCCGGCCAGAAAAGATCAGCAATAGGGATCTCTGGGAGCAAACCAACCAGGAACCGATTGTGCACCAAATAGGCAAGTAGAAATGGTTGGGGATTAGCCATACTCTGAGGAAACCATCAAGTGACATCACTAGACATGACCTCGAGTGAAACTCGAAAGGTAATCGGCGAGTTGGTCGTCCAAGAGTGACTTGGAGGAGGTCATGTGAAGAGGAGATGAAAGGATGTGGGCAGACTGGGAGCCAGATGATGAAAACGTTAGCAGAAAACCGAACACAATGGAGACTTGCGGATGAAGCCCTCCTATGTTCTTCTAGGAATTAAAAGATATAGTAATAATAATTGGTGTTTACTACTTTCCCGTGTCGAGTCTAAAAACTGGATTTGGTCACCGTTTACTTCCAGTTATGAATTATCCTCATTAATGTAAACAAAACGCACAGTTCAGCGAATAGATTCTTTTCATTACGTCAAGCAGGGATAGGACTCAATGCCACAATGATAGGAAGAGCCGACATCGAAGGATCAAAAAACGACGTCGCTATGAACACTTGGCCGCCACAAGCCAGTTATCCCTGTGGTAACTTTTCTGACACCTCTTGCTTCAAACTCTGAAAATAATAATCAAAAGGATCGATAGGCCACGCTTTCACGGTCTGTATTCGTACTGAAAATCAAAATCAAGTGAGCTTTTGCCCTTTTACTCTACGCCAGGTTTCTGTCCTGACTGAGCTCACCATAGGACACCTGCGTTACCATTTGACAGATGTACACCGCCCCAGTCAAACTCCCCGCCTGACATGGTCTTCAGAACGGGTCGCACATCACATCAAGACTCAAACACCGCAATCTGCACCACGATTCATCTGACATGACCATGACACCGACACACGCAACGTTAGACCACGCATGCCAGCATGTGCTTCACACCAAAAAGCAATTTGTTCCCATTTCACTGAACAAGTAAAGAAACAATGACAGCAGTGGTATTTCACTGACGCCAGGCACTGAAGCACCCAGCTCCCACTTATTCTACATCCATCATGTTTCCTCACAAAGTCGGACTAGAGTCAAGCTCAACAGGGTCTTCATTCCCCGCTAATTCTGCTAAGCCCGTTCCCTTGGTTGTGGTTTCGCTAGATAGTAGAGTAGATAGGGACAGTGGGAATCTCGTTAATCCATTCATGCGCATCACCAATTAGATGACGAGGCATTTGGCCACGTATGTGTTTACCCATGTCGCTGCATAGCAAGCACTAATACTGTGAACAATATTAGACCCGGAAGAAGAATAAGAGCATATTTCAATGCAAGCAGAGTAGGTCGCTGTAAACAGTGCTTCCCCCACTTTCTGCCCGGATTTTTTATCTTTTATTTGACTGACCGAGACAGATCGAATTCCTTGGCACCTTCCAACGCTATGAAATCAGGAATATCCCTTACGACTTCTGCGCAAAGGAGACATCCTATCATGCCTCGTGGCAACAAGACCCACCTCTAATCCACAATTCATACAACCTCGCTTCATCATATTTTCTCGGCGGGCAGAGTATGCCTTTACAGCTGCCCTGATAGGGTTACCAAGGTCTTATGACCCATATATAGCCGTACATCAGTCTACATACATTCTACGGCCTCCAACCAGCGCCACTACATCTACTCCATCTGACTGGGACCCCGGACCCACATAAAGCGAAGTGACAGACAGACAAAGTATGGGCTGAAGATTGGACCATATGGTTCCACGAGGCGGCCTTGCAGAGTAACAATCTCACCACAACAACATGCCGCTCATTCATTCGTTACAAACGTATCGCACTGCTCTGCATACATACGCGAGGCCAACATACATACCCATGCAGGTTGCCACGCCGAAATGGCACCATATCATGCTTCGCAAAATATGCATACTTTAAGAGCAGTGCGATGTCACAATCACACCACCTAATCCAGTATTTAATGTAATTTTCTTTTTGGGTTTTCTAATGTTTTTGTCAATTTCTTGTTGTTTTTGGTATATGGCATTTTATAAGGAAAGAGTTTAAGGAAAGGTTTTCAAAGGATTCTTAGTAAGAGACCTCTTTGTCATGCATGCATTCATTCTAGATCTAAGGGTGCAATGATAGAATTTTGAGTTAAGGTGTTACTCTGCCTTTGTTACCACTGCACATATGTATCGTAGCATTTCAGCGATCCTATTATAGTTTGCTCGCACAACCAGCTGATTCGGATTTTGGGTATTTCGAGGATTTGGTTCAGGGCTTTCTCCGTTTTAGAGAACATTATTCCTCGCATACTAATTATTACAGGTATATGTGTCACACTGTCCGTGTAATAGCCTCTGTTTTCTATTTCTTTCATATATAGTGGGTTCAGTTCCGCTCTGTCATATTTTCTAATTTTTCCATTCCAGGAAGACTTTAGTCTGTGGTCAGCCGAGATTTTAACGTCCAGGACGTATGTTTTACTGTATTTGTAGGCTATCATGTCGGGCTTGTAATATGTATTTCCCTTTTTGATTCTGGGCTCCATAATAGTTTGATAACCAAGTCTGTTTAGCATCCCCATTAGACTATTAAGTACCCAATTGTGTCGAGTTGTTCTGCAGCCATGAGTTATCTTACAGCTTTGTAGTATGTGGGTAAGTGTTTCTGCTTTACCACATCGTCCATTGCATCGAAGATTACCAGTATTCCTTCCTCCTCCAGATCCTCTAATTTTAGTTGTGAGGGTCCCAGCGCGTAACTGTATTGCCCGCTTGTATATCTATGGGAACATTCTATTTGGTTGCTTTACCCATTTATGAGAGACTACACTTTGGCTAGCCTCTTTTAGACCTTTGCCATCTAATGTACTGTATAGTACTCTTTTCCAGTGTTTCCTCACCGATTTTTTGTCGGCAATTAGGATGTGACTATTTACAAGTCTGGTCGTATCTTGGAATACGTCCGTATGTCTAATGGCCTCAGTAAGCTGACAGTCATTATTGACCAAGTTATTAAACCGTTTTTGTCTGATCAGTGGTACCCCGAGTATGATAGTGACTCTAGTCCCAATCCCCCATCGTTGACTTTAGCATATAGGAGGAGACTGGTGGGGGTGTATCCTGGGGTAGTCCAAGCCACTTTTGAACGTATCTTCTAATGATGGTGTCTATTTCATCAATAGACGATGTTCTAGCCATTCCCAGGTGTAGTTTGTAATGGAGTCTGGGCATTGCATATGACTGGAGGATTTCCAGTTTCTGTATTGTGTCTATTGGAACTTCGTCCAGTTCTTTCATCATTTTTGTGGTTTCTATATTTATATTAGTGAATTTAATACCTCCAACACCATATTCAATGCCAAGGTATTTGAAAGTGTCTGTGTTATTTAGAGGTTTTAATATTCGTTCCATCGAACATGTAGGTCGTATTGCTAATACAGGACTTGCCGTCCTTTCCTATCTTAGATCTTGTTATTGAGAATGATTTATCAGAGTTGATTTTTAGGCCGCATTTGCCCAGGTTTTTAGATAAGGTGTGCAATTTGTTTTGGAGTCCTATGTTCGATGAAGCAAGGATTATTAGGTCATCGGCGTGGGCTATGGAGCTAATGCTACCATTACCTATCCCAATTCCTACATTCGGGGCCGTCGATAGCTTGGTCACCTCATCCATGCACATTATAAACAGCAATGGAGAATGTGGGTCTCCTTGTCTCACACTCCTTTATTAACCGAGTAGATTTTATTACCGATTCTGACTTTTGCCTTTTTATAGGCAGAGATTGCTGTGTAGTTCACCAGTGGATCTGGTGCACCATATATGCTTGCTACTCTTTTTATGGTATCATGTGTTATTGAGTCGAATGCCTTTGCTATGTCGTCCACTGAGCAGATTGCCGTGTTCTGGCACTTCCTTTGTGCTTGTTTTAGCGTCGTATCCAGTATGACATTAGCATCGAAACAGCCATCTCTTTTTAGAAAAGCCATTTGTGAGTTTAGTCTAAGCAGGCTATTGCTCCATCGCTCTGGCAGTATACCATTAAAGCATCTTACAACCACTGGTGAAATCGAAATTGGTCTATAGTCTGATGGTGGTAGCATAGGGTTTTCGCATTTCGGTATCAATACTACCCTTGCGATTGCCAGGTGATTTGGAGTAGTCTCTAAGACCAGCATTATGTTCAGTAGAGCTCTGAGTGATTGAGCATTTCTACGGCCTAGAGCTTTGGGTGTAACACCATCAAGCCCAGGTGCTGAGTTACCAATTCTTCTTAGGGCCTTTCTTATTTCTGAGTATTCTATTGGTCTGAGGAAGTCCCAGTTTGTCTCCAAAGCCTTTATTACGGGTCTGTTATCTTCTATACTTGCTTGTTCGAACATATTGCCCCAATGTTCTGTACATTCCTTGGGCAACGAGGGTTTTCGTTTATAGGCATTTCGCCATCGCCCAGTGAGGGATACTGGGATACTACCCCAAAGCTCAAAAAATTGAAAATTTAGAAAACGCTTCAAAATGATAGAGGAAGGCGTGAAACGAGTTTTGGTATCTGTCATCAAGGGGTTTAGAGCTTGTCTAAGGCCTCAAAAGCTCGATGCAAGGCTGCTAGCTTATAACCCTAAAATCCTATAGTAAACACAGCATAAGCTATGTAGACGATATGAGCGTGGGTTAAATTGATCTCATGGCTCGCTTATTGACTGTGTTATGGTTTTCTATAGTCTTGGTAGACGTATAGAAGCTATTTGCATGCCAAAATTGGTTGGCAGGGATAACGATTTCATTGAATTTGGTGGCTTCTGGCTTCGTTTATAGGGGCCTATTGTGTCACTATAGCGTCGCTATGCGTGCTACTTTGGCATATAATAATACGTTTCACAGGTCTTGTATGCGAGATGGATTCTATTGAGCTTGTCTATGCAGTGCTTAATTGATTGACGCGAACAGTAACAGTGCTTACTCTATATAAATACAGTGTATATAACCTCTTTCCATATGTATGAATAACATAAATGATCCCAACCCCAAAAGTATAGTATATATATGTGGGGCGAAGCTCAATTATTGAACATTCCCAAGGAACCCAAAGCAGTGGGGATGATATAAACGAGGGCAAGTCCATAAATATATACACCCTAACCAAAAACTTTTGACATATAAAGGGGTGAATTAATAAGACATTGAACTATCCCAAGGAATCCTGAGCTGTGGGATGGTATATCTATCCCAAAGCAAATGATACATAAGTCCACCCTAGTCCAATAATATATATATAAAGTGTGAAAGGGCAAGTGCTTATTCAATAATCCCAGTGGTCCTTTAAGCTGTGGGGTTATACATAAATGAGGGCAAGAGTAATAATATATCACCCATGTCCAACACTGTGAAAAATGGGTTCAGAGTAACAAATACATTACCACCCAAGTCCAACGTTGTGATGAAAGGGTGAAGAGCGAGAGAGTAATGAATGGTCGTATGGTCCGCCAGCTCATGTTTCCCCGACTTAACTAATGTCGAATGTGTGTGGGTTGGTAAAGACAAGACAAGCCGGACTCATCCGATAATGAAATAGTCACCTGCCGAATCAACCTAACACTGTAAGGCGACATTATAGGGAGTGAACAATCCAACGACTTAGGCAGTTGGTCTTCAATACCAGCTTTGATAGGAAGTTTGAAGGATGCCTTAGATGTATATGGTATACTACTACGTGTGTCGACCCGTCTCAAACATGTTCGCTTGATCGCTTGAGTGCATTATCGATTTACCTGTTTGTGCCATATCCATGTTTGTAAGGGGGTGTGCAGCCATTTATTTACACCTCATACCAGGCTGGTTGCGTACCAAGCATAAGGCGTTTATCCGTCAATTCCAACTATGATTGTGTCAACGCCTCAGTATTGTTACTAACCCTATTCCATGAAAAGAGAGATTGTATATAAATGCGATTGCGTAGAGCTAAAACAGAAGAGAATCAATTCGCCATAAAAAGAGCCCCACTTCACACTGAACTACGTGTTTTTTTCTCACGTACACTCACTAACATCATCTATATAACCACATTGCTTGACATTTTTAACAAACTGTTCTTCAGACGACAATATCCTTTTGTTATTGTTATAAAGTGATGTCTTGCTTCCCTCTCTCTCTCTAATTCTATCATTCTCTTTTGGTTTTCCTCTTAGATTGATGCATATAATCGTGATTCAGTTGCTCAAGACATGACAAAACGGATATCAAATACTGAGTCTACCTAGTGTGTTGTCAAGTTGAATCGAGTTGGGGTTTGGAGTAAAGTGGAGAATGCGGGGGGAGGGGGCGGGAGGCGAGGCAAATAATTCACTGTGACATGTAAATATATTACTTGTATTTGAATTTGAGGATATATTTTGTTGGGTTTTTTGATATGTGAAAATAAATTTTTAATTAAACCTAACAAGTCTTCTTGCGTGATATATATCATTATTATTATATCCTTTAATTCCTGAAGGAACATAGGGCTTCAGCCGCGAGTCTCCATTGCGTTCGGTTCTCTGCTAAAGTTTTCACCTGGCTACAAGTCTGTCCACATGCTTTCATCTCCTCTTCACATGACCTCCTCCGAGTCACCCTTGTACTGGCGACCAACTCGTCGCTTCCCTTTCGGGTTCCACTCGAGTGATGGCTTGTCTAGTGATGTCACTTGATGGTTTCCTCAGAGTATGGCGAGTCCATCTCCATTTCTCTCTGCCTATTTGTTGCACAATCGGATCCCACTGGGTTGGTTCGTTCATTGCCAGAGATACCTGTTGCTGATCTTGAGTATTGAGTGAAGATAGCTCTTGATTGATGAAGATCTGTAGTTTGTTTGAGGTGCTCTTTATGACGTGCGAAGTCTCTGATCCGTATAGTAGCACTAACTGACTTCACATTTGAGTTGAATATCCGGATCTTATTTTTCATGCTGACAGGTGCTGTTGACTTCCACACAGGCTTGAGAGTAATGAAAGCTTGTCTTCCATTTCCGATCCTCGCTACTTTGATATCCTCGTCAGTCTCGTCCGCCTGTAGTTGAAAAGATGCTTCCCATGTTGGTAGGTAAAGGAGGTTGTTTCTTTCAGGTTCCTCCCATTTGTCCTGATTGTTGTCTGTTTGCTAGGAATCTTCATTACCTCTGTTTTCTATATGTTCATCTGAATTCCTATCTTTGATGATTCTTCTGCCGGGCGTAGATAAAATTTGGACATCACGATAGGTTGTTATTCCATATTTTTATTATTATTATTCTCCTTACTTACGAGTAGAATTATAGGGCTTTAGCAGCTGGCCTCCACTTTATCCTATTTTTAGCGGCCTAGCTTTAGGTTACCTCAGGGTTGCCCATAGTCTCTTATCCTCTCTTCGCACGATCTCCTCCATGTCACCTAGGACCTACACATCTAACTCATCGTTTCTTATTCATGTTACACTCGAGCGATGGCCTGGCGCGTAATATCATTCTACGATCTCCTCATTGTGTGCCCAGTCCGTCTCCATTTTCTTCGGAATATTTGTTGAACAATAGAAGGTTCTTGATTGGTCCGTTCCAAGAGATTTTTGTTGATATTTCTCTTTGACTAGCCTGCCGGCCAGTCATCTGCTGTTCTGTATACAGCCTATTGGAGATGCTTTTCGTGACACTAACACAATGTTTCTATAACCTATATAGAAGAACTGGCTGACTGACTGACTGACTGACTTCATTTTGGTGTGGAAAATTCGAATTTTTTTTTTGATGCTGAATGAGTGGAACAGCATTTGAAACTGATTTCAGATTGATAAAGACGTACCGTGCTTTTCTCATTTTCGCGGTGTTTGACATCTTCATTCCATGATAGGTGCGTACTGATGAAGAGTCCCAAATTAGGACGAAACAGCTGTTCAGTACTCCCCAGGTTTTCCAGGGCTTCTCTAACTGATGTCAGCTCATGATGAAATCCTCCATCCAATCAAACAAATATATCTACAAAACCAATAATCTGATGCTCACTAGCGACTGGGGTTCTAGTGGGAAGCCGTGACCATTGGCGTCCAGCAGGTAGAAGATGAGGCAGTATTTCATCGAAGAAGATATTGTGAAATGGTCGCGCTCTGTCGTGAATAGGCAGAAGTTAGAATTCAAGAACCATTGGATCGGGTCCCTGTGGCTCAATGGTCTAGAGCTCGCTAGCCCTGTAACCAGAAGGTCATCGGCTCGAACCGTGGAGGCGTATGCGTACTGATGTGAAGAGTCCCAAACTAGCACAGAGGAAACAGCTGTCCAGTACTCCCAGGTTTTTAAGTGGTTTTCTAACTGATGTGAGCTCATGATTAAATTCCTCCATACAATGATAGGAAAATGTTTATTTCGATATAACACACGATTACAAACACAGGATTATTGATTAACTGATAATGTTTCGAGCATAATTCACTGCTCATAACCCGATCGAGGTGTCAAAATAACTTTCAGATTTTGTTAATTCACTTGCGTTATTTCTTCTCCTTTGGGATTATATTGGTAGTAATGTTTTCCATATCTCTTGTATTGTGAGGTAGCGTCATGCCAAACTGCATGTGTGTTAGGTGTAAACTCGATGAATAAAGATATAGAGGGATCAATGTCTCAGTCCGCCTACCTGTTGATTATCGCGATATACCGGAAGGGAGACAAGTTTTCCTGTGATAATCATAGGAGGATTAGCTTGACTAATATGGTATCTAAAGTTCTAGGCTCAGTAATAATGCGTAGAGTAATTGGTGCTCGGGAGGAGCAAAGACGAGAGAACCAGGCAGGTTTTAGACACCAGGAAGAAGGTGTATTGATCACATCTTCACCCTTTGATAGATTCTGGAACATAGGCAAACTCACCACCGGCGTCCAACAATTGCCATATTTCTTGATCTAAAGGCGGGATTTGATTCTGCCGACTAAGAGGTACTCTGGCGATGCTTGGCTGTAAAAGGAATGCCGAGAAAATACATTGCACTGATCAAGGCACTCACTCTACTCGAATTCATGCAGCTAGATGAGAGCTTATGGTGAGTTGTCATCTGAACTGGTGACAACTAGTGGTGTCCGTCAGGGATGCCCATTATCCCCATTTGCATTGAATTTCATCTTAGATGTACTAATGGACTTAACCCTAACTCACTTCAGAGACTCAGGGATTGACTTGTTACCAGCAGGGAATAATCTTGATGACTTAGAATATGCATATGATATATTCCTTCTAGGTGAAGACGCTGACAAAATGCATCAAAGTGCTCTGAACATCTTGAGCTGCAATCTGTGAATGTTTGGCATGCGATTCGCTCTCGTCAAATGTAAGATGATGCTACATGACTGGACTGGACTACATTAACGTTTAGCTTAGAAATAGGGAATGAAGGCACAGTGCTGATTGACCAGTTCACTTTTAAAGCCTCCTGGTTAACATCAATCTTGTGTTCTGTATCCACAAGATGAGATAGAATGGCGCTACTAATAGATCTTGTTTGTCTTTTACTTAACCACTAAGCAGAGTGATGTTCGGAAATTCGACAAGAAAAACACGCTTAATTGTACGGCCTATATAGCTGCCTCCACCACAGGAACAGTTAAATTGGTTTATACACATAGAAGAAGCAAATGCAAAATAGAGGAGTGGTTTTGAAGACACAGTGTGACTTAGCAGCAGGGAATGCTATTTTTACTGCATTGCTAAGGTGTTTTGTTATTTTGAAGCAACTGAATTCGTAAGGATAAGACCCTTTTAGGAACTGTTAGTACCCTTAGGTACCTAGTGGAACATAGGGCTTCAACTGCATGTCTCCACTTGCCACTTCTGTCTTCCTTCTGCTGAAATTTTCACCTGCATCCATCTTAGTTAGTCCATACTCTTTCAACTCCCCTTCACACCATCTCCTCCATGTCACCCTTACACCGACGTCCCACACGCCGCTTCCTTTTCGGTCGGGTTCCACTCGAGCAATGGCCTGACGCGCTCGCGCGATGTCACCAAACGAGCGGCCTCCTCAGCGAATGTCCAAGCCATCTTCCTCCACTTTCTACAGCATATTTGTTGGTTGGCGATTGATTGGTTCTTGTTTTGTTTGTTTGTCCCCATAGTTTGGTGACTGTTGGTGATTCTTTCCGGCCAGGCCATCTGATCTTCAGTATAGAGAGAGCAAAGACAGTTGTTGGTTGATGAAGGTCTGCAACTGGCTGTTGGAAATATTCTTTGTGACCCGCCAAGCGCCAAGTTTCTGATCCGTAAAGAACAACTGACTGACTGACTGACTTGACATTGTTTGTATTGAAAATCCGACCGAATTTTGTTGTTGATGCTGGCTGAATGACGAAGATTGGCTTCCAGATTGGTTTCAGGTTGATGAATGTGTGTGTTTCTCGCCTTCTCGATTATCGAGCGATTTGACATAATCGTCCATTCCGACTGTTTGTAGTTGAGACGATGCTCTCTTCATAAGTGAGTGAATGAAGTAACCTCTCTCAAATCCCTCCCGCTGATGGAGAGTGGCGCTGGATGTTGCTGTTGTTATTGTTGGTTGGTTGGTAGGTTGGTTATTTTCAATACCTCCGTGTTGTCTATGTTCACCTGGAGTCCTGTCTTCGTCGGCTGCTTCTTCGACCAGTTTGTCGGTTGGTTTTCTCTTGTAAGTCTTCGACTTTGTGACAGTGACATTAAACATAAATCATCGCCGCGCGAAATCCATGTCTTCTAGGTTCTTCACGTCGGTCCAGGATATCCCTGTCTTTTTCCCACTGTCTGATACAATTAGGAATATCATTCATTGGTGATGATAAGCAGCCTTGTCTGACTGACTCCTGTGTTTACTCCAAACGCCTCGCTGAATTTTCCGTTGTTGATCACTTGACATGTACGGCAGTTGTCGTACCGCGTAGATTACTAGCTGGCTAGTTTTCTAGCCGGTCCTATGCCCGGATAAAGAGGCAGGGTTGGGACGTGGTGCTAGCAACTCCACCCCTCAAAACTTAACCAAAATGCTAAAGAAACTTCAACGCATAAATATATTAAAAATACTAAAATATATATTAGGTCAAATATTGTTCAATCAACAATAGAATGTAATGTGATGTACACAAACTACAATTCAGTTATTTATAAAAAAAAATAATAAAACTATGAGCACATGAATGATCACTATTCACATTTAAATATTCCACTAATTGTGTTTTTAGTGTTTCTAAAAATTTCACCACACATGACACTTGTGTCTGGGATTCATTGGTGATCCGAATGGACAATTGTATGCTCTCGAGAAGTCTTCATTGTTCAACAGCACATCATTCACTCTGAATAAAAAAGGGGAGGGGAGAGAGAGAAGAGAAGTGTAGCGCTTTTTGTGGTAGTGATTAAAATTACCCACTGACACATCAGCAGCAACATCCAGCGCCACTCTCCATCAACCGGAGGGATTTGAAAGAGGTTACTTCATTCACTTATCTAGAATTGAGCATTGTCTCAACTACACGATGAACGGACGAGAATGTCAAATCGAGTGAGAATCGCGAAGGCGAGAAACACACACATTCATCGACCTGAAACCAATCTCGAAATCTTCGTCACTCAGTTAGCATCAACAACAAAATTCGGTCGGATTTTCAATACAAACAATGTCAAGTCAGTCAGTCAGTCAGTTGTTCTTTACGGATCAGAAACTTGGCGCTTGGCGGGTCACAAAGAATATTTCCAACAGCCAGTTGCAGACCTTCATCAACCAACAACTGTCTTTGCTCTCTCTATACTGAAGATCAGATGGCCTGGCCGGAAAGAATCACCAACAGTCACCAAACTATGGGGACAAACAAACAAAACAAGAACCAATCAATCGCCAACCAACAAATATGCTGTAGAAAGTGGAGGAAGATGGCTTGGACATTCGCTGAGGAGGCCGCTCGTTTGGTGACATCGCGCGAGCGCGTCAGGCCATTGCTCGAGTGGAACCCGACCGAAAAGGAAGCGGCGTGTGGGACGTCGGTGTAAGGGTGACATGGAGGAGATGGTGTGAAGGGGAGTTGAAAGAGTATGGACTAACTAAGATGGATGCAGGTGAAAATTTCAGCAGAAGGAAGACAGAAGTGGCAAGTGGAGACATGCAGTTGAAGCCCTATGTTCCACTAGGAACTCAAGGGAACAATAATAGTAATAATAAAATTATTGTAATAATAGTAATGACAACTGAAATAAAATGGCAAAGTTATAATTAAATGATAGAAAGGTGACACCATGAAATTACACAAAAAGAACGATGGAAGAGTCGTTTCACTTTGCTAATTACATAGTAACTTCTGATATGTTTCACGTCTAACAGTGTCTCTATCACATAAAACACGGGCTAAATAGGGTATTGTAGAATTTTTGTACTAAGTGGTTTGAGTATATAACTTCTTATATTCACTTCTCGTCCTATCTGATGAGATGCAAGGGGATAGTTGTGAACAAAGCTAGGCGGGTGCAGGGGGTCTGACAGTATGGCCTTTGCCTATTTTGTACAAGAATTTATGTATCTCTCGACTATAATATTGGCGAGCTCACTCAGTGGAATACCACAAGCCCTACTCACAGCGTTTAATACCCTTCGTAATATGATATCGTCTTTTTTTTGAGAAGCCTAGGAAAGTTTAATGGAGAGCAATAGAGTACAATAGGTAAAATACAGGAGTTTAAAAATTGCAGAAGTAAAGGTTGGTTGATACCTGATTGTCTTAACTTTTTAATGTAGAAGGTAAGACGAAACATTTTCTTAGAAATTGATAAGACGTGGGATGTGAACGATGAAAGGTTAGAGGAAAGGACTAATCCAAGGTATTTCATGCTTGACTTGGTTTCAATTTCCGTGCCATCTATGATACAGGCATCATGGGAACTAACTAGGCAATGTATGTCACGTCGATGCTTGAAAGTAAAGTCAAGCGCCTGACATTTGGAAGAATTTAACATAAGACCATTTGACTTAGACCACTTGCTGTAATGTCCAGCAGAAATCTATTAAGTTTGGAGCAGTCAGACTCGGAAGTGATAGGCAGTGAGTGATACAGTCAGATCATCTGCATATTTGACAAATTTAGTTTTGTTTAAATGAGGCAGGTCATGTAGGAAGAAAGAAAAAAGAAAAGAGGACAAGTCGGACGGCACCTTGAAGAACACCAGCTCTTGTAAGCGAGGCAGAAGATTTGCCATTATGTATACAGTATACTGCATTCTATCAGAAAAATAGGAATGCAACCAACTCTTAGCCCAAGATCCTGTTTGTGTCAACGAAAGCTTTTTTAATAAAAGGCCCTAGGTACAGAGTCAAAAGCAGATGTGTAGTCTAGGAAAGCACCACGAACATACGACCGATAAAGTAGAAAAGTTGTATTCTCTGCCTGTAAATGAGAATCCTTTATTATATGCGACTACAATTCAAGAGTTACCTTACTAACAAGGTAAGAAAATCTATGCAAAAAGCATTCTAATGCTGGCGAACTACCATTTATATTGGTTACAGGATTTCATCATGAGCTGACATTTGTTAGAGAACCATTGGAAAGCCAGTTAGGGAATACTAGAGAGCTGTTTCGTCCTAGTTGGGTACTCTTCATCAGTACACACCCAACACCACGGTTCGAACCCAGGACTTTCTGGTTACAAGGCGAGCTCATACACAATTCATCCACTGGGAACTGGTCCTGTGGCCCATGAATTCTAACTTCTGCCAATTCAGGCTATAGCGCAACCGCTAGCCAATGTCTTCCGTGGCGAGTAATTGTCCTCACACCTGACCCGCTGCACCCTACTGGTCACGACTTCCCACTGGAACCTACCTGAATAGGGCCAGTCACCAGTGAGCAGTGCGTACTGATGAAGAGTCCTGAACTAGGACGAAACAGCCCTCCAGTAATCCCAGGTTTTCCAACGGTTCTCTGACCAATGTCAGCTTATGATGAAATTACTATTATCATAATAATTTTATCATGAGCTGGATACCAGTCATGTTTTCTACACCACGACCGATTGTGATTTCTCAATTGAAAGATGATGAACCTAGACTAGACCTAGCCACCTCTAGTTGTTTCTATCAATTCAACTACGCTTGTGATAGATCGAGTCATCTAGTCCGTCATAAGATTTAATAGTGGGAAATATTCCCATATCATGAATTGAAAGTCAGCCTGAACGAAAAATATCCTTTCTTCACAATAATTTCTCCTCTTCGGGTTCTTACAATTATAAAACAATTACAATAATATTTGTTGTCGTTAGAATAATGATAGCCAGTTATGTGGTAGATACGTAGAATAACAGATTAGTAATTCTGAGGTGTCAAAATAAATAGTCGTATTTGTGTGACAAACATCGTGCTAGGCTGAAATCGATTGCAAAATATTGTAAAATGGCAGGCAATGGTGGTGATTAGTTGTCATAATCGATTCGTAGAATGTTGTGGAATAGGAAAATTGACAGAAGCATAAACAGCTCGATCCTGTCACACACTTGATTGATACTAGACATGACAAAGCATCGACGTCAACATAGTTTTCAGGGTTTCTACCGTTACAGTTCGCTTAAATCTGCTACACATAGCTGAAGCTTTTACACTAAGATCGACTAAACCGGAACTTTGCATCCAAAATGAAAACGTCCAGACGCTGTTCATTCCATGGCCAAACTTGGATTGATGATTCTTCTTTCTCATCAAGAGTGCTTCTTCTCCTTAACTCTCTTGTTTTCTTTCTTTGCTTATTACTACGATTATTATCATTATTATTCGTCGTAATGTATACCCTTCATGCAAACACTCTCTCAATCCTATCGAATGTTCCATTTATACTATCCGGACCTATTATTACTGATGTCATCTCTTTTCTCAATATATACATCCACATGTTTGATTGCGCACATTCTTTATTTCATAATGAACCTCTCATTGCAGTCTTGGTATCTTCTGTCTAATACAGACCACTTTAAACTAGCCGCCCACCTGACACATTTTGTAACCTTGAACTGACTTGTCAATTTTCCTACGCCACAACATTCTATAAATCTATTATGCCTAATCACCATCATTGTCTCCTATTTTACAATATCTTGATTTTTGATTTACAGCTTGATTCCACACTGTATTTTTGGTACAAGTATGGAATTTTCAGCATGGATATCGGTAGCCCAAATTTTGCAGGCCGACCATAGATATCAGGTGTGCGCCGGCGTGGGCTCGAACCCCGGACCATGTGCATGGTCGGTGAGAGTCCTAACCACTGTGCCACCGACGCACAGTGGTTAGTGCCTAGCACGACGTTTGTCACACAAATACGACTATTTATTTTGACACCTCAGAATTACTAATCTGTTATTCTACGTAAAAACAAATATATCCGCCGCATAACCAACTGACTATCATTATTGTAACGACAACAAATATTATTGTAATTGTTTTATAATTGTAAGAACCTGAAGAGGAGATATTATTGTGAAAGAAGAATATTCTTCGTTCAGGCTGACTTTTAATTCATGATATCGTCCATTTCTGTAGGAAATTAATTTTTCGTGCTCGTTCGGGAACACTTATCAGTGTGGTTCAACGAAGGTGTAGTGAAAACCATCACCAACAGTTTGATGATAGACCATCTGGTCCTAACCAGCCGGTCACAAAGCTAACCTTGAAGAATCCATCCCCGCTATCATCTATCGGTCACCAAATGAATTGCCAGATGCTTTAAGGCACCCAATACTTCAAATAGGATTAGCTTCTCCTGTCGATTCACCTAAAACAACTTATGCTGTGTGTGTGTGTGTGTTCAGAAGAAACAGGTCCAGCCAGACACAATTACCGACCTGGCCGGCCTTCAGGGCAGACAATGAATTCAAGATTTCTGTATCATTGCTCCTCCTAATTCGTCTGAGATTCAGTGTGCAGTGTTATTATGTTGCTGTGGAACCACGATTGATTGATATTAGTATAACTGATTCGATGTTATCTAATCAATAATGTTGTTAACAACCCTTATTAGTTTGTTTATTAGATATATCACACAGTCAGTGATGAAACAGTATTATTTACTGGATGACACAGTTTCGAACAAAATTTATTGCTGTTCATAATCATACCAATTATAGCCACACAACTTTGAAACTTAGACTTTATAGTTTTCTTTATCCTCTCCTATTTGTAGTCGTAGGGGTAGTAGAATTTTCCAGATATCCGCCTGGACAGGTGTTGAATCGTCATTCCTGTTACATATATTTGCAATTGATTCGATAAACAAAGCTTCTGTCATCAATCTCTCCGTCCACCCTGTGACATTAGATTTTAAAACTGCCATCCAGTCTATTGTGTGGTTGTGTGTACTTGCATGTGGTGTAATGCTATAGCTGGACTATTCTGTCTCTAGATTTCTTATTTTATTTGGGCCAACTAATCTAGATTTTGCTAGGATTTTATGCTCGCCTAGTCTGACTCACTGACCCTGTTCCACTAGTTTGATAAGTCTATGTATTTGACCTGACAATCATTTCAGGCAGAGTATTAGATAAACTAAACTGTTTTGTTTTAAAGGCTCCACAGGATTGATCCTTAAACCGACAAAGCTTGTTTCTAATTGAGTTTGTGGGTTTGAATACCAGCCACTTTTATTCCTGCTTTGTTAAGAATTCTGTGTAAGGTGGTTTCCGAGATTCCTTCCTTGTATGGAAATTACTACTGATGGTTTAGATTCCTTATTGTTGGTGTTGTCTTGTGCATGTTTGACATGCATGTCGTCATTACTATCTCTATTATTATTATCATTATTATTGTTATTATTATTATTATCACTATCGCTACTATCATTATTTATTTTATTTTTAAGTTTCCCTACATGCTTTCTGAATAATTTATCAAGGTAATTATTAAGTTTCAAGGCTTCTTTTATGTGTATCACTTCTTGTCTAAGATATTCCTTGGTACTACTTAGTTTTTCTGCTCTACCACCTAAGTATCTCACTAATCCTATTTTTACTGACATAGATTGGGTGGGATGATCGGAAGTCCAAATATCTGTTTAAATGTGTGGGTTTCCTGTTTAACTTCCCATCTTCTTTCGTTTTTATACTGCAATCTAACATTGAAAGCTCCCCCACCTTTCCTGACTTTCCAATTCATAAGTGAATTGAATTGCCTCTACCTTCGAGTTGATGTTTTCGAAAAATTTATCTACATCCTGTGTTCTAAGTACAGTGAATGTGTCATCTATATACCTTCACCACACGCTTTGGGTGGGTGGGTGTGAACGTTTCAATCGCTATGTTTTCCCACCTATCCATGAATATATCTGCTACAGCCATGGGATATTGGTGATCCCTTGGAATTTGAATACTGTGGAAGTCAGACATAGCTGCACTCCCAGGATTCCAGATATTTGAAAAATTCTACTACCCCAACGACATCAAATAGGAGGAGACTATAAAACTCAAGTTTCAAAGTCGTGTAATAATAATTGATGCTGTGATTGTGAACAATGATGAATTGTGTTCAAAACAATGTCATTCAGTAAATAATACTGTTTCACTCACTGTGTGATATATCTAATAAACAAACTAATATGGAATTACTTACTACCACAGTGCCCAAGTTTAACACACAAGTTTTATATTAAGTTAACTATCCTAATTCTTTCATTATTATAAGTGGATATATAACTGCAGAAGCTGATGTTGAGCAGCTTGTTGAGAAGAATTTTTTTGTTTTAGTTATCAGTGCTTTGAAATTTCTAGTGGGCATTTTCGATCAATGGCTATCAGATATTATTAATTAATTCTATCCTATTGTTTCATTGGACGGAAGTGTTCGGCCTTTGTCGACATGTGGGCTCTTCGCGTGAATGCTTCGATGGTGATGTCTTAGGATGAATTAACTTGAAGTAATTTTGGTCGATGGGGACTAGGCGAATATTTTGGTCCAATCAATCAGAGTGAAAATCGACATTTAATTAAAAATAAATGTCGCACAATCGGTTATGGCTGTCGTGCCCCACACCACCGTCCCCGAAGTGGTCTAATGGAGAACACGCTTCAGTGCTTGAAAAGATGGGTATGCTAGGTTCCAACCTGAGTACGAATACAATTACTCACTCACTCACTCACTCACTCACTTACTCACTCATTCCTTGAGAAATGCACTTATTCATGGATAATCCCCATTCAGGCATTATTGAAAACAAAACACGTAGGTCAGTAAAGAGTCTCTTTTCGCCGGCGAATTCAATCACGCTTACCTTTACAATCGCAAATATATATATATGTGTGTTATTTTGTATGTATGTGTACATTAAGTTTGTCAACGAAAAATAGACAATTGGTTATGGTTATTATTTTAACTAAACAGGTGAAGATTGGTAATACAAGTCAAGAAAATTAGGTGGCAATGAAATTAGGGTAGCTAACAAAGGTGATGAGTTGTCACAAACAGTTGTTAAAAAAGAAGTTATGTAATAACAATATGAATAGTTTGATGAGTGAGTTTTACTCAGGATACACATAGAAACAACAAAGTAGATAATAGGAAATTACGTAGGAGTTCTAAATGAATACAAGAATAATTCTAAGCAATTGAAGAAACAGGTAAACAAACAAAATGAAATCATAAAAATCAAAAAAGTTGTTGCCACGACAGTAGAAGTGGTTGAGTAATTCTCTTTTGTATGCACAGTTCCGGTTTTTCTATGTGAATGGCCAGAGCTTCAGCGATACAAAGAAGACGAAACCGTATTGCCTTTGATAGGTGGTTATTCTTGACTCTGTAGATTACTTTGAAGCAGGGGGCGTTTGTTGAGATGGGATGATCAGTCTTAACCAGGTGTTCATCACTGAAGATCTGGCCATTCACATAGAAAAACCGGAGCTGTGCATACAAAATAGGATTACTCAACCACTTCTACTGTCGTGGCAACAACTTTTTTGATTTTGATGATTTCATTTTGTCTTTTTACCTGTTTCTTCAATTGCGTATAATTCTTGTATCCATTAGGAACTCTTACGTAATATCGTATTATCTACTTTGTTCATATGTGCATTCTGAGTAAAACTCACTCATCAAACTATTCATATTGTTATTACATAACTTCTTTTTAACAACTGTTTGTGACAAATCATCACCTTTGTTACTACCCTAATTTCATTGCCACCTAATTTTCTTGACTTGTATCACCAATCTTCACCTGTTTAGTTAAAATAATAACCATAACCAATTGTCTATTTTTGTTTGACAAACTTTATGTACACATACATACAAAATAACACACATATATAATTGCGATTGTAAAGGTAAGCGTGAATGAATTTGCCGGCGAAAAGAGACTCTTCACTGACCTACGTGTTTTGTTTTCATAAATGCACACATATATCCACTGGCTTATACGAGTTCCTCAGATAGCACGAAATGCCTATGTGTTCTGGTGAATTCCATTACAGCTAGTCAACCCCGCCCCCCTCCTCAACTAAATATTACACCCAAACATGTTTAGCATACTCCTTCTGCATAATGATCAGTAATCAACAAAGGAATATAAAATAAAGAGTGTGAGATATGAAAGAATACATGCGAAAAATCCTACCTATAAAAATTTAGAACGTGTATATCTTTGACTTGTTTCAATAATCCAGTCACACTATGGTATCCACAAAGAGTCTGGAAAAGCAAAATTAAATGAAATCAACTTTAGTATTGAGTTATGTAAAGATCACTGTTTTACAGAGTTAGAATAAACTATCCGATAAATGTAGTTAAAAGAAGTTCGTACTAAAGGAATTTACTCTGAAAAAGAGGCAAAACACTCTTGAGCTAACTAACCATAATGCACTAGTGGAGATGATGTGAAGTATACATGGATTTTATTGAAGTGTTCTCTGAGCTGGATAGTTTAGTTGTGAGGCTGCCCCTTCATTTTCTGCCTAGACAAGATCCGCCTAGACTTCACAATACGATAGTCTGTGCGAATTCTGTCCTGGTAGACAATAAATGATTTATGTTTGACGTTACACAAAATCGAAGACTTACAAGTGAAAACCGACCGACAGACTGGTTGAAGAAGCAGCTGGCGAAAACAGGACTCCAGGTGAACATATACAAGGCAAAGGTTATGAAAATAACCGACCAACCAACAACAGCAACATCCAGCGTCAAACGCCATCAATGGGAGGGATTTGAAAGAGGTTACTTCATTCACTCACTGATCTAGGAAGCATTGTTTCAACTACACGCAGTCAGAACCAACGAGGATGTCAAATCGAGCGAGAATCGGGAAGGCGAGAAACACACACATTCGTCAACCTGAAACCAATCTAGAAGCCAATCTTCGTCATTCAGCCAGCATCAACAACAAAATTCGGTGGGATTTTCCATACAAACAATGTCAAGTCAGTCAGTCAGTTGTTCTATACGGATCAGAAACTTGGCGCTTGGCGAGTCACAAAGAATATTTCCAACCAACAGGTTTGAGACCTTTACCAACCAACAACTGTCTTTGCTCTCTCTATACTGAAGATCAGATGGCCGGGCCGGAAAGAATCACCAACAAGAAACTATGAGGACAAACAAACATAACAAGAACCAATCAATCGCCAACCAACAAATATACAGGAGAAAGTGAAAAAAGATGGACTGAACACTCGCTGAGGAGGCCGCTCGCTGAGTGACATCGCGCGAGCGCATCAGGCCATCACTCGAGTGGAACCTGACCGAAAGAGAAGCGGCGAGTGGGATATCCGTGTAAGGGTGACATTGTGGAGATCGTGTGAGTAGGAGTTGAAAGAGTATGGACTAACTAACATGGATGGATGCAGGTAAAAAGTACAGCAGAAGGAAGACAGAAGCAAATGGATACGTGCAGTTGAAGTCCTGTGTTCCACTAGGAACCCAAAGGAACAATAATAATAAGAATAGACAATGGAAGCTTTGTAAGTGAAGCATTTAGATGGGAGTGTACCACTGCGCCAGAATGGGAAATATGGCTTGAAACAGAACATATACATTGCTCACTGTTCTCTGCATCCTGCTTTAGGTGGTTCCGAGTTCACTCATATGCTCTTATCTAACTCCTCACACCATCTTCTCCATGTCATACCCGAACTCACAGCGAACTTGTCTTCTTCTATTTGCGTTTTACTCCACTGCCTGCCTGGCAATCCAGCTCTTTTTTCTTCTTCTCACAGTTCGTTCACAGAGATCTTCAGCTTGGAGCCAGCCTGAAGCATCTTTTGATGAAAGCATGCAGTAGTCTGTCCAAAAGTCCCTTAGTGTTGCTAATGTCATACAGAAGATGTGGCTGATTTGTCACTGAAGTTGAAAATATGAAGTTTTTTCCTTCATATTGAGTTCTTAACTTCTATGAGTGTATGAGGTTCTGCTTTGCCTTTCCGATTCTAGCTGCGTTTTTGACATCCTCATTGATGTCATTTGCTTATAGTTGGAGTGATACTTCCTAGATAAATGAAGGAATTGGCCTCTTTCAAATTCCTTCCTTTGATAGTAATTAGTGCCCGCTGTTATTGGTTTGTTATGTCAATCACCTCCATCTTTTCTACATCCACTTGAAGTCCTATTTTTGCTGCCTGACTCTTCTGAAGACATTTCAGTTTCCTTCTGTTGATCATCGAGTTTGCAGCGAAAGAAGATTAAAACCAACATCATCTACAAAATAAATTGTAACAACTGCAAAAAAAACACTACATTGACCAAAGTGGACGTCGTCTTCGTATTGGTATCCATGAATATAAGCTATCCATCAAAAGATATGATATCCACTCCCTCATATCACCTCAGTGCATACAGACAACCAAGGACATCAATTTGACTGGGACAACGTTCAAATATTAAAGAGAGGAAACAACAACAATAATGCTAGAGAATTTTTAGAAGCCTGCCCGGCGTTCCGGTGAATCATCAATCAGTAGACACATTGAGATAGACAAAGTTTATCAACCGATAAGAAAGAAACTTCGCACACAAAGGATAAAAGTTCAAGTCAAAGAAACAATCAGTTCCAATACTACAAGTAGCCTCCTAGAAGGTGTGAAAACACACAAAAACAACCAATCACGTCCAAGGTGGTTGGTCAACGACCAGGAGAGATGATTAATGAACTAGTGGATAAATCTAAAAGCTCACTCCATGAAATTGAAGTATACGCTGAAGATGTTGCCTAGTAAGTATGGCGATGAAAGCTTCGCATATTAACCATCCAGCTCAGAGAACACAACGACATCAAAGTCATCCACCTCAGCTACAAATCTTCTCTATCATATTTAATTCCGAAGTTAGTTGAAACATCCGAATAAGCGCAAACATTGTAATGAGATCTTTCAGGAGGGATATTCTAAACAATTATTCAATCACACCTCCTGCATTATCCTCTTTCAACACATCAGGTAATAGAAAGGACCAGTTTTCATCATAGCTGTGCCTTCAAATTAGAAATTAGAGCTGCTACGACAGATTCACTTAGATAACTAACAATGACTGATATCACGACATCATCGTCAACTGATATCGGTTAGAGGACCATTGGAAACCCAAGAGAGAGAGAGTACTGATCAGCTGTTTTGTCGTAACCTCGGACTCTTCAAGAGTAGGCACCCCCGCCAAGGTACGAACCCAGTACCTTCTAATTACAAGGTTAGCGAGCTCTTAGACTAATAATCCACTGGGACCCGATCCAATGACCAATCCATGAATTTCATCCTGGGTTCTGGTTGGAAGTCGTGATCAGTAAGGTAGAGAGGGTTGGCTGTGAGGACACATACACACCAGCGATGATATACGCTAGTGGTTGCACCTTATCATGAATTGGCAGAAGTCCGAATTCACAGGCTGGTCATTGGATTGGGTCCCAGTGGCTGATGAATGGTCTATGAGCTCGATAACCAGAAGTTCCTGGGTTCTAGTCATTGTGGTGAGTGTGTACCATTGAAGAGTCCGAGGCTATGACAAAACAGCTAATCAGTACTCGTTGGCAGTTTTCAGTTGTTCTCTGTTATGTACTGCTGCTGAGTGAGTTATTAGAGTTTTTCCCGTCACCAGTTGTGTTATGTACTCGTCGATTAGTTAATAGTCCTGACGCGGAAAGAGGGAAATCAGAAGACCACGAGGTTTACGATGATACTTGTATTTTCCAGACAAGGAAAATAAATGTCACACAAGAGTGTGAGTGGAAGGGTACTTAGATGTACGAAACGTGTGAACAAGAATATATAAAAGTGTACAAAGCAAGAGTATATATGAAAATGGCTAATACACATGAACCAATAAATAGCCAGTCTTACCATGATTGGTTGTAATGTCATGTGATAACAAGGTCATACATTGTTTATTTAGTTAGTGGAGAGACAAAAGCATAATGTCAGTTATAATGGAATATCGATCCATATACACATAGCAAAATATAACAGACTGTCAAAAACAAAACACACACATCATGTGGATACATATCATTCTCTAAGTGATATCACCAACTCATGGTCATACCTGTAATTCATCCATTTTACTTGATAATGACTGTTCATGATTCCGTGGTTATTCCACTGCACACGACTCGCTAGTACTTTTTGGGCGTAAAATAGTAGTCAAAATGAAACAAAAGATTACATACCTGAGCAAATGTGAGGAAAAATAACTGATCAGAAGTGTAAGGGGAGTTCGAGGTTTCATTGACAACTTGTGGAGGGTTCTTCTTCTTCAATCTATGGTATGTCTGTAAGTACATCAGAGGTAGAAACATTCTGGTTAGAAGTCAATGAGTGATACCATATAATAACTCAAACATCAATTCTTAGATGCCATTGTCTTTAGTAGCTTTAGTAGCGCTTATTTTAAAACACTTGGCTTATGCGTTTCTTTATGGATCAGAAATTTGCAGTGCGTGTCACGAAGAGGATTTGCAATTGGCTACTACAGAGACTTAAGTCAATGTAAAAACTGGCGCGGAATTATGCTCCTGTCCATCCCAAACACAATACTAAGCCGCATCAACCTGGAGAGAATCAAACAAGCCCTAGATGAAAAACTTCGACCGAAACAGGCTGAATTCAGGAGAAATAAGTCATGTATTGATCAAATCGCCACACTACGGATCATCATTGAACAGAGCTTGGAATGGCAGTCACCCCTCTATCTCAACTTTATCGACTTTGGAAAGGCCCTCGACAGCGTCGATCGAGAGGTGATTTGGCAACTACTTCACTGCTACGGGGTCCCATCAACAATTATACATCATATCCAACAGTTGTGCGACAATGCTGCATGCCAAGTAATCCACAACGGGAAACTTAAGGAATCCTTCGAAGTGAGGACGGGAGTGAGGCAAGGCTGTCGACTATCACCAGTGATTTTCCTGACTACAGTAGATTGGGTAATGCTACAAACAGTGGGCAATCAGGAAACAGGCATAAAACGGACCCTAACAAAAACTTGGAGGATCTGGACTTCGCTGATGATATATGTCCGATTTCCCACAAACCGGAAGGTATGCAAGTGAAAAGCAGTAACTTGGCAGAAGAAGCATCAAAATTAGGACTTCAAGTGAACATAGATAAAACAGAGGTGATGACGATTCCTGGTCAACACCAACAGCAACAATAACAGACAACAATCAGCATAAATAGGAGGAACCTGAAAGAAACAACCTCATATACCTACCGAGGAGGAGAGCATTGTTTCAACTACAGGCGGATGGAACTGACGAGGATATCAAAGCCAGAATCGGAAAAGCAAGACAAGCTTTCATTACTCTCAAGTCTGTGTGAAGGTCAACAGCACTACTCAGCATGAAAATAAGATCCGGATTTTCATTTCTAATGTGAAGTCAGTGCTACTTGCTGTACGGATCAGAGACTTGGCGCCACGTCATGAAGAGCACATCAAACAAACTACAGACCTTCATCAGTCAACAGCTGTCTTCGCTCAATGCTACTCAAGATCAGATGGCCGGTCAGATAAGATCAGCAAGAGGGATTTCTGGCAATGAGCGAACCAACTCAGCAGGAATCGATTGTGCAGCAAATAGGCAGGAGGAAATGGTTGGGGATTGAAGAAACCATCAAGTGACATCACCAGACAATTCATCGCTCGAGTGGAACCCGAAAGGGAAGCGGCGAGATGGTCGTCAGTGCAAGGGTGACATGGAGGAGGTCATGTGAAGAGGAGATGAAAACATGTGGGCAGACTAGGAGTGGGGTGAAAGCGTTGGCAGAGAACCTAACGCAAAGGAGACACGCGGCTGAAGCCCTATATTCCTCTAGAAATTAAAGGAAATAATAGTCTTGTCAACAGCTGACAACTTCACTGGCTCCATACTGAATATTAAATGGTGAGTCAGACAGCTGGTCGGTCAAAAAGAATTGTCTACAAGAAACTCTGAGAACGAATCAATTTAGAACTCCTACTGTTCAGTAAATATGTGGAAGAAAAGGGAGATAGATTGGACACACGCTGAGGAGACCGTTATATGTCACAGTTCGAATGGAATCCGAATGGGAAACGACAGGCAAGTTTGGTGTTTGCCCGGGTATGACATGGAGGAGATCGTGTGATAGACAGAAGATGGAAGCCCGTGTGCAATTGTGGGTCTAGGTGATGATGATTCCAGAGTAGAGGGTCAAATAAAAGTGTCCCGTTAAATTCCTATGTTCCATTCGGCAACCGAAGGAATAATGATGACGTAACAATACATATGCATCCGAACATATAATGCCTAATGTTGTGTGACAAAAGTCTCTTTTAATTTTTAATAATTCGGAAGATTTCTTCAATGAATTTGGTTCGGAATGATTTAGAAATTGGAGATGTATCATGTGAAAGTGCTTCTGTCTCCTTACCAGAATTAAAATAATGACTGCAAATATCTGTCGGTTATAAAGATGAAATAGGGTGGTTTTTGCATAGCATCAATCGCCGTCGACTAGTTTCACTTTACGTCCTTCCATGTATATACTACCTCAACCAACTTTCATTTTTGCTTGTCCTAAGTATGAACGAGTATAAATCACATTATCACCATGATAGACCTCATTCAGTTATGTTAAATTATGAAGAGAAATCAATCAAAATTACTATTTAGACAGATAAACAATGGATTATGCTTTATTGATATGATATGGGGATGGATATCCAGTCTGGAAATTAACCAATCAGAGTTTGGCCTACGTAAAATTACTACAGCCTACTATTTTATTGATTATGATTTCAGACTAATCGATATATATATTCTTCTTCCGTGGAGAAAAAAGCTGGAATCAAGGAAGGCAAATCATGTGCTGATTAAATTGCAGCTGAGCGCATCGTCTTCAGAGAACAAAGCATAAGCTTCAAAAAGGCCTTTGACAGACAGTGTTGTACAAGAAGCGATTTAGAAACTGTTTTAACACTATGGCGTGCAGTGCCCAAGTATTTTTCAACCTCAATCAACAGCTATGTAACAGACAATGCTACCACGTGTCATGCAATCCACAACGGAAGACTCAGCGAAGCCTTTGAAGTGAATATAGTAGTGAGATAAGGTTGGTGGATGCCTATTATCGCCGATGATATTCTTAGTTGTCTTGGACTGGATTATGCGCCAGACTATGAGAAGTGAGGAGACAGAAATTCACTGGACTACCCATAAGAAGACACTAGAAAATATGGATTTAGCGTGTGGATGTATTATTATTTATTTTATTCTTTTAAGCTCCCAGTAGAGCATACGGGTTGAAGCTAAAGCTTTGTAGTTTCGACAGCACCTCATGTCCAGCCTTCTCTCTTTACCAGTCTTATTGCTGGCTTAGCAAGGTAAAGGAGTGCTTTGGACAGCGATCAAACCTCAAATCATCTACGTGGTCGGTGAGCAATCTACCGCTGTGCCAACGACGCACACAAACACACAGGCTCAAAGTCTTACTGATAGGCGAAAACCAATAAACTGGCTAAGGATGCGAGGCAGGCAGCAGAGACAGGATTTCAGGTGAATATGGAGAAGGCAGAGGTGTTGAAGACAACCAACCTACGAACCAACAGCAACAACAACCAGCACCAATCACCGTCAATGGCATACCTCCTTCAATTATCTCACCAGGAAGCACAGTTTCAACCACAAGCAGGCATAATGGATGAAAATGTTAAAGCCAGCCAGAGAGGATCTGAAAGGGATGATACGCCTTCATCAACCTAAAGCCAGTGTGGAAATCTTCTGTACTCAGTCAGCCAGCTTAAACAACAAGATTCGAATTCCATTCATCACAAATGTGAAGTTGGTCAGTCAGTACAACGGGTGATGGAAAGCATTTCTAACAGCCTGGTACAGACTTTTATCAACAGAAACCTTCCTTCGCTGGCTCAATACTGAGGGTAAAATGACTATCCTTTAGACAAAATATCAACAAGAAACACTGGAAGGTGAGGAAAAAACCAAGAGCTGATTAATCAACAAATAAGGGGGTGTGTGATTGCAAATGCCTTAGACATTCGTTGAAGAGGCCGATATCCATGCTGAAAATTCCATACTTGTACCAAAAATACAGTGTGGAATCAAGCTGTAAATCAAAAAAAAAAATGCAGGTCATTGATCGAATGGAACCTGAATAAGAAGCGATGAGTGTGTCATCGGTGGGAGAGCGACATGAAGGGGATCGTGTGACAGGTTGGAGGAAATAAAAGATTATAAACAATCATGGACTCAGCTGAAGCGGACAGCACCAAATGGAAGAACGAACTGGGAGTGTGTTGGTGAAGTTCGACGTTCCACTCAGAAGCCAAGAGAATAATTACAATAATATCTTTGGTTATGTTTTAAATCATTAATATTATTCCCTGAAATACATTTCTCGGCCCAGATCATTGTATGCTTCAGCTTGAATAGAACTGACTGGGTGGTAACAAAAGGTGGCTGTCTTATAATGTTGTTGTTGTTGGTGTGTGTAGTCAAGCTAAATTTGTGATCAACATGTCTGGTCTCCAACTCGATGAATCTCAATGTCACTGCGAAATATAAAAATGGAGATGTCATAACAAAAATATCCGAGAATTTCTTCAAAATATTGTATATGAGGAACATGTGCGCAGACATTCAATCCCATCTTAGGAGATATACATTCTCGCCAATCGATTATTAATACGCATTGTGATGCGAGAATTCAAAATGTGTGCTAACATTAAATGTGTTACACAGTGAGTGTAACAGTATTAGTATTTACTGGATGTCACGACACCTTTCAAACAAAATTTATTGCCGTTCATAATCATTTCATCAATTGTAATCACACGACTTCAAAACTTGAGTTTCATATAGTTTTCTTTGTCCTCTCCAACTCGTCGTCGTATGGGTAGTAGAATTTTCCAGATATCTGGGTGGACAGGTGTTGAATCATTCCTATTACATGTGTTGATTTGCAGTTGATTCGATAAACAAAGCTTCCGTTGACATCAATCTCTCTCCACACCTTGTGACATTAGATTTCAAAACTGTCATCCTATCCCATCCCATCCTATTTTATGGTTGTGTATAATTGCATGTAGTGAGTGGTGTAACTGAACTATTCTCTAGATTTCTTATCTTATTTGGGTCAACTAATCTAGATTTTGCTGCTGGGTTTTTATGTTCGGCTAGTCTGATTGACTGACCCTGTTCTACTTAGTTTGACCTATGTGCTATTTGACCTGACAATCATTCCAGCAGGCAGGGTATTAGATAAAATAAATTTTGTTTTACACATGTATTAATGTGTGCGAACATCAAATGATTATTTTCTACAACTGTATACAGAAAACGTCACCCACCCATCGACATTCTTATATCACTAAACACGTATCCCAACACAGGAAGGTAGATTTTTCCACGAATAGTTATAAAATTTTCGCAAATGTATTTCTAAAATCAAATTTTCTACTGAATGAGACAGTAGACTAGAAAGTTGACCAAAACGGCGAATGTTTCATTAGATTATACTTACTCTGTAGGCTGCCTTCACACCGCCATGATCAGAAATGATTTCACCTTGTGTTAAAACACCTCCACTCTAAGAAATCAACAAAAACATTGATAGATTTCTTATGAAAGTGATACACAATAAAAGTTATCAATGGCGCTAGTCACATTGTGAAGAACACAACTGCGCATATAAGTAGAAAATGTTCACTTATCCATCGGGAAAAATTATTGTCTCAAGTTTGATCACGCGTCGATATCATTTAGAGAAGTAGTGGAAGACCAGCTAAAGAGAACTGGACAGGTGTTTCTTTCTAGTTAGCGATTCATCTGAAGAATGCACCCACCTACCCAATGCGGTTCGAACCCACCAACTTCCAGTTACAGGATAAGAGCTCGTTGATCACCTAGCCGCTGCGGCCCAACTCAATAACCAACCCATGAATTCTCACTTCTACGGGATCGGTAATTTTAATGCGACTGATACCAGGCAGTGCCGTAGGTGGCGAGTACTTCTTCTCACTCCCGACACAAATTGGTAGAAGTTAGACATCCATGTGTTGACCATTGAGGTGTCATGTCCCAGTGTTTGAATAATCCACGAGTTTGAATTGTAAGTGAAAGATCCTGTGTTTGAATCCCTGTGGTGGATGGGAGCATCTCATGGGTTCTGGACTAGGACGAAACAGGTGTTCAGTACTCTTCACTGTTCTTCAATGGTTCTCAAACTGGAAAGACATATATAAATGTGGGTGTCTAGCGTAAAATATCTGTGCGAGTTATTCGTCCAATATGCTACGCTTAAAGGTAAATGCTTCGTATCAATGTAGGCACCACTCACACGTCTTCGGTTAGAGTCTCGAATTCCCTCGTTCAAAAGGGGTGAAAAGGGAGTATAATAAGCACTCACATAATAAGTCTGGCTTATAGCCAAGTGAAGATCCCAGTGGCTGAATGGTATACGAGCTTGCCATGTAACCAGAAGGTCCAGGGTTCGAACCACAGTGGGTGCGTACTGCCAATGATTCCAAAACTAGGATGAAACAGCTGTCCAGTACTCCCTGCTTTTCAATGGTTGTGCGTCGATGGTACAGCGGTTAGGACGCTCGCCGACCATGGTCCAGGGTTCGATCCCTGGCCACAGACGCACTCCTAACACTCACTGAGTCAGTAATACAGCTGGTAAAGAGGAAAGGTTGGGCATGAGGCTAGCAACCCCATCCTGTGAAAATAAATACTGCTACAGAAACTTCAAGTCTCAAGCTTGAAGAAGCCCTATGTTCTACTGGGAACGTTAAGGAATTAAAATACAGTCAAGTGAAGGGCGATCGATACCCAGGTAATCATCCAATGAAATCGCTGACTAACTAATTGACTTACTGATGTTTTGACGGCCTAAGTAACTAAATAAGTGACTAAATAACTAACTTGCTAACCAGCTATCTAATCAGCGCCATCACACCATCTGTATTTTTTACCCTGTTATCTACTTTCTCTTCCAGTTGTCTTTTCAGCGTTTATGAAATGATGATTGTGAGATGTCATCAAAGGACATATGCGTACAACTGACTAACTCATCGATTCATTTTGGAAATGGATGGAATTGAAATCACGGACTTTGACTTCTTCTTTGAATTTGCGCTGTCTCACGTAGTTCACAAGGTGTTCAACAAACTCAAGAAACAAAACCACTTTTACAAACATGTTGTTCTGATTCCTTCGGAAATAGAAGAATCCACGTACAAGACCACCTGAATACAACTTGAAAATGATCGATACTTTCGAAATCTATAAGAGATACATCGACGACACTTTCATCATCGTCAACAATGAAGAAAATCTAGAGGACATCTTGAAGTTGTTTAACAACTGCCACTCCAAACGATTCAGTTCACGCTTGAGAAAGAGTCCAGCTCCAAAATATCCTTTCTTGACGTCCAACTAACACGACAAGAACAGGATGGAACACTGAAAAGATCGATCCACAGAAAGTCGACAAGGAACGGATAGCTTACTAACTTTCACAGTTGGGTAACCCTATACATCAAACGAAACCTGATCCGTTCACTCAGCTACAGAGTTCGCAGAATTTACACCCCGGACACCATAGAAGATGAACTGGACAATTTCAAGAGAATCCTGGCCGAGAATTGTTATCCTGAAAGTTTTATTGCAAAATCTATGAATCCTAGACCACGAAAGCCGCCCATGCTTAGCGTCCCGAAAAAAACTACTATACATGAATCTTCAATTCAATGGAGATATATCTGCGGAAACATTAAAAATTCGACTGTCGCGCTCACTTTAGAAGACCTTCTTCGCAGCTGAACTACGACTAACCTTCTCCACAAAACCTCTGATTCATGTGAACGTGAAGGATAAGCTACCACTGCTGGCTGGCCTCATCAGTGTGTATTTATCAATTCACCTGCTCGTGTGGAACCAGGTATTTCGGCCGTACACAGCGTTCTCTTTCCAAACGTATCACCGAAAACTTACCAACATGGCTTTACAAAGGAGAAAAACGATGTCCCCGCAGCTGATAGAATCCGGACACCAAGCTACACCCCAACACAAACTTCAAAGTAATCTACAGAATAAGAAGTAGTCTTCCTAAAGGTGTACGAATCAGACTTCTTCAAACTGCAGAAGCAATGGTGATTCACTTGCTAAGTTATGAACTGTGCGTACAAAAGAAGTTCGTTCAATCACTGCATTTGCAATGGACGTTGTCTATCTTATTACCCGACTAGGAAATTCTACCTAATCTCCTCATCAGTATTATTTTGTCTTCTCAGTTGTAATATTTTACATTTTTAACTTTCTTGTTCTATATCCCCACCCGATTTAATTTCTTCACCTCATTACCATTGTTACTGACTTGACCAATGCTCAATTTCTAGTCATTTATGTTACGTCATCCAACTTATTTGCTCAGTCTCTCTACCCCACTTCTACTTGACCTCTGCCTGCAAATACCTCTTTTGCTACCCTGACCTAAATTGAAACATTTTAGTGAATTAAATTACGTCATCTAACTTACTAACTAACTCAATCTTACTTTAGTTGTTGTCTGATTAACCTTGTTTCTATATTAGATCATTCTTGTATTACCTGATCAATTATCTAAACTTGACAAACCTCATGTACACACAACTAATTATGTATAAATGCGATTGTACAGCTGTGTGAATGAATTCGCCGTCGAAGAAAAAAGTCTCTTCCCTGAACGTCTTCTCTTTTTCATATGACTCAATGAGGATATTTAAGCTATTAAATCAGTAAGCAAAAATATAAACGAAATATATAATATCCAAACAACCAACCTTTTCACTTGTGAATTTGTAATCCCTATGACGTTTACGCATACATTCTGTTTGCTTCAAAATTTCAAGAAATCCTTGATAGGATACACTGGATGGCAAGTCATCACCTTTCTCATCCACAAGTAAACCTTCAAACGTAATGAGATTTGTTTTGTTCATTTAACAGCTTAATTCAATAAGGATTACAGTTATTTTAAAAATGTGTTGCCCGAATACACATTACATTACACGTGTTTCAGATAAACTAAGTCTTCTTATTGTGTTGTCGAAATACAGAGAGATTCGATTAGCTGCAGGTTGCAATGGCTGATTAGTTTACGAGCTGTGCCTTGTAACCGAAAGATCCTGGGTTCGGACCCCTGTAGGTGGATGCGTACGCTTGAAGAGTTCCAAACTAGGGCGGAGGAACAACTGTCCAGTAACTTCCTAGAGAGTTTACCAATGGTTCTCCCAACTCGTGATCAAAGAAATATAATTACTCCTTTTAATCGATATATAGGAGAAGTTGAATACTAGTGGGATAGTTACGTAATAAAAAGGTAAATTGAAAAGAATCATATGTGATAATACGTAATAGTTGACAATAGTTCACTTAAGTTTATATAAGAATATTCTTTTCATTTCAATGAATTTTAATGTATACGTATTTTTATTTTAACTGAAAGTCTATATCAGAATGCAGACACATTTCAATTCAGATATTTTAGACATCAATAAACAATAAATAATTGAGTGAGCAAAGAATATCCTTTCTGATAAATTCCTCTTCCGGCTCTACAATTATATATATATATATATTTTTATATACATAGAATATTCTAGATTAGTAGTCAATAACAATACCAGTAAATTTTAGATAATATCGATTTGTAAAGTAAGATCACGATGGAATTAACACAGTTCATTAAAGATGCATAAATTATAATAATAATAAAGATATAATAGCAAATAGAATATCAACTAAAATTAGGGAAATTCCACAAAAATTCAGGATTATTCAAACCTGGATGGCCAAGCGGGTAACGATAATGTCTGAACTAACTCCTTTCGGATGCACAAATTAGGCTTGTTAAAATGGATCTTAACAGCCAGCCTCAGCAATATTTAGTAGTCGAACTCTTAAGGCAAAATTGAGATTCGTAGGTGTGAGATAAATGACCTTGAAAGCCACCTTGTTGACATCACTCTTGTGTTCTGTATCCAGAAGATGAGATAGAATAGCGCTACGAAAAGATTTTGTTTGTCCTTTACTTAAACCACCATTCAGGGTGATGTACGGAAATTCGACGAAAAAACACGCCTAATTTTACGGCCTATGCAACTAACTGGCTCACTCCACAGGAGTAGTTCCTTGGGGATAACACCAGCGAGATACTAACACAGCACCTTAGAAATCCGGTAAAAAGAGCATTCTCTGCCGCTGAATTACGCTGTATCTTTAAAACCACTCCTCTTCTGCATACGGGAATAAAAGACAAACTGCCTAATTTCACCTCTTCCATGTGTATCTACCAATTTAACTGCTCCTGTGGAACTAGTTGCATAGGCTGTATAATTAAGCATGTTTCTCGTCGGATTTCCAAACATCACCCTGCCTAGTGGTTAAGCAAAGGACAAACAAAATTCATTCGCAGTGCTATTCTGTCGCATCTTGTGGATACAGAACACAGGGTTGACGTTAACCAGGAGGCTTTCAAGGTCATTTACCGCATACCTACGAATCTCAATTTTGCCTTAAGAGTCCGACTTCTAAATATTGCTGGGGTTGGCTGTTGGGAACCACATTATTAAGCCTAAATTATGCATCCAAAAGAAGTTAATTCAGACATTATCATTATTATTATTATTACTATTACTATAATAATTTAAGCATCTTTAATGAACTGTAATTCCATTGTGATCTTACTTTAAAAATCGATATTATTTAAAATAACACAAATATTGTTATTAACTACTATTCTAGAATATTCTATGTATATAAACATATATATATATAATTGTGGAGCCGGAAGAGGAATTTATCGGAAAGGATATTCTTTGCTCGATTATTTGATATTTTAGAAAGATTGAGGACATGGATTGATATCAATGAGAGAACCATTGTAGACTAAACCAGTACCCGACAGCTGTTTTGGCGTCATTTCGGAATCATAATTAGTTAGAATTCATGAATTGACCATTCTTAGTTAGGTGCCAATGATCTTCGAGCTTGGCTTGTAACCAGAAGGTCCTGAGTTCAAAGCCATGAGGTGTGTGGGTGGGTGGGTGAGCACTTCTAATGAGGCTGAAACTAGGATGTAACAGGTTTCCACTACTCCATGGTGGGATTTCAGTGCTTCTCCTGCCGACATCATCATCATTCCGTGGTTGAATTTGAGATTTTCCTGTCGATTGATTGGACCGAAGTGCTCGGTCTAAGGTTGACATGTCGGCTTCTTGTACGGATGCTTCGACGATGTCTGGACATTTAATTACAATTGAACTTGTAATTTAATTAATATGACCCGTTGGACAAGAGGTGGCTCTTGTGGCCCAAGTGGTCTAGTGGATAACGCTTTGGCGTTTGAAACTATGGGCACTGGGTTCGAGCCTCGGTGGGAATATCATCACTCACTCACTGGGGAATGCAGGTGCATCCAGCTGACCAGTCTCGAATAGGACGAAATGCGCATCCTAGATTTCACTGCTAGTCACCATCCACAAGTTAAATTTCAATTAAATCCTCAGACATAGTCAAAGCAACTGCATAAGAAGCCGACATGTCAACCTGAGACCGAGAACTTCTGTCCAATCAATCGATCGGAAAATCTCGAATCCAATTAAATGAATTTAAAATGCTTTCAACTATTAATATTTTTCTTATTACTGCCTTGGGTTAAGAGTGGTACATACGCTTTCAACAGGACATTTACATTTCTACCGTACTAGGAGGTCCTCTTCATATGGCCTCATGTTTGCCTACAGGCTTTCCTCTACTCACCATCACACGATCACCTCCATGCCACACTCAAAGTGACGCCTGACATGTTGCTTCCCATTAGGACTCCGCTGGAACGACAACCTTGTGTGAGTGAGTAGTCACCGCCTCAAAAGTCTCCTCGGAGTGTGTCTAATTCATTTCTAGTTTCTTCTAGCATATTTGTTGAGCACTTGGATGTTCACGACTGATAAGGTCTGAAAGCCCGCTATCTGGTCTTCTGTATGAAATCAGCGAGCTGAGCACGTGTTGATTGCAGTCTTCAGTGGCCTGTTGGAAATGCTTCCCGTGACGCCAATACCAGGTTCCTGACCAAGGTAGAAGAAACGACTGACTGGCTGACTTAACACAGATTCTGGAGAACCGAATTTTATCCCCTATGCTGAATTCTGCAGTAGATTTTCAAAGTGAATACAATGTGTGATGAATGTCTGTCTTGCTTTTCAGATTCCGGGTATTTTCAACGGTCTCATTTGTGGTGTAGGACTTAGTTGAAACGATGGTACGTAGATAGTTGCCGAAAATAACCTCATTCAATTTTCTTCAGTTGATAGTAATTGGTACCTGTTGTTGTCGTTGTTCGTTGGCTATCTTCATCACCTCCATCCTCCCCCTGTTCATTACAAATCATCCTGTCTTTTCTGCACGTCTCTTCTTCCATCTTGTCAGTTCTCGCCTACAGATCTTCAAATTTTCATTAGTGGCATGAAAATCACATACTACAGTCTCTGGATTCATTTTTAGTGCCCCAGGATAAAATTCCATGCCGTCTTGCTGAGTTTCTGGCTTTCAGTAGCTCAGTTAGTTGCATTGAAGGCTTCCGATTTTGTTGAAGGAATGGTGTCAACTGGCAGGCAGTTCTGTTCTTGATGCTGTTGTTGTAGCTGGTGGTGGTATTTCTGGACAAGTTGCATGTAGTGGTTGATTCAAGAGTTATTTGGAGTGATCAGTCCATTGTTTCATTTCTCTCTTCTCCTTGTCATTTAGGTTCCCTTGACCATCTTTTATTGATCTCCTCCAGGATATGCTTTAAGGTGTCTTTAACATGTGATCGTCCTATTATGCTTCAGTTTCCAATATGGCGTAAAATTAATTCTATTTTGTCTTTCCTAACATTCTTCTCTTTCTTATTCATTTCTTTCTTTATTCAGTGCAGTGTACAATGAACTCGGCTTCCTCTTCTGTTATCCATCTCTGCATTGGTTCATCTACTATTTTACTGACCACCTCTCTTCTCATCTATTAGGTTCCAGGTGTCCGTTGAAAGGCATTCCTTGCCTTGCCTTTCCATTCTGATGTACACATTTGCTGAAGAAATTCCATATTAGTTTGTTTATTAGATGTATTACACAGTGAGTGTAGCAGTATTATTTACTGGATGACGACACCTTTCAAACAAAATTTATTGCCGTTCATAATCATTTCATCACTTGTAATCACACGACTTCAAAACTTGAGTTTCATAGTTTTCTTTGTCCTCTCCAACTCGTCGTCGTATGGGTAGTAGAATTTTCCAGATATCTGGGTGGACAGGTGTTGAATCATTCCCATTACATGTGTTGATTTGCAGTTGATTCGATAAACAAAGCTTCCGTTGACATCAATCTCTCTCCACACCTTGTGACATTAGATTTCAAAACTGTCATCCTATCCCATCCCATCCTATTTTATGGTTGTGTATAATTGCATGTAGTGAGTGGTGTAGCTGAACTATTCTCTGAATTTTTTTCCTATTTTGGTCAACTAATCTAGATTTTGCTGCTGGGTTTTTATGTTCGGCTAGTCTGATTGACTGACCCTGTTCTACTAGTTTGACCTACGTATTTGACCTGACAATCATTGACTATTAGTCAAGAAATATATAAGGAAATGCAAAGATGAAATAAATAATGATAGTAGCGATAGTGACAATAATAATGATAACAAGAATAATAATGATGATAATAATAGTAGTAATAATAATCATAAATATGATGACACCAACAATAAAGAATCTAAATCATCAGTAGTAATTCCATGCTAGAAAGGAACCTCGGAAACCACCTTACGCAGAATTCTTAACAAGGCAGGCAGGAATAAAAGTGACTGACATTCAAACTATAAAACTGAAGTTTTGAAGTCGTGTGATTGTAATTGATGAAATGATTACGAACGGCAATAAATTTTGTTTGAAAGGTGTCGTCATCCAGTAAATAATACTGTTACACTCACTGTGTAATACATCTAATAAACAAACTAATATGGAAGAAGAGATCGCCCTCTTAAGAAAGACACTGCTCGAGAATGGCTACCCACCCCGTTTTATAGACAAGCATATTAAGCCTAAGACTTACAAAGAACAACCCACTACAGTGCAGAAGAAGATGGTCTACATGAATGTACCCTTCAAAGGTGACCTTCTGGCTGACACTTTGAAGAAGAGGATATCTACTGCTCTAAGAAGGACATTCTTCGCTGCAACACTACGACTGACATTTTCCTCCCGGCCATTGTTCTTCAACTACTCTAAAGATAAACTATCGCATTTGACCACTTCCATGTGTATCTACCGATTCACCTGCTCTTGCGGAGCGAGGTATATAGGTCGTTCGATGCGAGTTTTATCTAAAAGAGTTCAAGAACACTATCCCGCCTGGCTACGGAAAGGTAACAATGGAGCAATAAGGAGCGCCATTATTGAGCATGTACTCAACACTGGTCATTCGATTTGCAAGGAGAAGTCATTCAAAGTCATCTATAAAGTCAAAAGAAGCCTTCCAAAATCGACAAGCTTCCGTATACTTTGTATTGCCGAAGCCTTAGCGATTTGGATAGAAAAGCCTGAATTATGCACACAGAAGAAACTTCTCCACCCCCTCCTACTACCGTGGGTTTAATTTCAAGTTCATCTGTCATCAACATTTTGTTATCAAAATTTTTTGCAATATTCGTATAATAATTTTTAGTAACTAACCCATTCAATCTTTTCACCTATTATCTAGTTTATTTTCATAATTGTCTCCATACTCCTTCACGAACATCTAATCTTTCTAAACATGTCTATATTACGTAACCCTACTCACATCTTACCAATTTTCACCCCACTTAGTTACAACTTTGATTATTAATCACACATTTTAATTTCTATATTATTTTGATGACGTAACCCTACTCACATCTTACCATTCCTCACCCTACTTAGTTACAACTTTGATTACTATTCACACAATTTAATTTCTTTATTATTTTGATGATGTAACCAATAACCCACACTAACTGTTATTTTGATTTTGATTTTTTCAAACCTTATGCACACACACACAAAATTAATTGTATATATTTGCGACTGTACAGCTAAGAGAATGAATTCGCCGAAAAGAGACTCTTCGCTGAACTTGTTTGTTCTTATTTTAATATGGAAGTCTTCAACTTTGCTCTGATAGCTGTAGGAATTGTCGGTGTCTTTTATAATTTCATCCTTCAGTTTCTCAGTGTTTGACTTGAATTGTAGTCCACCTCCTCCTGTCTTGAATTAAAAAATAGCTCCGTCTACAGATTGCGTATAAATTGTTTTATTGCTTCGTGCAATGCATATGTCATATACACAAGACTGTGTTACTTAATAATAATTGATATATATATTCTCTAAACATCAGTCTATCAAAATTGTAATTCAACAAAATCGTATACACGACACGCACACACACAATCTTTCTCCCTCTCTCTTTCTCTTACATACCTGTTGTGTCGACTGCATGCAACAATTCATGAGCAATAACCCAACCTAATCCACCGTATATCACTGAATCCTCTTTCCCATGTGAATAATATGGTGGATTCAATAATCCTGCATGAATATGAATACGATTACGATTAGGTGTATAATAGGCTTTGGTTGTATGACTTGCTGTATAATGTTCCAACCTATCGGTTGAAACGAAAACACAAAAACAAACAATGATCAAAGCGTATCGACTGAAATGATTTTAGAGAATAAAAAATATTTTAGTGATAGAAGTGGCAAATAGGGAATTTTGGGCCAAATATAGGCTAGCAACCCTATCCTGTAAAAATAATCACCACTTGTACAGAAACTCCAAGCCTTTAGCTTGAAGCCCTATGTTCCACTGGGAAGGTGATTGAAAAACCAAACAAAACAAAACACACATCATCAGTTATCAGCCAGATAAATAGCATAAAATCACGGATATTTCATGAATCAACGATTTCTAATACTAAATTCCAAAAGGCCTTCAGCGACATTGATAGTGAACTTATTTTTGAAATCACTTCAGCACACCACGGAGAGCAACAAACAACTATCCAACCTCATTCAACAGCTCTATAACAGACAATACCACATGTCAAGTGATTCTAAACAGAAAACTCAGTGAAGAAACCTTCGAAGTGGAGACAGGATTAGGACGGGTCTGTCTGCTTACTATAGGCGATGATACTCCTTATAATTGTGGATTGCATCATACGGGAGTCTGTGAGCAGGGAATGAGAAGACAGGAATACGTAGGACCGCCCATTGAGAAGATCTTAGGAGATCTGAATTTAGCAGACGATTTATGTCTATTAGTATTATTGTTACCTTTGGTTCCTGGTGGAATATGCGGCTTCAACTGAACATCTCCACTTGCTTCTGTCTTCCCTCTACAGTACTTTTCAACTCCATCCATGTTAGTTACTCCATACTCTTCCAACTCCTCTTCACACGGTCTCCTCCATGTCACCCTTACACCGACATCCCACTCGCCGCTTCCCTTTCGGACGGGTTCTACTCGAGTGATGGCCTGACGCGCGGGCGATGTCACCCAGCGACCGGCCTCCTCAGCGAGCGAGTGTCCAATCCATCTTTCTTCACTTTCTCCTGCATATTTGTTGATTGGCGATTGACTGATTCTTGTTTTGTTCGTTTGTTCCCATAGTTTGGCGATTGTTGGTGATTCTTTCCACCCCGGCCATCGGATCTTCAGTATAGAGCCAGCGAAGACAGTTGTTGGTTGATGAACGTCTGCAACTGGCTGTTGGAAATATTCCTTGTGACACACCGCCAAGTTTCCCATTCGTATAGAAGAAGTGACTGACTGACTGACTGACCTGGCGTTGTTTGTATTGAAAATCCGACCGAATTTTGTTGTCGATGCTGGCTGAGTGACAAAGATTGTTTTCCAGATTGGTTTCAGGTTGATGATGAATGTGTGTGTTTCTCGCCTTCCCGATTCTCGCTCGATTTGACATCATCGTCCGTTCCGACTGTCTGTAGTTGAGACAATGCTCCCTAGATCAGTGAGTGAATGAAGTGACCTCTTTCAAATCCCTCCAGTTGATGGTGATTGGCGCTGGATGTTGCTGCTGTGGTTGTTGTTGGTTGGTTTGTTGGCTGTTTTCATAACCTCCGTGTTGTCTATGTTGACTTGGAGTCCTGTCTTCGCCGGCTGCTTCTTCGACCAGTGTGTCGGTCAGTTTCCGCTCGTACGTCTTCGATTTTGTGACACTGACATCAAACATTAATCATCCACGCGCGAAACCCATGTCTTCTATGTCCTTCGCGTCGGTCGGTCCAGGATATCCATGTCTTCTGGTTTCCCACTCACTGTCTGACGCATAATCCAGTCAGTTCACCACAATTATGAATATCATTGGTGGTACTAAGCACTCTTGTTTGACTCCTGTCTGATGTCATATATATTCAAGAACTTAAACTTGGAAATCAGCAAGTTGATATAAGAAGAGAGAGGTGAATACATGAGTTCAACTGAACATAAAAAAAATGAAGGTGATGAATACTACCAACGTATTAACCGATGAATCCCCACCATGAAAGACAACGACCACAGACAAAAATCATCAACGGAATCAATTTCAAGGCAGTTACTTCTTTTACTTGTTAAGGCACCATTACTTCAACTACATTCAACTCACCAGATTAAGGGTGTCAAAATTAGCCAGAGTCTGAACAGTAAGACACACCTTCATCACCCTGAAATTCAGTTAGCGAATCTAAATTCTGCGATCCACGTTGTTAACAACAAAAGTCGGATTGGGTACAGGATTTCATCACGGCAAGTACGAATAAATGTCAGAAAAGACCAGTGCTGTGAAAATTGATTTTAATGCTGGTCGCTTCCTAACACAATCTGTATCTACAAACTACTTATATATATCTTGTCAGTTACATATACCACAGCTTCATCCATTCACTTTCTCAAGCCAAACCAATATGATTCATCACACGTTTATTAGAATAATCCAAACTTTTCGTTTTTGTTATTATTATTATTTTGACTCCTAGCCAACAGCAACAGCATCAACAACAGACAACAATCAGCATATATGGGAGGAATCTGACAGAAGCAACCTCATTTGCCTACCTACCCACCTGGGAAGCATTGTTTCAAGTACAGGCGGACGGAACTGACGAGGATATCAAAGCAGCAACGAACGGGAAACCAAGACAAGCTTTCATTACTCTCAAGTAAGTCTGTGTGGAGGTCAACAGAACTACTCGGCATGAAAAATAAGATCCGGATTTTCAACTGCAATGTAGAGTCAGTTCTACTTGCTATACGGATCAGAGACTTGGCGCGTAATAAAGAGCATCTCAAGCAAACTACAGTTTTTCATCAACAGCTGTCTTCGCTCAATACTGCTCAAGAGCAGGCGGCCAGAAAGGATCAACAACAGGAATTTTTAGGAGCAAAGCAACCATGAACCGATTGTGCGACAAACAAGCAGGAAGAAATGGAGTTGGATTGGCCATACTCTGAGGAAACCATCAAGTGAGTGACATCACTAGACATGCCATCGCTCGAGTGGAACCTGAACGGAAAGCGGCGAGTTGTTCGTCCAAGGGTGACTTGGGGGAGGTGAAGTGAAGAGGAGATGAAAGCATGTAGGTGGCAGACTTGGAGCCAGGTGAAAACTCTAGCAGAGTAACCGAATTCAATGGAGACGCGCGGTTGAAACCCTATGTTCCTCTAGGAATTAAAGGAAACAATAATAATTATTATTATTAGTTTGACAGAAAATGGTTACACTTAGATATAAAAAACAACAACAAAACAACACCAAAAACAGCAGCATTACACAGCAACAGCTTACTCTTCAGGGATACCGAATAGATAACGCCTCAAATTATCTAAATGTTTAGACTTCCGGGCGAAATGTTCATTCACTATATAAGTGTTCTCTTCTATTGGATACTAGAAAATTGATTGAAAGTATGAATAAATACAACAATTAGGTAGGTAGGTAGGAAGGTGGGGAATTTGAGAAGAATTTGTAAATATAACTCATTTCTGTACAAATTGTGTTGAGTAAGTAAATTTATGTACATGATTTGAACATTTTAAACATTCGAGAAGATTTAATTGGTGAATGGTGACTAGCAGTGGAATCCAGGATAAAGCCCATTTCGTCCTATTCGGGTCTCGTCATCTGGATGTACCTGCATTTCTCAATGAGTGATGATGTCCCCACCGAGGCTCGAACCCAGTGCCCATAGTTTCAAACGTCAAAGCGTTATCCACTAGACCACTTGGTTTCAAGCCTCGGTGGGAACATCATCACTCACTGGGGAATGCAGGTGCATCCAGCTCCCAACTCCCAACTAGGAAGAAATGCTCATCCTGGCCTGGTTCCACTGCTAGTCACCATCCACCAATTAAATTCTAATTAAATGCCCAGACATCGTCGAAGCATCTGTACAAGAAGCCAACACACATGTCAACCTTAGACCGAGCACTTTGGTCCAATCAATCGACTGGAAAATCTCAAATTCAATTAAAATTCTAGAAGATTATTTGGTTGAATTTAGATTTTCCCATTGACTGATTGCCTCGAAGAGCTCGGCCTCTGTTGATATGTCGTCTCCCTGTGAGGAGGATTAGTCAACTTGATGTATTTTCGTGCGTGTTGACTAAATGCAGTGGAATTCATCAGGATGTGCACTTCTTCCTATTTGGGACTCGTCCCAACTGGATGTACCTGCATTCCCCAGTTAGTGAGTGAGTGACTGTGTTCCAAACCCACCACCATCACCATCGCTGAGGCTTTTACCCAGTGACCATCACTTCAAATGAATTAACGGGAGAATCCGAATTGAATTCAATGATAACTGATATCTGTCACACCAGTTGTAGAGGCTCTCATGGCACCTCGCCATCAAATGGTCCAGTGGATAATACGCCTTGATGTTTGAAACGATATTTATTTATTTTTGATTTACAGCTTGATTCCACACTGTATTGTTGGTACAAGTGTGGAATTTTCAGCATGGATATCGGTAGCCCAAATTTTGCAGGCCGACCATAGATATCAGGTGTGCGTCGGCAGGGGATCGAACCTCGGACCATGTGCATGGGCAGCGAGAGTCCTAACCACTGTGCACTGAGGTCGAGCCTTGGTGAGTGGGGAAGGCAGACACCATCACTCACTCAATGACTGACTGACGAGGGAATGCAGGTACACGTCCAGATCACGGATCTCTCAGATAGGCCGAAAAGTGTATCGCGGAGGATTCCACTGCAACTTGTTACTATCCACCAAATGAATTCGAGCAGATTGGTTTCAGACTTTCTGCTCAGTAGACTTGTTACTCCAATTGAAAGGATAGATGAATTATTATTATTATTATTATAGCAGCATTATTCATTCCCTGCCTTCTGAGTGGAGCATACAGGTTCAACAGCACATCTCAAGTGTACCTTTACAATATCTGCGCTCCTATCCCTCCCTGGACGTCCAACCTGTCAATTGCCATTTGAGGGTTTCATTCAAAGGCCTTACATGCGACGTCATTTGAAGGTCTTCCCAGAGTGTGTGCGTGTGTGCCTAATCCACCTCCGTCGTCTCCTGTATGTTTTTGTGGAGTGATCGGTTCTAGAATGGGGTCGTGGCCCGTCAGTGTTTCACTGCCATTTATCCCTCCTTGCTGACCACCTAGTCTTCAGAGTAACAGGCGAAAAACGCAGTCTACTGGCAATAACAGACAAGCCTAGTGCATTCCACTTCCTACCATTGATGATAGCTAGATTTTAAAAAGTTTGATAGTGACACAAATAATTTTGCCATCTACATATATAATCGGCGTTATTAGAAAATAAGAAACCTCCTGTACAATTGTGGCGCTGGCTGTAAGCGATGATAAGAAAATGGAGCGCGTATGAGATGTGCTGTTGCAGATCTATTTTCCACTCATAAATTGGTGAGCTTAGTCTGATCGAGTCTCGCAAGCGTTATTTGAAACAGGTCAGTTTCTTCACTTATCTAGGAATCAGTCTTCCATCTAAAGCCAACTTCACGGATGAGGATGTCAAAAACAGCCACAATCGCAAAAGACAAGACAGACAGTCGTCACTCGGAAATCAATCCGGAAATCTGCGTCTCAACTCAGTTTAAACCACAAAATTTCGATTTTCAGCATCAATCTTAATTCAGTCACTTCTTCTTTAGGCGTCAAAAGTATAGAGACCGCGTCATTAAATTCAATTTCAAAAGGCCATTTTAGACTTTCATCAACAGCCGTTTCTGTCGCTGACTCTACACTGAAGGTTAGATGACTGACCAGCCCGCTGGCCACGTAGAATTAGCGATAAGAAACTGTGCGAATTAACCAATCAACGGCCTCCTAATGCCCAACAGAAATGAAGGGGAAAATGGGGGTGGATCGAATATACACATTGAGGAGTCCAACCAGACCATCACTCGAGTGGAACTTGAACGAGAAACGGCAGGTGACTTGAATGTATCTCTGAATGTGATATGAAGTTCGTGTGGTTAAAGTGTGGAAGCTGATGGGTGGTGGTTGGGCAGGGTGAAGAGAATTGTAGAGAAAAGGGTATAACGCAGATGTTTTGTTGAAGCTGTAATTTTCACTCGGAACTAAAATGAACATTAGGAGAGGATTAAAATTTTCTGGAAGTGAAGCACAGAACTATTCACAAATTGTAGCATAGTAAGTCACTGAGTTATGATACTTCTGCACTTGCTATCTGTCCATTTATTAGTTCCATCAGATCGACTTTATAGAATTTGAGAAGGCCTTGGACAGCGTTGACCGCGAAGTAATTTCAAAAAAATACTCGAGTACTATGGCGTACTCCAAATATTCATCAACCGTATTCAACAGCTCTACGACAACGGCACATGTCAAGTGATCCACTACGGAAAAGTCAGCGAGGCATTTAGAGTAAACACAGGAGTAAGACAAGGGTGCTTAGTACCACCAATGATATTCATAATTGTGGTGAACTGACTGGATTATGCGTCAGACAGTGAGTGGGAAACCAGAAGACATGGATATCATGAACCGACCGACCCAAAGAACATAGAAGACATGGATTTCGCCTGTGCATGATTTATGTTTGATGTCACTGTCACAAAATCGAAGACTTACGAGCGGAAACCGACCGACACACTGGTCGAAGAAGCAGCCGGCGAAGACAGGACTCCAGGTGAACATAGACAACACGGAGGTTATGAAAACAGCCAACAAACCAACCAGCCAACAACGACAGCAGCAACATCCAGCGCCAATCACCATCAACTGGAGGGATTTGAAAGAGGTCACTTCATTCACTCACTGATCTAAGCAGCATTGTCTCAACTACAGACAGTCGGAATGGACGATGATGTCAAATCGAGCGAGAATCGGGAAGGCGAGAAACACACACATTCATCATCAACCTGAAACCAATCTGGAAAACAATCTTCGTCACTCAGCCAGCATCGACAACAAAATTCGGTCGGATTTTCAATACAAACAACGCCAAGTCAGTCAGTCAGTCACTTCTACTATACGAACGGGAAACTTGGCGGTGTGTCACAAAGAATATTTCCAACAGCCAGTTGCAGACGTTCATCAACCAACAACTGTCTTCGCTGGCTCTATACTGAAGATGAGATGGCCGGGGTGGAAAGAATCACCAACAATCACCAAACTATGGGAACAAAGAAACAAAACAAGAACCAGTCAATCGCCAATCAACAAATATGCAGGAGAAAGTGAAGAAAGATGGATTGGACACTCGCTCGCTGAGGAGGCCGCTCGCTGGGTGACATCGCCCGACCGAAAGGGAAGCGGCGAGTGGGATGTCGGTGTAAGGGTGACATGAAGGAGACCGTGTGAAGAGGAGTTGGGAGAGTATGGAGTAACTAACATGGATGGAGTTGAAAAGTACTGTAGAGGGAAGACAGAAGCAAGTGGAGATGTTCAGTTGAAGCCGCATATTCCACTCAGAACCCAAGAAAACAATAATAGTGATAAAATCAGCTTGTTTCATGGTACGATTTTCATGGGATTGATGACGGTGCGTCAGTTTTACAGTGGTAGACTGACTACACTTTCCACCCACACACGTCACACCTGGTCAGGAGTTGAATCTTCAATCAACTCTCTTAGTGAGCTGGGTAATAATGAGGGATGATTAGACGTGATGCTAATGACCGTATTCCGTAAAACGAAAACAGACACCACTGCTATCGAAGCTTCAGGACTCCAGTTTGAAGCCTATTGTGTTTTACTAGGAAAGCAAAGGAATACTGTAGGTAATCGTTAGTAAAGATGAATGTTACCAAATAATGATCTAACAAACACGTCGGATTTGTGTAGAAGTGAATCGATTAAACTTCGATCAAGAATAAAAATAACAGTATCATAATTAATGATCCCATGAGTTTTGATTGGAACACGGGGCTTCAATAGACAACACCCCGAGAAACTTATTGCCAATTCTTCTGTATTCAGATAGCGAAGGTGGCCGCAGTTGGTAGGTGTCTACATTAGCTTGTTAGAAATGATTTTTATGAGGCGGACGCCAAGTCTCTGATCTGTATAGAAGAACTGACTGTCTACCTGACTGACTTAAAATTGGCACCGTCAACCCGAACTAATTTCAGAGGGATGGATGTGTCTGATTCGTCTTTCTGATTCTGACTATGTTTGACATCCTCATCCATGGAGTTAGCTGTAGTTGAAAGAATGATTTCTAGTTCAGTGAATTGATGAAGGAGATGACCTATCTCAAATTTTTTCCGTGTTTATTGTGATTGGTGCCACGTAAATATTAAAGCCCAACCTGAATACTCCGTGGTGTCATATGAAAATGTATATTTTCAAATTATTTAACCAACTTACTCGATATATCAGAGATAAATTTTCTTTAAACTCTGATATGTTCACGTCGTAGGACGAATCAACGACGGTGATATTTGAAATCTGAAGGAAAAACACAATAGTAGTAAGAATTATAATAATAATTTCATTATTCATATGAAGCGTGATCAAGATTTTGACGGAAAATACTTCCACCAATAATCGTGAGAAACGTTAACATATATTGAGAGAAAAATTTTCTTAATCAGATCTCAACGAAATTGAAATTCCAATGTATCTTTCGACAAAGGGATCAGAACTTCTCCATGGAAAATTAATTGAAATTAAAATAACGAACCAACACTTGAATACCAATGAGATGCTCACTGGCGACTGGCCCTATTCAGGTTGGTAGTTGTTACCTGGGGTTCTAGTGAGAAGTCATGACCAGTAGGGTGCAGCAGGTCGGGTGTGGGGACAAATACTCGCCACGGAAGACATTGGCTAGCGATCGCGCTATGTCGTGAATTGGCAGAAGTTAGAATTCAAGGACCATTGGATCGGGTCCCAGTGGCTTAATGGTATACGAGCTCGCCTTGTAACCGAAAGGTCCTGGGTTCGAATCCCAGTGGGTGCGTACTGCAGAAGAGTCCCAAACTAGGCTGACGAAACGGCTGTCCAGTACTCCCAGGTTTTCCAATGGTTCTCTAACTAATGTCAGCTCATGTTGAAATCCTGAAACCAATCATATCCCTACAAACCAACACTTAAAATAACGAAGTTATATATACATGTCGGAGGATTTCATGATGATCTTACATTGGAAAACTGGAGAATACTGGAGAGCTGTTTCGTCCTAAATTGGGAAACTTCCCAGTACGCACCCACTAACACGGTTCAAATCCAGGACCTTCTGGTTACAAGGCGAGCTAGCTCGTGGACCATTGAGCCACTGGGATCCAATCCAATCGTCCTTGAATTCTAACTTCTGCCAATTCACGACATAGCGTGACCACTTCACCATGTCTTCTTTGATGAGTTACTGCCTCATCTTCAACCTGTTGTACCCTACCGGTCACGCCTTCCCACTAGAACCCCAGGTTAACTACCTGAATAGGGCCAGTCACTAGTGAGCATCAGATTAATTTTCAAGTGTTGGTTTTGTAGGAATTTTGTTTGATTTCATGGAGGATTTCATCATGAGTTGACATCAGTTAGAGAACCACTGGAAAACCAGCTGGGAGTACTGGACAGCTGTTTCGTCCACCTAGTTTGGGGCTCTTCATCAGTAAGCACCCACCGGGGTTCGAACCCAGAACCCTCTGATTACAAGGTGAGCTGGTAGACCATTCATTAGCCTTTGAGACTCGATCAAATGGCTTGCCCATGAATTCTAACTTCTCCGAATCCAAGTGACTCAATGATCTACGACTTCGGCTAGTAACCGGGAGGACCTGGGTTCGAACCCCAGTGGGTGGTTACCGATGAAGAGTCCCAAACTAGGCTGACGAAACAGCTGTCCAGCACTCCCAGGTTTTCCAGTGGTTCTCCAACTAATATTAGCTCATAGTGAAATCCTACATGCAATTCTAACTGTTGTCATTTCGGGACATAGCACGACCCCTCTGAGAACAATGAGTACTTTATGGCATCAGATTTTTAGTGATCACGTTTGATTAAAGTTCATGGTCATACATTATTGAATATGGAAAATATATGTGGCATACAATGGTGTATATGTGTGAGTGTGAGTGAGGGGACAATTGTAAATCATTTGTTAATCTCTCCATAAGAAGATATAGACAATCAGGAATGTAGATCAAGTGTGATAAACCCATGATATATTTATTAATTCTTCATTTATTAATCAGGACTTGCAATGCATCAGTTAACATCACACCTTTACGCCTGTTCAAGCTATTGGGTTTCACCCACATATTTAGTCATTCGTCAGTCTCTCCATAAGAAGATATAGACAGTCGGGAATTTTGACTAAATATGATTGATTAGTGATACATTATTATATTATTATTGTTACTTTTAATTCCTAGACGAACGTAGGGCTTCATTCGCACGTCTCTATTGCGTTCAGTTTTCTACCAACGTTTTCATCTGGCTTCACGTCTGCCCACAGGCTTTCATCTCGTCTTCACATGACCTCCTCCATGTCACTCTCAAGCCGATGACTTACTCGTCACTTTTTATTCAGGTTCTACTCGAGCAATATTATGGCGTGAAGTGTCACTTGTTGGTTTGTTTTCTCAGAGTATGGCGCATCCACCTCCATTTCCACCTGAATATTGGATGTACAGTCGGTTGCTGCTAAGTTGATTCGTTCATTGTCAGAGATCCCCGTTGCTGAGCTTTCCTGGCCGACCATTTAATCTTGAGTATTGAGCGAAGACAGCTATTGGTGAAGGTCTTAAGCTTGTTTGAGATGCTCTTCACGGCGCGCCAAGTCTCTGATCCATATCGCAAGTAGCACTGACTTCACATTAGTAATGAAAATCCGGATCTTATTTTCATGCTGAGTAGTGCTGTTGACCTTCACACAGACTTGAGAGCAATGAAAGCTTGTCTTGCTTTTCCGATTCTTGCGCTTTGATATCCTTGTCAGCTCCTCCTGCCTGTAGTTGAAACGATACTTACCAGGTAGGTAGGTTGGTAGGTGAAGGAGGTTATTTCTTTCAGGTTCCTCACATTTATGCTGATTGTAGTCTTTTGTTGTTGTTGCTGTTGGTTTTGCTCAGGAATCTTCATGACCCAACTCTACTTTCTCTATGTTCACCTGAAGTCGTCCCTCCTATCTTTGATGCTTCTTCTATAGCCAACTTGTTGCTTTTCTTGTTGCATATCTTCCAGTTTGTGGGAAACCAGACATATATCATCGGCGAAGTCCAGATCCTCCAAGTTTTTTTTGTTTAGTTCCATTTTATGCCTGTTTCCTCGCTGCCCGTTGTCTCTCGCATTATCCAATCTACTGCAATCAGGAAGATCATTGGAGATAGTAGGCAGCCTCGCCTCACTCCCGACCCCAATTCTAAGGATTCTGTAAGTTTCCCGCTGTGGATTACTTGGCATGCAGCATTGTTGTACAACTGTTGGATGAGATGTTTAATTGTCGACAGCAACCCATAGTAGCGAAGTAGTTGCCGGATTACTCCTTGATCGACGCTGCACTATCAAAGGCCTTTTCAGAGTGGATGAAGTTGAGATAGAGAGGTGTCTGCCATCCCAAGCTTTGTTCAATGATGATCCGTAGTGTGGCGATTTGATCAATGCATGACTTGTTTCTCCTGAATCCAGCCTGTTCCGGTCGAAGTGTTTCATCCACATCCGTCCACTACTGACTTCATATGTGCATGTGTGTATGTGTGAAGAACTGAGGGATATGTTCTGATTTCAACACAATGAATGAATGTATCTTCCACACACATATCTCCCGCATAACCTAGCTGTAGAAGCTTTGTGATCCCAACTATCCATAAATATGTCGGCTAATATTACTGACGATACTTGCGATCCCATTATCACCCCATTTCTTGGTTCATACAGTGTATTTTGATTCTTGAATTAACCCCTCCCCTCAAATATATCATGATATTTAATATAGTTTGGTTTCTAAGGGTTAGTTATGTTTTTACTAGTTGATCACGGATTGATATCAGTTAGAGAACCATTGGCCAAATAAAATCTATAAAAAGTTCTTCTTTGATTCATCTGATTGATGATAGCGGTCACCCAATAGGACCGAAGAAGTGCCTTTCGAACAGAATTCGAACCCACCTTTAACACTTAGCCCAATATATGGGAATCAATTCGAGAGAACAATCCTAGTCTTTGCACACAACAAAAGCAGTTTATTCTACCTTTGCCCTTATTTCTCTTGGCCTAGGTGAATTTAATTCAAAACCCTCCCACTCTTTCTTATCTTCCATTTCCTTTGTACTTTGAAAATCCTCCAGTACTCCTTGGTTTTCAATGGTTCTCTAACTGATATCAATCCGTGATCAACTCGTAAAAACATAACTAACTCTTACAAACCAAACGATAGAAAATTAATCTGATGCTCGCTAGTGACTTGCTACAGGACGGAAGGAGTTTCCTGGAGTTTCAGTGAGAAGTCGTGACCAGTAAGGTTCAATTAGAAATCACATCTGTGGATGGATATCCCACCAACGACAATGGTTGGGGTCGCGTTAAATCACGAATTGATAGAAGTAGTTAGAATTCATACATCATTGACCATTGAATTGAGTCAATCCCAGTGGCTGAATGGTATACGAGCTTGCTGGCCTTGTAACCGGAAGGTCCTGGTTTCGAACCCAAGTGGGTGCGTACTGCCGATGATCCCCAAGCTGGTTGTATGAAACAGCAGTTGTCCAGTACTCCCTGGTTTTCAATGGTTCTCTAACTGATATCAATCCGTGATCAACTCGTAAAAAATATATCATGATAGTTATACGAATTTTAACCAACGGCGGTGAGTTTTTTGATCAAATAATAATGATAATAATAATAATAATAATAATAATGTGGTAAATATTTTGAACGCCAGTAATAACCGTGATTATAATGATAACAAAATATTGATAATAATGTTTATGCAAGTGGCGATAAGAATAACGAAGGTAGTAATATGTGTGTATATGTAGATAATTCAATAAATAAATAAATTAGGTCAAATCTTAAAAGTTACATAATACTAAAGGTGGGTGAAGTGGACAGATAATCAGAGTATAAATAAATATCATAAATGTACGAAGGAGATGGAAAATAAGAAAGGGTGAGGGGGGGGGAGGGTTTTGATTAAAATTCACCTAGGCCAAGGGAAGGAATGGAAAAAGATAGAACAAAGTACTTTTGTTCTATGCAAAGCCTAGGTTTGTTCTTCTGAATTAATTCCTATTGCGTCAGCTATGTGTGTAGAAGGCAGGTTCAAATTTAATTTAATAGGCTCGATGGAATGCGACAGGTAACTTTGAAGGCATTATTTCTGTCCACCTGATGACCACTATCATCATGTTCGCCTCTTCCGAACCATGAAGGCAGATGTTCAATAATGCTCCCCCCCATATAGCTCTCTCCATAGGAGCAAATAAATTTGTATATACACATAGAAGTGACTTAGCTAGGCGCCTTGTCTCTCACTTGAGTATCATAATTGATTGGCGGCTGGAAAATGACAAAAAAAGGGTGGCGGTGGCAGTATAATTCCGTTTTGTTGTTCTCGATAAACTTAGATGTAAGACTTCATTAGCCACGTCCCTATTAAATTGCATATACACATATTACTTACTACCTTCGTTGTTCTTATCACTACAATTGCCATATTTCTTGACTTGAAGGCGGCCTTCGACTCCGTGGATCAAAAGGTACTATGGCAATGTTTGACTGTGAAGGGAGTGCCAAGAAAGCACATTGCACTAATCATGGCACTCTATTTAAACTCACGTAGTCGTGTAAGGGCTTATGGGGAATTGTCATCTGAATTGATAACAACCAATGGTTTCCGGCTGGGATGTCCACTTTCTCCATTCCTGTTTAACTTCATCATAGATATGCTAATGGAAGTGTCCTTAACTGAACGTAACGACTTAGGAATCGACTTGTTACCAGGGAATAGTCTTATGGACTTAGAATATGCAGATGACATAGTCCTGTTAGGGGAGGATGCTGACATAATCCAGCAGAGTCTTCTGAACACCTTGAGCAGCAATCTTCGCATGTTTGGCATGCGATTCACCTCTGCTGTCAAATGTAAGATGCTACTACAGGACTGGACTACGTCAACTCCCAGCTTAGTGGTAGGGAGTGAAGTGATAGAACATGTTGACCACTTCACCTATTTGGGAAGTTGTATTAGCACCAACAGACTGACTGGCGATGAAATCTCAGCACGGATCCAAAAAGCTCGAGCTGCTTTCGCTGGCTTACACCATCTCTGACGTAGGCGTGATATCTGGTTATCAACCAAGGGACATGTGTAATGCTCATCAGTTCGCTCCATCCTTCTCTATGGCTCCGAAACATGGCCAATACGGGTTGAAGACATGGAAGGTTGACTGCTTCCGATCATAGATGTCTGCGATCTGTTTCTCACGTTAGGTGATTTAATAAGTTAAGTAATGTTGACGTTAGGCGTAGAGTGTTGGGCAAAGAGGGCTAGGTGGCGTGCTGCGCATGCCTAACCATCGCCTCCCCCGACGGGCATTACTAGCTGATATAGGTGGTGCAGGTTGGAAAAGGGTAAGTGGTGGTCAAACAAAAACATGGCCTCATCAATCCATGAACTCCTTGACAGTTGGGGCCCTCGGGACTGACTCTAGGAATCAATCAATGGCTGGAGACAATAGGTGACATGGCTCAAAATCGTTGTCAATGGCCAGCGCAGATGTATTCAGTCTCTGTAATCTTTGATATTCCTCTCTACCATTACCCGTTTTGTTTCACTCTTATACTTGTCAAACTCAATTGATTCTCTTCACTCATCTTCTTATCTACCTTTGTGTGTGGTATTTGGAACGTGGCAACTCGAACTCCTGCACTTCGGTGCCAAGTTCTATGTTGAATCCAGACGGACAGACAGACATCACCACCTGCATCATCTTCATTATCATGATTATTTTTTTCTCTCATTATAATCGTCGCTATTAATAACGTTCAAAACATTTACCACATTATTATTATTTGATCCACAAACTCACTGTCATTGGTTCAATTCTCTTTTTATATAAATCTATATAAATTAGAGTAAAGCCTGAATTAGAAACAACAATACTATTCGCTTATATGTCCCTGTTCTAATATGGTGGGAGCAGGCTGCTAGCCAATCGGTAGACATTAATTTACGTCTATGTCTATGTCGCTAATATTGGCCATGAGAAAATATGAACAAAACTGATTCAACAACCAATCACAGCACACTTAACGTGGGCAAATACGATTTGCAGATATATGGCTTAACTTTCTGAGAAACCAGTCACAAGCAGCACAGAATAATCTTGAGCAAGAAACGACTAATCAGAAGACCGTGTTTTTCTGCTTGAATAAGCTATAATAATGTTTATGAAATATATATAAATACGTGCTGATTTCTCTAATAAAACGATCTTTTGCCTGTCCCTTGTCTTCTGTTGTTACAATAGGAATATTTAAAGATTTAAAAAGCATACAAATCTCTTCATCATTAGTTAATGTTATGTAATCATAATTCAGTAAATTATGACAAACCTTATCTATAGCGAATTTCTTCGTTCTGTCATTCAACCAAGTAACTTCTTCAATGGAAGTATACAAAGTTTCCTTTATTTCTTTGAAGATATTGACCACCTGTGTTGTTGTTCAATTTAGGGGTGAAAATAAAATAAAATACAAACCAAAACTATAGAAAATAAAAAAACATAATTAGGCTGTTCAGGCTATACAAATGATATCATTGAATTTCTTGACTGAAGTGGTTAGAAAAATGAGGTAGACAGCAGATGGCTGGATTATTCAAAAGCCTAATAATTGTATTAATATAACAATAGAATATTTACGGAGATGAATCCTCACGGATATATTCTGTATACATAGACTAACAAAGAAGACTGATAGGAATTTGAACAGATGGCCATTTATTATGTATGAGCCTACATGGAGAGACCTGTTGACAGAGGCTAACAGTTCCGCACTCCTTAATCATAATCGAAACCTAATAATACATCTCTAGTGACTGGAGGCCAAAATATCAGCATCCGCGAATCGTTACAAGAAGGAGAAGAAGTCACTCTCTCTTTTGAGGCATTCACCACTTGGTGAGAATCGCTACTACCGTGACTTCCAAGCTTTATAGACAAATACATAAAAAGAAGAAAAACCAAAAAAGAACACCCCATCTGTAAATGAATATGAACATTAAACGTAAGTTCGTCGGCCTTGGTCACCATTGATGGGCAACTCGAAGGCGTGAATGACTCAATCGTGTACAAGTTGGAAGAAGACGAAAGAATACGAATGAAAGTACAAAACATTCCTTGTAAAACATTTGTTTATAAACTTTGTATCGATATCACGTCTAATTGCCGAACAATACAACTTATTACAAGTCCTTGTGTTCTGGAATTAAAGTCGATAATCGTTCATAGTGTCTTCGCAAATAATAGGAACTTATGGTTAAGTTCCTTGACACCATCTGTGTGCTGAAGTAGATGCTATACATGATTGTGACATTTAATAAATGAGAACTTCCGGCTGAACAATGTGTAAAGAACATTGTTTGCTGCTATACCATGATTGGTATTCTCTTTCGCCCTCTCACTGTTCTTCTTCAACAACTTCAAAGATAAACTACCGCATTTGACCATCTCCTTGTGTGTATCTACCAATTCACTTGCTCATGTGAAGTGAGCAAGATACATAGGTTGTTCTAAAAAGAGTCATACAACATCATCCGGCTTGGCTATGACAGAGTACCAGTGAATCAATAAGCAATGTTCTCATTGAACCAATATATACTCAACTCGAATCATTAGTCAATATGCAGAAAGAGAATTCTTTCAAAGTTATCTCTAAGGTCATAAGAAGCCTTGAACTTCCATAGACTTTGCATTGTCAAGACCTTAACGATTCGGAAAAAAAATTCTGATTTATGCAAACACAGAATAGACTTCTCCATCCACCCCCTTCTATCTCGGGTATAATTCCATTTACATCTGTTATCACTGTCTCGTTATTGACTTTAATTTGTACACTTTTCGTATGACATATAGTAGCATAGTTTTGTTAACTAGCCTTCTATTTACTCTTCTCACCTACTAAACAATTAATTTCGGTCACTTGTCTCCATGCTCTTTAACAGATATCCAGTTATTTCTCAACTTTTTTCATATTACATAACCCCAGGGCAAAACTTATCAATCTTCACTCCCTCTTCCTTTCAATTATTCATCACATTTTTGAAATAGTTTGATGACGCAAGCAATAACCCAAAACTAATTGTGTATTCTAGTTTGACAAAGATAATCTATGCACAAACATCTAAGAAAATAATCATATTCCAGGATTTCGTCATGAACTAATATCAATTTTAGGATCGTTGGGAAACCAATAGGTAGCACTGAACACCAAATTTGTGCTAGTTTGGCACTCTTCAACAGCATGCATCCACCAACATGATTCGAAAACAAAGACCTCCTGGTCACAAGGCTAGCAAGCTCATAGACGATTAAGTCACTGGAACCCGAGCCAGTGCTCCGTGAAATCCAACTCCTGCCTATTCAAGATATCGTTCGACTACACGCGAATGTGAGGAAAAATACTCGCCAAGGATGAAATTTGCTTGTAGTCATACCATATCGTGGGTTGGTAGAAGCTGGAATTCATAAGTCGATAATTGGATCTGGTTTTCCGTGGCTTAAAGGACTCTAATCTTATGACCAGAAGATCCTGAGTTTGAACCTTGTTGGTGGAGGCGTACTGCTGAAGAGTGCCAAATAACTTTAAGGAAACGGCTCTCCAGTACTCCCTTTTGGTTATTCAATTGTCCTCTAACCAACGTCAGTTCATGATAAGATTCTGAAACAAGTCAAATTCCTGCAAAGCGATACTTGAATAATTATATTTAAATGGGATGGAATTTAGTAAGCATGCTCCTGTCGACGCCAAGTAAAATCCTGAGTCGCATCATCCTGGAGAGAATAAAGAACGCACTGAATACAGAACTCCGACCAGAACAAGCTGGATTCAGGAAAGGCAAATCATGTTCTGACCAAAATGCAGCTCTACGCATCATCGTCGAACAGAGCATGGAGTGGCAGTCAAACGTCTACCTCAACTTTATACGCTTTCAGAAGGCTTCCGACAGCATTAGAAACTACTCGAGTACTACGGCGTACCCCAAATATTCATCAACGGCACATGTCAAGTGATCCACTACGGAAAAGTCAGCGAGGCATTTGGAGTAAACACAGGAGTCAAACAAGAGTGCTTAGTACCACCAATGATATTCATAATTGTGGTGAACTGACTGGATTATGCGTCAGACAAAGAGTGGGAAACCAGATGACATGGATATCTTGAACCGACCGACGCAAAGAACATAGAAGACATGGATTTCGCCTGTGCATGATTTATGTTTGATGTCACTGTCACAAAATCGAAGACTTACGAGCGGAAACCGACCGACACACTGGTCGAAGAAGCAGCCGGCGAAGACAGGACTCCAAGTCAACATAGACAACACGGAGGTTATGAAAACAGCCAACAACGACAGCAGCAACATCCAGCGCCAATCACCATCAACGGAAGGGATTTGAAAGAGGTCACTTCATTCACTCACTGATCTAGGCAGCATTGTCTCAACTACACGCAGTCAGAATGACCGAGGATGTCAAATCGAGCGAGAATCGGGAAGGCGAGAAACACACACATTCATCATCAACCTGAAACCAATCTGGAAAACAATCTTTGTCACTCAGCCAGCATCGACAACAAAATTCGGTCGGATTTTCAATACAAACAACGCCAAGTCAGTCAGTCAGTCAGTCACTTCTTCTATACGAATGGGAAACTTGGCGGTGTGTCACAAAGAATATTTCCAACAGCCAGTTGTAGACGTTCATCAACCAACAACTGTCTTCGCTGGCTCTATACTGAAGATGAGATGGCCGGGGTGGAAAGAATCACCAACAATCACCAAACTATGGGAACAAAGAAACAAAACAAGAACCAGTCAATCGCCAATCAACAAATATGCAGGAGAAAGTGAAGAAAGATGGATTGGACACTCGCTCGCTGAGAAGGCCGCTCGTCAGGACATTGCTCGAGTGAAACCCGACCGCAGTGGAAGCGGCGAGTGAGACGTCAGTGTAAGGGTGACATGGAGGAGATCGTTTGAAGAGGTTCTGAAAGAGTATGAACTAACATGGATGCAGGTGATAAGTACAGCACAAGGAGAACAGAAGCAAGCGGAGACGTTCAGTTGAAGCCCTATGTTCCACCAGGAACCCAAGGGAACAATAATGATAATAATAATTGAGATTGTATAGTGAAGTTTGAATGAATTTGCAAAACTGTTTGCTCTATTATTTACATGTTTGGATAGGCGTTTTTCGTGAAATTTTCAGAATTCTGTGGTTTAAATTTGTCAGGATGGCAATTGAAGAGAATTTTATTATTGTTAACACATCATTAAAGTAGGAATGAGTATCAGCTAAGGATAAGAAGCCTAATATGGGTGTGTGTCAATTATCGTAGGAGAGAAATAATCCGATCTTTAACATTTAGACTAATTCTATTCAATTGTTGTATTGCAGTAATCTAACTGGTTACAGGTTCAATAATTAACTGATGTAGATCATAGAACCATTGGAAAATTGACCGGCAGTACTGGAGATATCTGTTTCTCTTGTCCTACTCTGAAACTCTTCAGAGTTCGAACTGAGAATATTCCGGTTACTAGGTGAGCTTCTCTAGATCATCCAGTATAAATCCCTGTGGTTGATAAGTGGTCAATGATCTGACCTTGTAACCGGAAGATCCTCAATTCGAACATCAGTTAGTGAGTATTACTGGTTCTCTAAATGACATCAGCTCGTCACCAGACCTGTAATTCTGATGACAATGATAACGATTATGATAATGGCACTAACCTTAACAGCACTTTTAACCCAAATATGGAATTTTCAGCATGGAATACAATATTCCATTCATCTTATTCTTTCTTTTTTTATCATTGTTCATAATCATATCAGTTGTAATTACACGACTTTGAAAATCGAGTTTTATGGTTCCCTCTGTTTTCTCCTATTTGTCGTCGTACGGGTAGTAGAATTTTCCTGATATCCGCCTGGACAGGTGTTGAATCATTCCTATTACACGTGTTGCTTTGCATTTGATTCGATAAACAAAGCTTCTGATATCAACCTTTCCCACTCGTCACCCTGTGACATTAGTTTTTTAAAATGTCTTCTTATCCCATCCAGCCTATTTTATGGTTATGTGTAATTGCATGTGGTGTGGTGCTATAGCTGAACTATTCTCTAGATTTCTTATCTTATTTGGATCAACCAATCTAGATTTCGGTGCTGGGTTTTATGTTCGGCTATACAGACTGCCTCTGTTCTACTAGTCTGACCTATGTATTTGACCTGGCAATCATCCCAGCAGGATATTAGATGAATTAAATTGTTTTGTTTCAACGGCTCCACGGGACTAATCCTTTAACCGACAAAGCTTGTTTCTAATTGAGTTTGTGGTTGGTTTGAATGCTAGCCACTTTTATTCCTGCCTTTTTAGGAATTCTGCTTAAGATGGTTCCCGAGTTTCCTTCGTTGTACGGAATTACTACCGATGATGATTTAGATTCCTTATTGTTGGTGCCGTCATTCATATTATTATTATTATCATCACTAGTACTATTATGATTATTACTGTTATCATCATTATTATTATTATCACTATCGCTACTATCATTAATTATTTCATTTTTACATTTTCCAACGTATTCACTCCCTGTCTTAAATCTTCCTTGGTACTACTTAAATTTTGTGCTCTGTCACTTAAACATTTCACCAATCATTTTTTCACTGACATAGAATGGGATGACTGGAAGTTCAAAAATCTGTTCGCATGTGTTGGTTTCCTGTAAACACACACTAGTGTGTGTTTAACTTCCCATCTTCTTTCCTTTTTACGTCATGATCTAACATTGGAAGCTCCCCTTCCTGACTTTCCAATTCAGAAGTGAATTAAATCGCCTCTACCACCTTCGAGTTGATGTGTTCGAAAAATCTACCTATATCCTGTGCTCTAAGGACAGTGAATGTGTCATCTACATACCTCCACCATACGTTTGGGGTGTGTGGGGGTGATATTTTCAATCGCCATCTTTTCCCACCTATCCATGAATATATATCTGCTACAACGGGGGATATTGGTGATCCTATGGCAACTCCCTCAGTTTCTTGTATATTTTTTCTTTGGAATATAAATACTGTGGAAGTCAGACATAGCTGCACTGTCAGGGTACCAGATATCTGGAGAGTTCTACTACCCACTACGACGACAAATGGAAGAGAACAAATAAAACTATAAAACTCAAGTTTCAAAGTCATTTGATCACAATTGATATGATTATGAATGGCAATAAATTTTGTTCGAAACATTGTCATCCAGTAAATAATACTGTTTCAGTGACTGTGTGATATATCTAATAAACAGACTAAAATGAAATTACTTACTACCACAGTCTCGAAATTTTACACATATAATAATTAGTCGTGTCATACTTTAAACTCTCCCCATCACATAAAATGTGCCCTGGTCAAATAAGGTCTTGTAGAAATTTCATACTTAGTTATTCGTCCATAAAGCCTTCTTTAATCGAGATGATTCATAGACAGAATGTTTGTGTATAGAGAGGATGCTCATGGTACACCCAACAAGATAATGTTTGCTTACTTCTACAGTCAGTCCAGGCGTCTACTGCCTACAGCAGTGTTAATAAGTTGAATTTTAGTGACATCCCAATCAAATCACTGACAGCTTTCAATGCTATTCCAAGTGTAACAAAGTAGTCTATCTTAAGTAGCTAAGGAAACATTAGGCGAGGAGGGTGGAGATAATAAAGAAGAGTGGGTAGACAACATGAATTAACGGATTGTAACAATACAGGCTGACTGGATGATCCTAAGTTGTCTTCAATTTTCCTACGAAGAAAAATAGATGAAATAGTGTCATGAAAACTGACATGATACTGAATGATCAGGAAAGATCACAGGAAATGCACATTCCAAGATGTTTAAAATTAGACTTGGTTTCAACTTCAGTGCCATCTATTATATTTGAATCATGGGAATCAAAAACAATTCACGTAAACCGTCCTTGTGTCTGAAAGTGAAATTAACAGCCTGACATTCGGAGGGATTTCTCTTGAGATCATTTGAAAAGGACTACTCATTAGTATCTAATAGAACTATATTCATTTTGAAGCAGTCTAGTTGGGAAGTAACAGCCAGTAGACCATCAGCATACTTGACAAAATTGACTTCGTCAGAATGGGTTAGGTCATTTTAGAAGAAGGAAAACAGAAAAGGAGAAAGAACGATATGTTGAGGAGCACCATCTAGATTAAGTAAGGCACTGGACGACTTCCTATTCTATAGAGTGTGCTACTTTCTGTCAGACAAATAAGAATGAAACCATCTAGGAATCCATCGCCCTACTGGTGTCGCAGCAAGCGTGTTGAACAAAATAGGCCTATGTGCATTAGAGTCCAAGGCAGATGAGCAACCACAGAAGACGCGCCAAGCATGTTTGGCACCCCTCAAAATTTTAATCAAACTAATTAAGAGAAGATACAATACAGTTGGTTTGATCCACTAAAGAGAGCGTTGACTATTTGATTGGGACTATCCAGACTCCCAGGAATGAATGGCTTGAAACTGCCGTCAAAATCATTCTCAATGGAGTAAAGGCATTCACTCTGCGTGACCTCCTGGACTTATTAACTTCTCGTGGTTTTAAGTTGTTATTCTTTCTACATAGAGTGTAGTAACACCGAAGTTTTGGGCTTCTGTGAAACTGTCTACAGTGAGAATCAGTCACTCAGGTAGACAGACATTCACCATGGTGTTAAATTCCTGCCAAACAATTAATTGTCACAATCATCGCTGAATTTCATAAAGGCACTTCAGTATGCAACCAAAAAAAGAACAATTATTTGGCACTTCCAAACACTCGGATGAATTCAAGTGTTGATTTGTAGGGATTTGGTAGATTGGTTACAGGATTTTATCATGAGCTTACATTAGTTAAAGAACCATTGGAAAACCTGGGAGTACTGGACAGCTCTTCCGTCCTGGTTTTGGACTCTTAAGCAGTACGCACCCACCACAGGGGTTTGAAACCAGGACCTTCTGCTTACAACGCGAGCTCTAACTAATGTCAGCACATGATGAAATCCTGTAACCAATCAATCAAAATCCCTACAAACCAATACTTGAATATCAATGAGATGATCACTAGCGACTTGCCCTATTCAGGTAGGTAGTTACCTGGGGTTCTAGTGAGAAGTCATGACCAGTAGGGTGCAGCAGGTCGGGTGTGAGGACAAATACTCGCCACCGAAGATATTGGCTAGTGGTCACGCTATGTCGTGAATTGGCAGAAGTTAGAATTCATGGACTGGCCGTTGGATCGGGTCCCAGTGGCTTAATGGTCCACGAGCTAGCTCGCCTTGTAACCAGAAGGTCCTGGGTTCTAACCGTGTACGCGTATGCGTACTGATGAAGAGTCACGAACTAGGACGAAACAGCTGTCCAGTACTCCCAGCTGGTTTTCCAATGGTTATCTAACCAATGTCAGCTCACGATGAAATCCTGTAACTCTGATGAATTGTTGTCATTCGATGGTTCGAGGTGATCGGCAAGAAAAAGCCCCATCTGTCCTAGATTTCACGCCTGTTGGCACTCACCATCAATCACCCAGGCGTATCCACAATCTTGAAGGATAGCATTTCCCTTCTGATATCCTAACGTAACATAGTGGCCACATTACAATCTTGACTGACGATGGAATTCAGTCTGCATCGAACAAACAATGGACTAGACACATGATACTAGCAACTAACTACCGAGTGTCCAATCAACATACTCAGAAACACTATTACCATTATAAACTAGTCACAGCTTGTCATGACTTTATGTGAATGAAAGGTGACTGAATATTGGAGAAAAAGCCGAACCAACCTCATTTCGGTGACTGTCTTTTATACGTTGAGCAAGATAGTGTTTTTCAATTGTCCAAGGAAAGACTTCCATTAAGCGTTCAAGACAAAACTCAGAATATTTTGGATTGAGATCTATTCATATCAAAACAGGAAACAAAAGATACAAAATCAAGAATATTTACATGACCAAGAATTGATATCATCAGTTGAAGAAGCACTGGAAACCACTAGGACACACTGTGGTGAGAGCAGGCTGCTAGCCAATCGGTAGACATTAATTTACGTCTATGTCTATGTCGCTAATATTGGCCATGAGAAAATATGAACAAAACTGATTCAACAACCAATCACAGCACACTTAACGTGGGCAAATACGATTTGCAGATATATGGCTTAACTTTTTGAGAAACCAGTCACAAGCAGCACAGAATAATCTTGAGCAAGAAACGACCAATCAGAAGACCGTGTTTTTCTGCTTGAATAAGCTATAATAATGTTTATGAAATATATATAAATACGTGCTGATTTCCTTAATAAACGATCTGTTGCCTGTCCCTTGTCTTCTGTTGTTACACTAACTGAGGTTCTATTCCAGGGTCTTCTCCTTATAAGTCGAGCTCGTAGACCATTTAGCCAGTGAGACCCACTTGAGTGGCCAGCCAATGAATTTCAACCTCTATCACCTCATCAACTACGCCCTGGTTTTCAGTCATTCTCTAACTGATATTAATCCGCACCTGATGAAACTACAGACAAATCAGATGCCTGCAAAACTAGCTGTTGGGAATCAGTCTGATACTCTCCAACAACCGCTGGCAACAGAACGACACTTCCCTCACTTCGTGTAAGAAGTTGTCACCAGTGGTGTTCACCAGGTAAGGATGAGATTAGTACATATACTTGCTAATGTAACTGGCTGTTTCCAGTTGGACTCAAAATTCACGAATCGGTAGAAGTTAGAATTTATGGTTTGGCAATTGAGTGAGGTATTGGTATCTGAATGGTCTACGAGCTCGTTTAATTACCATTAAACTCTGGATTCGAAATTTTGTTGAGGCGATGAGTCGGAAACTATGACGAGACGGCTGCCCCCTGGTGTTTTTAAAACCAAAGTAACTTATTTTGTGTGATAGCTGGCAGCGGTATTTGTGGTTAAGAGGTAGAACGTCAGCCAACCATCCCTCAAGTAGTTACAGTTTCGATGCACACCTAAACCATTCCAAAACTTCACCAAGCCGGTTGTAATGCAGGTAAGGAGAGAGGGTTGTGTTGCGTGAGGCCAGCAGCCCCCCCCCCACCCCGTAAAAATAAAACCACTCCTATCGAAAATTAAACCCCTCTCATATTTTTATCCTTCAGTGTTGCACTAGAAACATAAAAGAGAAATTTAGGGTAATAAGGAGAGTCAGTTGGATGCACTTGCAGCCTACTGATTGTGATAGTGTCCCTCCTGAGACTCATTCAGCACAGCCCATTGGTTCAAACACTCCAGCGTACTTCATCCCTTAGACTACCTCTTCACCCAGAAGTTCTGAATATTCAATTATCTGCTCATCAAAGGGAAACCATAACATAACATGGTGTGATCATAATTTACCTGTATCCGCTTTGCTATCCATAGGTACTGATTTATCGCGTTTAGAGGAAACGAAACTTAACAGCGGTAAGAATAGCTCCATAACAGCCATATTATGAAGTGCACTATAGAAGACGAAAAAATAACAGAGTTTCAAAAGAGTTTCAGCTGTCATCTTCATGGCAAATAAATATGCAAAAAAAATATTAAATTGTCACAATCAACAGGAAGGAGAATTTTTGATTCGTTTTACTAGTGAAACCTATTGTGAAAGAACTTAAAGAATGGATGCTAAATAGATGTTTGGAAGCAGGCAGTCGGGAGGAAGCTCTGCGTGACTGACCTGCGTTTCGTGCTTATTGGCATTAACCGGTCAGTAAAGGCGTAGACGCATCTTTGGAAGAATTCACATCCCTTCTGAGATTTGAACCAGCATTATTCATAGCTGTCTGTTGTCAGCTGAGACATTTAGGCTGGTGACTGACCTCCTATAGGACTGACTGCGTTGGACACTCTGTTTGGAGATGAGGTGGTAACTAGTATCCTGTGTCAAGTCCTCTATGTTGGTGCCGACTAAATCCTATAAGTTAGGCTTCCAATATCACCACCGACAAGCTAGAAGGTTTGTCATCACAGTGCACTGTGAACTGTTGTTACTAGGTGGTTGGGGACAAACAGCGGGAAGACCAGCCTGACCAGCAAGATATATCTGCAGTCTATATGGATCTAATACAATGTTAATTTTTGATTACTTAGACGGAGGGCGAAACACTCAGTCAGGTACATGCATTTATTTAAGGTTGGCCAACATAAAGAAAGTGTCCGTAGCTTAAGCCATTTGATTCCATCTGAATGGAAGTCAAACATACGTGTGTTCAGGAGAAATTAGCACACAGTCAGTTTCCTTACCTTGGCCAAGCTTACATGAATGTGAAAAATACTGACAATTTCAACCTACCAACGTCATCTCCTACCTAATCCATGACAAGATATCTCTGTACAGGTCATCTTACTTTGTGCTGACTCCTTCTACTTTCTTTAATTGCCTGTTACGCAATCAACCTGTACAATCGCTTATTCCCTAACTACTCCTCTTACATTTTCAAAAATCATGAATTACGCAATCCGCTTGGTGTTTGTATTAATTCTTTTGGTTAATTATCTCCCCACACCCTTGACATGTTGATACTGACTGACTATTGTTAGTAAACATATCACCACTAGATTGGTGAATCTACAAATCAATGGGGACTCATCGGCAGAAATAATGAGAAGCCGCCTGTCCCGCCTATCGAAGATAACCTTCTTCGCAGCTGAGCTTCGATCAACTTTCCTCACAAAACCAACGGTTCGAATGAACGTAAAGGATAAGCTACAGTTGCTGGCCTCATCAATGTGTCCCTATGAATTCATCTGCTCCTTTCGAGTTGGCTAGGTATGTCGGACATACTCAGTGTATCATCAAACACCTAACCTAGTGATTTTGTTAGAGAGAAAAAAGGGTTCTCCACAACCCATAGGAAGCTCTATCCTGGAACTCCTTTCTTCTTACATGAAACTTGCTACTTTAAGGTGATTTCAACTTCATACAATATGCTGATGGTCTGAGTTTCTCATTGCTAGTCACTCACGGACACAATCCAGTTGTGTAAGCTGGCTGGTTTCACGATGAATCTCTTCAAATGTCAGACATAAAAGTAATTTAGACGAACTTATGCCTTAGCAAGATCCTATTAGCATAAAGCCCACTGTAATGAAAACTAAGTCAAGAATAAAATACCCTGAAATAGTTCTTTCGTCAAACAGGGACTTCAGAGCATGACTTCCTGAATGACTTCAGAAGCCATCTCTAGAATTTTTAGAGTACATTTATTCTGAGAACAAACTGCCTAGATGCTCTACTGTGAAACATAATATAGAGGTAGGACATAAAACTGATGTTTACAAACGTCTTTCAAACTTGTCTATGTTACGTGTCTGAGGCATATCCTAAAATTAGTGGAAGCTTCAGGCAATTAGGAAGTTAGAACCACCTTTATGCATTCATCAGAAACAATTCGTCGCTACGCTAAGCCTTCCTTGGTAAATTTCTTTGTTGTTGATTGATACCAGGCCAGATGTACTATAAAATCACATGCCTCATCAATGCAATTCGCTAGAATATGAAGGATAAGCTACCCCTGCTGGCTTCATCAATGTGTACTTATGAATTCACCTGCTCCTGTGGAGCTAGCTAGATACGTCGGCCATACTTAACTTTCGCCACATAAATGTAACGTCAAACACTTACCCTAAAGATTTTGCAACGGAGAAGGAAGAGTCTCCCACACACACCCTAGGAAGCTCTATCCTGGAACAGCTAATCGAATCTTGACACGAAAAACTGAGCCACCAGCCAACTCCAAAGTCATCTAGGGAATACGCGAGGGTCTTGCTAAAAGAATGACAATCAAACTTTTTTAAAAACTACAGGAACATTGGTAATTCACAGGTGAAATCCTGAATCCCTACATACACAAGTGAAAGTTTGTTCATTGAATGAATGTACAATCGATGCAATCTGCCCTAACAATGAATATGAAATTTTTTTTTCGTTTTATTTTCGTTTTTAAATTTTATTACCTTCTTCCAGCAGTTGTGGACATTTCAATCTCATGTAAAGCACACTGATGCTTCAGTGCCATTTTATCCTCAACTATTATCGGAAGTAATCGATAATCACCTTTGTATTCAGTTTCATCAAACAATTTTGCAAACAGATTTTCCCAATCCATCTTGTAAAATGAAAAGAAGCGGATATTTTGACGAAAATTACTCAGGTTTTATAGAAAGATGCTTTTAAAAAAAAATCAAAATATCAATTAAATTTTATTCATACCACGTAAAGGCGACAAATATGTGCGTTGCTTAGAAACTTGAAGTGGGCATCCGTGGTGTCACTGGAAGCGCTTCCAAAAGGCTACTACAAACTTGCCTCAACAGTTATCCTTCATCCTCACCCCCTCCCACCAACCCACTTCTAATGACTTCATGCTGAAGAACAGCTGACTAGCTAATCAGCCAGAACGAATGATCAACAAGAATCTCTGGAGGGTGGCGGGGGGGTGAGAAGAAACCAATAAAGAACCTTCAGCTGTTCCCCAGATATGTCAAAGGAAATGTATATAGGTGACATTGTGCGCGCCAGGCTATCGCTTGAATGAAATATTCAGTGGGAAACGACGAGCACGGGGATGTGACCAAGGGTGATATGGAGGAGATCATATGAGGAGCAGAAGATGAGGGCGTTTGGGTAATTAACGGTGAGGCCAGCTAAAATGGACTGTATAGAATAGGACGTAGAGTAAGTGATCTGTTGAAGTCCTGTATTCTATTTGAAATCCAAGGGAATAATAATACATACATTCATACACACATCTTCATGTGTCGATGGCTCAGTGATATTATGATGGCCAACGATGCCTCATATGGTCCGGACTCAGTTCATGGACAAAGTCTCACTTAGCCATTGATAAAGAGGTGTAGTTGAGTGTTGAGACAGAAAAACCACCCATTTTAAAACATAACACTGTCTCTCTTGTGAAACTTGATATTATTATTATTGTTTGAATAAGGCATTGAGAAGACAAATTTCGTGGCGAGATGATATCATCATTTCGTAGTTTCTTTACAACCGCTTTACAACTAAAATGGTTAACAATAATAAAAGAAAGTTCATGACAATTACTAAGTTATAGTTTTTCAGACCGTGGGTGTTACGAACTTCCTGGAATAATCTGAACGCCGAGTCAGATTGATTCATTATAAATTATTTAAATTAATCCCACCGTGTTAAGAAAATCAAAACAAGATTTTTCTGAACGTTTTGCGGTGCAAGCCACAGCTTCTTCAGCAGATTTATTCGGATTTTTATTAATCATCAAAATATATAATCAAAATTTACCCAGTTATATGAAACAAAAGTAAATACTAATGACCAGTTATATATAAATAGGTCAAGTAGTCAGTTCACGGTAGGCGAAGATTGAAGTCTAATGATTTTTGTATACACAGTTTAGGCTTTATGTGATTAATTCCCGAAGTACTTCCATCACCTTTATTAAACAACCTTGAATTCAAGTTATGTGATGAAATAATTGTGAAACAGTCATTATTTAATATTGATTTTGTGACCTGACATTAATAAATGTTTTGCAATGGATGATGATGATGATGATGGATTTCTATTCAGATTAGTGGTTATCTGGAGAACTTTATCACTTGTCACAGTAAAGAAAAACAACATCTCAAAAAGACAGCATCTGTACCAAAGAAAGCTATCTTTATTAACCTACAATTCAAAGGCGACCAGATTATACAGTTGACAGCTATCTCAAAGACTTCGGTCAGACATCAAACGCACATTCTACGCTATATCCCTTTTTCTCACTTGCCGAACATTTTCGATCCCTGTAGCTACCTACGATTAAAGGATGAAATTCTGTGGACTCTACTTCAATCTGTATCTTCAAGTTCACACCTGAAGTTGCGGTGACACCTATATAGGTAGAACCAACAGAATGTTCCAATGTCGTCAAAAAGTACATGTTCCAAAATGGTTACTAAATCATATAGAAAATCTCAATGCGATTAATCTGAATAGAAATCTAGCATCATCCATTATTATTATTAATGTCTGGTCACAAAATCAATATTAATTAATTACTGTTTCACAATTATTTCACAAAACTTCAATCTTCGCCTACCATGAAGTGACTACATGACCTATCTAAATATGATTGGTCATTAGCATAGTATGTACTTTTGTATTTTTTATTTACCTGAGTAATTTTCATGAACTTTATTTTATTTTATTGTTGTTAACCATGTTAGTTGTAAAGTGGTTGTAAAGAAACTATGAAGTGATGATATCATCTCACGAAATTTGTCTTCTTAATGCCTTATTCAAATTTATCAAGTGGACTAATTGTTTTAATTATTATTATTGTTTATTCCATGGGTTCACTATAGAAAATATTTCTTCCACAGCCAGTCTCCAAATTCTCCTATTCTCTGTAGTCGTTTTTAGCTGGCTTCACGATTTCCCGTAGTCTTTCATCTTTTTTCATGTCACCCTTAGACACACGTCCAACTAGCCTGCAGCTTCTCATTTGGGTTCCACTCGAGAGTTGATCTGACTGATGTGTGATGTCGGCAAATTGACTCTCCAGCAAATGTCCGAACAGCCCCTACCTTCTGCTTTATATTCATTGAGCAGTAGAAGGAAGTGAGAAGTCGTGACCAGTAGGGTGCAGCAGGTCCGGTGTGAGGACAAATACTCGCCACAGAAGACATTGGCTAGTGGTCACGCTATGTCGTGAATTGGCAGAAGTTAGAATTCATGGACTGGCCATTGGATCGGGTTGGGTCCCAGTGGCTTAGTGTTCTACGAGCTAGCTCGCCTTGTAACCAGAAGGTCCTGGGTTCGAACCCCTGTTGTGGGTGCATACTGCTGAAGAGTCCCAAACTAGTGGAACGAAACAGATGTTTAGTACTCCTTGCAGGTTTTCCAATGGTTCTCTAACTAATATCAGCTCATGATGAAATCCTGTAACCAATCAATCAAATCCCTACAAACCAACACTTGAAGAATGATTTTGGTTAGTTGCCTACCAAGATTTATGGTCGTTTATCCTCTGAACACGGCCATGTGACCTTTATTATGGAGCCAGCGAAGGTGGCAGCCGTTGATAAAAGTCTACGCTAGCCTGTTGGAAATGCTTACCATGATACACACGCCAAGTTTCTGACCGACATAGAAGAAATGACTGACTGAATTACCATTGGTGTTGATAATCCGAATTTTCTTGTGTATTCTTAGTTCATCGGAAAACTTTCAAAATGATTTCCGAGTGATGAACATCCGCGATAGCTTCCCGATCCCGGCTGGTTTTGACGTCTTCATCCGTGGAGTTGGTTGGATTTGAAAAGAGGTCTTCCTGGATACATGAAGGAAGTGACCTTATTCGATTTTATTCTGTTGATGATGATGACTGATGCTTGTTGTTGCTGTCGTCAGCTGGCTTTTTATCTTCATCACCTCCGTCTTCTTTATATTCCATGAAGTTCTATATTTGCTGTTTCAGTTGCCGACTTGTTGTAAGTCTTCGAATTCAAATGAGACATTAGACACAAATCCCCCAGTGTCAAGTCCAAATCTTCTAGAGTTGCCTCACTACCACACAGAGTCTCCCACATAAGCTAGTCCACCACAATCAGGAATATCAACAGCCATAGTATAAGCAGGTAGTCTTGCCTTACTCCCGTCTCCACTTCGATGGCTTCTTTGCTGAGTTTTCCGTTGCGGACCACCTGACACGTACCACTGTCATGTGTTGCAGCAATTTCCAAATTACTTCACCGCTGATGCTATTGAAGGCTTTTCCAAAATCGATGAAGCTGAGATAGGGACACGAACAGCCATTCAACGTATTGTTCAGTGATGACGATTCGTAAAAATTGACACTTTCTTCGCACAAGATCTGGTTTTTTTCTGAATCCAGCTTGTTCCGGAAGTGTGGGTGGAGTTGCGCATCCAGGCCATCTTTCAGTCATTTCAGAGTGACGCGACTTGATACTTTTTGCTTGTTGCTTATTCTTTTTGGTCGGTCAGCAAAGGTTCATGTTCTATTAGAAGTACATTTTATTGTAAAATCAATATGCTATTTGCTTTCAAAATACACTTGATTACAAAGTCTCCGAATTCCAAAACCCTATCGACAGAAATAACACACGTTTGACACCAAACTATTACAACCAATGAATCTCCTAAAATGCAGTAAAATGTCAGCGATGATCACACAGGTCAAAAATATTTGTAAATGTCAACAAACTTCAGGAGCTTTCTTTTATGACATAAACGAAACCAGGAATAAAACATATTCCTCATTTTTCAACAAATAACTTAGTAGAAATAATCTAAGGTGAAACGCTAATTTCTTCATGAAAATGTATCCTTCGACTGGGCACTATTTGATAAGTGACTAGTGTAAGGTGTCTATAATCCTTTATTTGTTTCATGCAGACAAAATTCTATCGGTCAGTCGAGTTTTCAATAAGACCACCAACCGACTAAGTGGTTTATCATCATGGTGAATTCTAAATCGGTTACAACAAGTGGATTGCACATTGCATAATATGATAGAGACAATTTGTAGCTTAGGTGGATGATTTTGAGGTGGTTTTGTTCTCTGAGCTGGAGATTTAATTTGCGAAGCTTCATCGCCCTACTTGATAGGCGACATCTTTAGCGATTACACTTCAATTTGAATTGAAGTGAGCTTTTAGATTTCTCCACGAGTTTATTAATCATCTCTCGTGGTCGGTGACCACCTTAGACGTGATTGGTTGTTTTTGTGTGTTTTCACACCTTCTAGGAGGCTATTTGTGGTATTGGAACTGATTGTTTCTTTGACTTCACCTTTGACCCTTTGTGTGTGAGGTTTCTTTCTTTACGGTTGATAAGTTTCGTCTATCTCGATGTGTCTGTTGATTGATGATTCACTGGAATACCAGGTAGGCTTCTAAAAATTCTCTAGCATTCCTGGTGTCTCCTCCTGTCGAATATTAGAATGCTGTCGCAGTCGAATTGATGTCCATGGTTGTCTGTAAGCAGTGATCATACATACATAATACACACATACATACAGACAGACAGACAGACAGACAACCATTGACATCAATTCGACTAAGACAACCAACCTAGAAAATATTAGACAGAGAAAACAACAAGAATGCTATAAAATTCTTAGAAGCCTGCCTGATATTCCAGTGAACCACCAATCAACAGACACGTCGAGAAAGACAAAATTTATCAGGGGATAAGCAGGCAACCTCACACACCAAGGGTCAAAGTTCAAGTCAAAGAAAAAATCAGTTCCAATGTAACTGGCCTAGAAGTTGTGAAAACACAAACAATCAATCAGGTCCAAGGTGGTCACTAACCACGAAAGATGATTAATAAGCTCGTGGAGAAATCTAAAAGCTCACTTCAATTCAATTTGAAGTGTAATCGCTGAAGATCTCGCCTATCAAGTAGGGCGATGAAGCTTCGCAAATTAACTATCCAGCTCAGAGAACACAACTACCTCAAAAACATTGCATAATTTTGGAGAACTCAAGAGTAAATTAGGAATAAGCAAGTGCACAAGTTGATTACGTAACAGTTTATTAAAGTAAATTGAAACGATTTAGACAATGATAACTTGTAATCAAAGATGAAAAGACAGTGATAAGACTTAACAATCTGTTGCGTAATCAACTAGTACACTCGCTTATTCCTTAATTACTCTTCATTATTCCAAAATTATGCATTATGCAATCCACCTAGTGTAACCATTACTACCTTTTAATTGTATGTATTAATTTTCTTCGTGAACGCTGATCTAGTGTCATTGGGTGGTTGGAAGCAATACCTAGAGGCAGCCTTTAATCCACGTGCGTGCACGCCTGATCAACATGAGCATCCATATGCCAGAACTCTCGGTCCCGTGAAATTCCACAACCTGTCCTCCAGGTAGCTAGATTACGGGCATATACACCCAGTCACTTCTTCAGTTTACTGTCATTCCTCTCTGTCAGACCGTTCGTTGGTGGATGATGATATAGTGTTTTTCTGATCTCCTTGATACCCAGCTGTAGCAAATGCGGAGTGAATCCTTTCTTTTCAAAACAAGGACCCTAATCTGTCTATATCACGTATGGTACACCGAAATCTACTGATCGCCACTGTGCATCTACGGAAACGGATCCATCACACATCTACTGAAGACAATTCACCCACTGTTATAACTGGAATTGACTACAGAGGCGGTCGTATGCACCGATATCCTTTCATCGAATGGCACTGCGGACATCCAAGTACATACTTTGTCACATCTTGTTTCATACCTGTTCAGTGCATACTTTGTCTCAAGAGGTCGATTGTTCTGGCTACTTCTGTATGTGCCAGCTGGTAAGATTCTTATATCATCTCATGGCATAGAGACTGAGGTACTACCGTCAACCAGCTTCCATAGTCCTCTCTCTCCAAGTCAGAGTTTCGTAGGCGTTCACCCTTAATCAGTCGATCAGTTTGAGTAGCGTAGCCAGATCCTTACTCGCCATACGTTGATTTACTTCTATTCCATCAGCGATCACCTGTATGACTGTATCTCCGATAACTCAGCTTCGTCTTCCGGTATAAACGAAACGTCTACCACAAACGTTTCCTTGCCAGGGACGTGTCAGATCATGAAGTCAAATTCCTGCAAGCGTAACAGCCACCACGACAATTTTTCACGTGCCTGTTTACTGGCAGTCACCATCAGTCATCAATGGGTGTTTCTTCAATGCTGAAGGGACTCACATTCACCCCCTATGAAATTCACGCCAGTGTTACTCTATGCTGTCTAAAAGTAGAGAGGTTATCACTAAGAGCTATTCAGGCAAGTGACTAATCACCTGTTACAATTTATTATACAATTTGATAGAATACAAATGATTGATGTAAAAAGGTTTGTTTTTGTTGTACTTACCGGTGGACAGATGGCCTTCAATTCATCCATTTTAACTAATTGTTTTCCTTTATTTGGAGCATGTCTGTTTGCATAATATGTATTCTAAAAAAGGATACACCAAAAAGTAGATATGATTAGTAGTCGCATACAAAAACAGAAATTGAATTAGAGAAAAATTACTTTTACACTGATAAATTGTTGAAAGCACTATTAATATATGTGTGTAAAACTTGAGCACTATAGTAGTAAGTATTTCCATATTAGTTTGTTTATAAGATGTATCACACAGTGATGAAACAGTATTATTTAATGGATAATGAAGCTTCGAACAAAATGCATTACTGTTCATAATCATTTCACCAATTATAATCACACGAATTCGGAACTTGAGTTTTATAGTTTTCTTTGTCTTCTCCTATTTGTCGTCGTTGGGGTAGAAGAATTATTCAAATATCTGGAATCGTTAGAGTGCAGCTATGCCTGACTTCCACAGTATTTAAATTCCAAGGCAAAAATATACAAACAAACTGAGGAAGTTGCCACAGGATCACCAATATCCCATGGTTGTAGAAGATATATATTCATGGATAGGTGGGAAAACATAGCGACTGAAACGTTCAACCCCACCCACTCCTAAAGTATGGTGGAAGTATGTAGATGACACATTCACTGTATTTAGAACACAGGATATAGATAAATTTTTCGAACACATCAACTCGAAGGTGGTAGATGCGATTCAGTTCACTTATGAATTGGAAAGTCAGGAAGGAGAACTTCCAATGTTAGATCATGACGTAAAAAGGAAAGAAGATAGGAAGTTAAACACACACTAGTGTGTGTTAACAGGAAACCCACACATTCAAAACAGATATTTGGACTTCCGATCATCCCATCCCATATCAGTCAAAATAGGATTGGTGAAATGTTTAAATGACAGAGCACAAATACTGAGTATTACCAAAGAAAATCTAAGACAGGAAGTGATACACATAAAAGAAGCCTTGAAACTTAATAATTACCGGGATAAATTAGTCAGGAAATATGTAGGAAAATGTAAAAATAAAATAAATAATGATAGTAGTGATAGTGATAATAATAATAATAATAATAATAGCGATAACAATAATGATAATATTAATGACGACACCAACAATAGGGAATCTAGACCATCAGTAGTAATTCCATACAAGGAAGGAACCTCGGAAACCACCTTAAAAGGCAGGCAGGAATAAATAACGCTGGTATTCGAACCTACAAACTCAATTAGAAACAAGCTTTTTCGGTTAAAGAATCCTATGGAGCAGTTGATGATGCTTTTATTTGCCCAGTTGGGTTTCAATTAATCCATAAAAATTGATGTTGAAACTCAGATCGAATGTATGAAAGTCTAGTGAAGACACTGTTTATGCACAACTGGCAGATATAATCAATTCATACTTGGATATTTTAACTCCAACCTCTTCTATCTAAAAGGAGGAGAGGGAAAAATCCCCTCCCTGTGTCGCTCCCTCTCCAATTTCCAATTTCGTGCCATGTTACTCAACATGCTTGTGGAGATGTTTTACGCTTAGTCGGTGGAATCTCATATGTGATGTTGAGATCATTTCGAATAAAAATACTTTGCAGATTTTTCTTCTCTTACCAACAGATTGTCATGATTTGGATCTACTGGGCACAGACGACTAGATTTATAATCGATCCATACTTTTTTAGTGATTTACTTTTTCTTCATACACATTCTGATGAAACGATCCAAATTCTTTGTAGATGTTTTGCTTGTAAATGCATCACCATCTACTACTCACTATAATCAGCGAAAATACCCATTGAATCATGAAGAAAATAAAAGACAAATTCAGCGAAGAAAGGTTTTCTTTATCGACGAAATCATCTTCCCTCAAAGGCTGTACAGTCGTATTTATACTTACAAAAAATATATAGTGGTGTATTATTGAGTAATAGGGTGAGGGGTGACATAATTGATATAATTACAGAAGGAGCATATGAGATTGATAGTAGTGAATTAATTATTAAAGCATAAGCAAACTAAAAGTAAAATTAAAAATTAAGAACAAAAGAAAAAATCAAAACTTTTTACAGGGAACAATTAATGAAGAGGTTAAGACCAAGGTAGAATAAGAGACTGGACAAACTTTTTCTGTATACAGAGTTCAGGGTTGTATTGATGAATTGCCAGCGTCTCTGCCGTGCACAAAAGCCGAAACCTGACGCCCTTTGCACCATTTGGCTTCACCTTGTAGATGATCTTGAAAGACGGCTCTGGTGAAGCTACGTGGCCTGAGTTCACCAAATGCTCGAGAATTGAGCTAATAATTGTCTTACATTGTCCCTTTTGCTAAACATCCCGGATAATGTTTAACCTTATTAATTTTACCCTTATCAAACTTCTATCTTTGTGCCACTGAGTACCGTGTAATTTACAACTTTTAATTTTCACTTCTAAAGCCACTTATGATTAATTAAATCAATTATGTCACCCCTTATTACTCAATAATACACCACTATATATTTTTCTAAGTATAAATACGACTGTACAGCCTTTGAGGGAAGATGATTTCATCGATAAAGAAAATTTTACTCAGTAAAAATTAGTTGATTCTAACCAAGGAACAATATGATGGCATCTATTAATTTTTGCTGGTAAAGTCAACCACACAATACATCATGGGGAGAGTGGAGGGGATAGAACGGGGAGAGATATCACTAGCAGAGAGAACTAAAACTTAAGAAAATCCATCAGTTGTCCCCCAATTAAAATTCTACTAAAAAGGTATACGAAGTATTAGGACGGACTAACTATCATTGACTGACGTGTAGAACATAGAAGACCTGTATTTCGCGCGTGGATGATTTATGTTTGATGTCACTGTAACAAAATCGAAGACTTACAAGCGAAAACCGACCGACAAACTAGTCCAAGAAGCAGCAGGCGAAGACAGGACTCCAGCCGAACATAGACAACACGGAGGTTATAAAAATAACCAACCAAACTAACAACTACAACTGCAACATCCAGCGACAACCCCCATCAACGGAGGCATGTGAAAGAGGTCACTTCATTCACTCACTTACGAAGACAGCATCGTCTCAACTACAAACAGTTGGAACTGACCAGGATGTCAAATCGAATGAGAATCGGGAAAGCGAGAAACACATCAACATCATCGACCTGAAACCAATCTGGAAACCAATCTTCGTCACTCAGCCAGCATCAACAACAAAATCCGGTCTGATTTTCAATACAAACAACATCAAGTCAGCCAGCAGTTGTTCTATACGGATGAGAAACTTGGCGGGTGGGGGGGTCACAAAGAATATTTCCAACAGCCAGTTGCAGACCTGTATCAATAACTGTCTTCGCTCTCTCTTTACTGAAGATCAGATGGCCGGGGCGGAAAGAATCACCAACAATCACCAAACTATGGGAACAAACAAAATACGAATCAATCAATCCCCAACCAACAAATATGCAAGAGAAAGTGAAGAAAGATGGCTTGGACAATCTCTGAGGAGGCCGCGCGTCAAGCCATCACTCCAGTGGAACCCAACCGAAAGGGAAGCGGCGAGTGGGACGTCGGTGTAAGAGTGACATGGACGAGATCGTTTGAAGAGGAGTTGAAAGAGTATGGAGTAGCTAACATGGACGGAGGTGAAAAGTACAGCAGAAGGAAGACAGAAGTGACAAGTGGAGACGTGCAGTTGAAGTCCTATGTTCCACTAGGGAATAACAATAATAATAACTATTCTTGTTAGCCTTAAAATCATGATTGATACAATCAAGTAGGCACTGATTATTTACCTATGGTTTAAATTGGCGTTGATATGTACGGAAGAATACACTCCCTATTAGGGAATAATTAAGGATGTTCTTGCTGTTTTTGTCGCAGTTTTCACATTTGAATATGACTCCTGTGTGTGGGTGTATGTGTCTACTCAGTGTGGGGGAATACTCCCAAGTGATCAAGTGTTGGTTTGCAAGCTTCTAGCAGGAAGTCGTGAGGGGAATTTTACTCACCGCCGATGACATTAGCTAGTGCCAGTCGCTCTTTATCGTGACTCGTTAGACGTAGGAATTCATGGTGTAGCCGTTGAATTGGGTCCCAGGTGCTAATGGATGGTCTACGAGTTAACTTGTCTTGTAACTCGAAGGTCATGGTACTGGTCGTCGAGCTGGCTGCTAGCCAAAAATTGGTAGACAGTAATTTACTTCAATGTTTATGTCCTCAATATTGGTCGTGAGGAAAATATGAACAAAGACTGATTCAACAACCGGCCACAGCACACTTTGCGTAGGCAGATACAGTTAGCATATAGATGATCTAACATTCAAGTAACAGTCACAAAGAGATGAAAGATTAACTTTCAGTGAGAAACAACCGCCAATCAAAAGACTGTTTTCCTGCCTAAAATAATTTACAATAATGTACATGAAAATCTATAAATATATGTTGATTTCCTTAATAAACGATCTGTTGCCTGGCTGGCACTTGTCTTCTGTTGTTACATTGGGTTTTATACCCTGTGATAGGTGCGTATTGTTGAAGAGTCCAAAATCTAGGACGAAACAGCCAATATATCTAATACACTCTATTGATTGTTTCCATGGTTTTGCAACAAATGTCAGCTCAATAATGAAGTCCTGAAAGGTTTTTATTGTTGTTACAAAACAAATACTTACATGAGCAAGACGAAAGCTTAACTCAAAGGCGCTGTTTAGCCTTTTGACTTCAGTCTCAGGCACTCCCAGAAAATGAGCATATTTGTTGTAAAATGGAGCGATTACAAGTGATTCTTCCTGTACAGATAAAAAAAGGAGGAAGAAGAATGTATATGAATAAATATAAATCAATACTTTTATCTGATTGGCAGTAAATAAACCAATGAAAATTCACAGCTATGGAGTGATTTGATTGGTGGCTACAGGATTGATCATACAAGCTGACTTCAGTTAGAGGAGTGAAGCCGGGTGTTTCTTCTGAAGCCCTGTGGTCTCCTGAGAACCCAAGGATATATTAGTAAACAATATAAAGTCAAGATTATTTAGTCTCTTGAAGTAAATCAGTCCTAGTTTACTACTGATTAAGTTATCTGTGACTGGATCACAGTAATCCTACTGATTATTATTACTATTATTGTTCTCTTGGGTTCCTAGTGGAGCATACGGCTTCAACTGCACGTCTCCACTTGCCACTTCTGTCCTCCTTCTGCTGTACTTTTCACCTCCATCCATATGAGTTACTCCATACTGTTTCAACTCCTCTTCACACGATCTCCTCCATGTCACCCTTACACTGACGTCCCACTCGCCGCTTCCCTTTCGGTTGGGTTCCACTGGAGTGATGGCTTGACGCGCGGCCTCCTCAGAGATTGTCCAAGCCATCTTTCGTTACTTTCTCCTGCATATTTGTTGGTTGGCGATTGAGTAGTTCTTGTTTTGTTTGTTCCTTGTTGGTGATTCTTCAGTATAGAGCCAGAGAAAACAGTTGTTGGTTGATAAATGTCTGCAACTGGCTGTTGGAAATATTCTTTGTCACCCGCCCGTCAAGTTTCTGATCCGTATAGAAGAATTGACTGACTTGACGTTGTTTGTATCGAAAATCAGACTGAATTTTGTTGTTGATGCTGGCTGAGTGACGAAGATTGGTTTCCAGATTGTTTTCAGGTTGATGATGTTGATGTGTTTCTCGCCTTCCCGATTCTCATTCGATTTGACATCCTGGTCCGTTCCGACTGTTTGTAGTTGAGACGATGCTCTCTTCATAAGTGAGTGAATGAAGTGACCTCTTTCACATCCCTCCTGTTGATGGCGGTTGTCGCTGGATGTTGCAGTTGTAGTTGTTAGTTTGTTGGTTATTTTCATAACCTCCGTCTTGTCTATGTTCGGCTGGAGTCCTGTCTTCGCCTGCTGCTTCTTGGACTAGTTTGTCGGTCGGTTTTCGCTTGTAAGTCTTCGATTTTGTTACAGTGACATTAAACTTCATCATCCATCCCAGTGATAAATCCTGATAATTTTTAAAAGCCATTGAAAATTTTTCGTACACATAGTATAGTTTCTTCGAAGTAGAACATAGGGATTCACCAGGTCGTTTGCATTTAACACTCTTCTCTGAAGTCCTTTCCAGCTGAGCTCACGTCTACTCATTAGCTTTGATCTCCTAGTACGACCTTCTGCATATCTCTCTTGAAGTGATGCTCAACTCGCTGTTTCCCATTCGGGTTACATTCTTCGACTGATAGCCTGGTGTGCGATGTCCACAACAGACTCTTTAGTGCATATATTCTAACCATTTCCATCGTCTTCCACATATACGTTGAGTAATGCCTTCTTGATTGGTTTGACTACGTAATTCCGTTTTGCTCAGTTCTTTTTAGTCAACCAGCTATCTAACCTTCAATATAGAGGCAGGAACGGAGGCATCTGTTGATAGAATTCTGAATTAACCTGATCAAAATATGTTTCATGACGCGCTAGTCTAGTTTCTGACTCATTTAGAAGACGTGACTGATTTAACATTGGTACGGGAAATCTGAATTCTTTTCTCTCCTCTGAGTGGAGATGATTTCAGGATTGATTTCAGAGGGATGAAAGCCTCTCCCGTCTTTTCAATGCCATTCTTGATGAAATCGTCAAAAGAAGTGACTTCCTCCAGATTTATTCCGTTTATAGAGATTAGTGCCTGTTTTTTTCTATTGGCTGGTTGATTGGTTGGTTCGTTGTCTTCAACACCTTCCTCTTTTCAATGTTCACTTGAAGTTCTGTATTCGCTGTCGCCTCTTCTTCTACCAATTTGCTGCTTTTCACCTGTCTCTCGGTCTTCGAGTATTCGTGTCACAATAGGTATATACCGTCCACCAGAAAGTTCAGATTTTCGCGAGTTTTCTTATCGATCAGCCCAATGTATCACTATCTTCTTTCTCCTCATAGTCTAACGACGCCAGTTAGGAATCTCATCGTCGATGGTAGTCGACAGGTAGTCAGGTAGTCCTGTCTTGTCTTACTCCTGTCCCTTATTCAAAAGTTTCAGCAAGACTTCCGTTGTGAATCTCCCACCATCTGGCATTGCTACACAGCCAGCTATTGAATGGGGTGGTTAATTGAGAATGATGTGTGTGTGTGTGTGTTGATTTATAATTATAGCTTGCATATTACGACATCGACTGACAAATTCCCTCACCGAGGATATATGAGAGTATGCTACAAATGTAGTGTGAACAACACCTAGTCTCACTAATATGATGAAATGATTCTTAGCTGCTACAGGGTTTCATCATGAGCTGACAATAGTTAGGGAACATTGGAAAACCTGATAGTACTGAACAGCTGTTTTGCCCTAGTTTGGTAATCTTCACAGTACAAACCCAGTACAAGGGCTCGAACCCAGGACCTTCTGGTTACAAGGCGTACTCGTATACTATTAAGTCACTGGGACCCGATCCAATGGCCAGCCCATGAATTCTAACTTCTGCCAAATCACGGCATAGCGCGACCCCTAGCCAATGTCTCTCGTGGCGGGTATTTGTCCTCACACCCGACATACAGCACCCTACTGGTCACGCTATGCCGTTAATTGGAAGAAGTTAGGATTCGTAGGCCATTGGATCGGGTCCCAGTGGCTTAATGGTCTACGAGCACGCCTTGTAACCAGAAGATCCTGGGTTTGAACCCCTGTGGTGGGTGCGTGTCAGTGAAGAGTCCTGAACTAGGGCGAAATAGCTACCCAGTACTCCATTTAGGTTTTCCACTGGTTCTCTAACTAATGTCAGCTCATGATGAAATCCCGTAACCAATCAAATCCCTACAAACCAACACTTGGATTCTTAGCTGTATTTTTGCCATCTTCTTGAGACAACTAATCACAATTACTCTGGAGAACCAATAAAAATTGAAAATTTCATACAATTGTTCCCCTTAGTGAATTTGAACAAAGCAAGAACTACAGTTTTAGCTGAATAAAATGGTACCATCTTTTATTTCGTTGCCTTCTCGTCAGCTGCTTACATGGCAAAGACATTATTAAATATATCTACAACAACAATTTTAACATACTCGGAGTGTGAAATGCTAAAAGTTTCCATTGTGTTTGATTATTATTGTTCGGAATAGTGGTTAATATTGCATATTTATATTTGTATATATTTTTAGTGTATGAGTGTATTGATCGATTGATTTTTGTTTAAACTTAACTCTGTGCAAGTATGTTAAAATTGTTGTTGTAGATATATTTAATAATGTCTTTGCCATGTAAGCAGCTGACGAGAAGGCGACGAAATAAACAATGATGGTACCATTTTATTCAGCTAAAACTGTAGTTCTTGCTTTGTTCAAAAATTGAAAAGTAGCAATCAGCACAAAGTTTCAATTTACCTCTGTTCTATAGGTTTCTGTTCTCAATGAAAAGTGTGCTTTAGAAATCTATTCAAAAGATTGAATAAACAGAAGGCGGCGCGTTTTAAAAATTTCAGAAACTGCAGAATACATTGACATAGAACACAAGAATGAAGGATAAATACAACTAGGCTTTTTTAGCTTGTGTTCTATGCTACTGAAAAGACTTATCAGTAGTATAAGGATTCAGATATAAATATGTAGTTTATTTTCCTAATTATGCCTAAAAGTGATCACTGCAATTTATTTTTCTAATATTTTTGTCAATCTGTGTAAAAGACAATACCGACAGCTATGAAGAAACAGCGATGTTGTTTCAAGACAAATGAACCCATTATGTTCGATGTGCCTTCCTTGGCTGCATAACTATAACTGCTTTTCACTATGTGCCTCCAAATGTCCCATGTTATATAGGATTTTCTTGACACAAACCGAGTCCTGAGCTGGCTGTTAACTGATCGCATTCTCATTTCTCGAACAGAAAGCGTTATCATGCATATAAGGGCAAATCTTCCTCTGTATCGTTTACTATTGAAGCCATTGACATTCAAGGTGCTGTTCCATAGCCTCTTTTTCCTCTTTATTTCTTCTTAAATAACACACTTGTCACTTTCGGAAGATTTCAACTCCGCAAAATATGCCCATAATCTGACTGTCTCGTTGCCAGTCACTATCGGACATAAGCCAGTCGTGTAAGCTGGCTGATTTCACGATGAATCCCTGCAAATATCAGACACAGACGTGGTCTAGACGAACTTATTCGTGAGCAAGCTCCTATTAGCATAAAGGCCAATGTAATAGAAACTGAGTCAAGCAAAAAATACCCTGGAATAGTTCTATTCTCTGACCTTTCTAGGTCACCTCGTATGCAAACAGGGACTTCGGAGCATGGCTTCCTTAATGGCTTCAAAAGAAACTGAATCTCCAGAACTCATTATTGGTGAGAACTGACGACCACCTAGCTCCTCTATTGAGTAAAAATATAAACTAGAGAGGGGACATGAAATGGATGTTCACACACGTCTTTTAATAGTAATAATAATGATTTACTTTATTCCAAAAACAGTACTTGTGATACAGAATGGAATTTTCAGCATTAATCACAATATTGCATCTAATTTCCTCAAATTACAAATAAAAATTAATCACACAGAAAATTTTCCACATTTACAATACAGGTAGTGTCTAAAACATGCAGCATATAGAATGGAAATAATAATAATGATAACATCTAGGGTAATAATAATAATACAAGTGAAAATTACCGTGGGCTTTTTTCACACAGTATTGGCAATGTGGTATAGAAATCCTATCTGTAAAGCCTGTTTGAGGCGTATCCTGAAATTTGTGCAAGTCCTAGGTGGCAATTAGGAAGTCCAAACCAGCTTTATGCGTACATCAAAAACAATTCGTCATCAAGCTAAACATTTCTTGATAAATTTCTTTGTTTTTAATTGATACCAGGGCAGATGTACTATGAAAACGTGTGCCTCATCAATGTTATTCCCTGCAACATCATGAAAGATAAGCTGCTACTATTGCTGATCTCATAAATATGTACCTATGAATTATCCTGCTCCTTTGGAACTAGTAAGGTATGTTGGCCATACTCAACTTTCTCTATATAAATGTAACGTCAAACACTTATCCCAATTATTTCGCATTCGTGAAGAAAGAGTCTCCCACACCCCCTAGGAAGCTCTATCCTGGAACACCTGATCGAATCTTGGCACAAAACTGACCCACCAACTAACTTCAAAGTCATCTAGTGAATTCAGAAGGGTCTTGCTAAAAGAGTGGAAATCAAACTCCTTCAGACTGCAGGAGCAATGGTAATTCACATGTTAAATTCTGAATTCACTGAATCTACAATAGACGAGATCTGTGTCTTAACACCGGATAAGGCTGTTTTCGTCTTTTGATTTTTTTTAATTGTATTAGTTTTTTCCGTTTCTCTCCCGCCTATTGAGTTGTTACCCCCTTATGACACAACTGTTGTTTTACTGGACTGTCATCCAATTTTAGTTGACGTCTCCTCAATGCCTTCAGTTATATCACGCACATCATTCAATTTGCTTTCAATTAAGTCTATTTTTAGTTTCTGTCCGATTGACGCTTTCTACATTATGTAATTTATCTCAGCAGTTAGTTCGTTGGGATTTGATTTATTTCACGTTTGAACACTCACGGTTTGATGTCAATTAGAGAACCACTGGAGAACCAGCAGAAAGCCCAGGTGAATAACCTGCTGCTTCATCCATCACAGAGATTCGAATGCAGTAACTTCCGAATACAAGGGAGGAGGCGCTCATGGACCATTCATCAGCCATTGGGATCCAATCCAATGGTCAAGACATGAAATCTAACATCTAGCTATGTGTGATTTCAACACGACTGGTACCAAGCAGTGTCCTCACTATCAGTCTGATTCCTCAACACAAATTATTTCCAGGCAACTTCATCCTGAAGAAAGTCACTGGAGAGTGTCAGATTCATTTTCAACAAGAGTTAGTTGATATAAGTTTGAAAGAGGACTATTGAAAACCAATCCTGGCAGTACCACTGCTCTTTCGTCCCTACCTTCAGATTCATCTGCTACAGCCCTCTGGTTAACAATGGTTCTCTAACGGATATCAATTCTAATGATGCATCTTTGGAAGTTCTCGTTTAGTGGCTAAGATTTCGCCAAAAAGTTTAACTCTTCGTTGAACATCTCTTCTTTCTTTAATTTGGAATTATTGTGCTCTTGTGGTGAGAACTGGCTGTTAGTCAAAATTGGTGGACAGTAATTTACGTCAATCTTTATGTTCCCAATATTGGTTGTGAGAAAAATGAGAAGAAAGGCTTCGCGCAGGCGGATACAGTTAACATACATAGATGATCTTACATTCAAGAAACACAGAAAAAATCCCCATTTAGACATTTAGAAAACAGAAAGATTAGATCTTCATCTCTGGCTCTACTCTAATATATATAGCATTTTTATTACAATACACAACAGTTTAGTAATTATCAAGTGGAGATAGAGAAAGAAAGTAATGACAGTATCTCATTCCTAGACGTCTTCATGGAAAGGAAAGAAGATGGCACACTAAGAAGGAGTGTGTGTGTATAGGAAACCTACTACAACAGGTCAGTACACTCATTTCTTGAGTTTTGTACCTTTGAAATATAAACGCGTAACCTGGTACGGTGTCTGGTTCATAGAGCTAGGTTAATCTGTTCAGATGACCGCCTCAATGAGGAGCTTAAGATAATTAGAGAATAACTTAGAAAAAATGGTTATCCAGATAAGTTTATTGAGAAAAATATGAATTCATCACCTAGGACAGTCAATATGGCAACAGTTCCGAAAAAACCACTGTTCATAAAATTCCAGTTCCTTAGTGACAACATCAGCGAAATAATAACACAGCACCTGAAGAATGCAGTTAAAAGAGCTTATTATTATGCAGCAGAGGTACGTTGTCTCTTCACAACCACACCTATTCTACGTTCGAGGAATAAGGATAAACTACCTAAATTCGCCTCCACCTCTATGTGTATCTACCAGTTTGACTGCAGCTGAAGAGCCAGCTGCATTGGGCGTACAATTAGACAAGTTCATCGTCGTATTTCCGAATATCATCCAACATGGTTAAGCAAGGGACAAACAAGATCTATTCGTAGTTCTATTTTAGCCCACCTTGTAGATAGTGAGCATAAGGATGACGTTAATACTGCATTTGAAATTATTTATCGCATTCCTACTAATCTTAATTTTGCTTTACGAGTTCGTCTTCTACATACAACAGCTGAAGCAATAGGAATCCACCTGAAGAACAAGCTAAACCTGTGTGTGTCCAGAAGAAATTTGTACAGCCACTTTCCCTACCTTGGCCATCGTTATATGATTGTAGAAACCAGACTACTTCACCCCCCTCCTCCTAAAATATTTTTTCTTTTTAAAAACTATAAAAACTATAATTGTCCAAATTATTCTATTTTTCTGACTACTTCATCTTTAATCACGTGTTATCCTTTTAAAAATTATTGTATTCAAGTGATGGTTTGTAGGGATTTGATTGGTTTCAGGATTTCATCACGGGCTAACATTAGTTAGAGAACCATTGGAAAACCTGGGAGTACTGGACAGCTGTTTCAGGTAGGTAGTTACCTGAGTTGCAGTGGGAAGTCGTGACCAGTAGGGTGCAGCCGGTCGCGTGTGAGGACAAATACTCGCCACGGAAGACATTGGGTAGCGGCTGCACTATGTCGCTAATTGGCAGAAGTTAGAATTCAAGGACCATTGGATCGGGTCCCAGTGGCTTTATGGTATACAAGCTCGCCTTGTAACCGGAAGGTCCTGGGTTCGAATTCCGGTGGGTGAGTACTGCTGAAGAATCCCAAACTAGGACGAAACAGCTGTCCAGTACACCCAGGTTTTCCAATGGTTCTCTAACTAATGTCAGCTCGTGATGAAATAATTTTATTCTTATGACCACGTCAACTTTAGTTATAAATTATCATTGTGCAAATTGTTTTTATTTTCTCTAACAATCTGTTACCTAATAAACCTGTGCACACGCTTATTCTTTAATTGCTCTTCAATTTTTCCAAAATTATGCATTATGCAATCCACTTGTTGTAACCATATCAAACGGGCAATGAGGAAACAGACATAAAATGAACTCACAAAAAACTTCGCCGATGATAAATGTCTGAATTCCCAAAAACTGGAAAATATGCAGATGAAAAGCAACAAGTTGTCAGAGGAAGCATCTAGAGAAGGTAGGAATTCAAGTGAACATAGAGAAAACAGGCGTAAGTGATGGAGATTCCTGGCCAACACCACCAACAACAACAGACAACAATCAGCCAGCATGAATGGGAGGAACCTGAAAGAAACAACTTCTTCACTTACCAACCTACCTGGGAAGCATCGTTTCAACTACAGGCGGAAGAGACTAACGAAGATATCGAGGCAAGGATAGGGAAAGCAAAGCAAGCTTTCGTTTTTCTCAAGTCTGTGTGGAGATCTCTAGCGCTACTCAGCATGAGAAATAAGATCCGGATTTACAACTCCAGTGTGAAGTCAGTGCTACTTGCTATATGGATCAGAGACTTGCCCAGCGCGTCATGAAGAGCATCTCAAACAAACTACAGACCTTCATCAACAGCCGTCTTCGCTCAGTACTACTCAAAATCAGATGGCCAACCAGGAAGGATCAGCAACAGGGATCTCTGGCAATGAGCGAACCAACCCAGCAGGAACCGATTGTAAAACAAATAAGCAGGAAGAAATGGAGGTGGATTGGATTGACCACACTCTGAGGAAACTATCAAGTGACATCACTAGACAAGCGATCGCTCGAATGGAACCCGAAAGGGAAGCGGGTGGCGAGTTGGTCGTCAGTGCAAGGGTGACCTGAAGGAGGAAGAGGTCACGTGGAGAGGAGACGAAGGCATCTGGGCAGACTTGAAGTAAGTTGAAAACGTTAGGGGGAACCGAATACGATGGAGACTTGGGCGGCTGAAGCCCTATGTTCCTCTTGGAATTAAAGGATATAATAATAATAATAATGCTTCTACTTAATCGTTAGATGTATTCTGAAGACTCAACTTACTTCAATAACAGGTGGGTATTTTCCATAAATATTTAAAGAAAACAATGGGCTACCTCCACTTGTGCTTATTAATGGTAGATATAAGTCTAATAGACTCAGTTTTTTGCCACCATCCGAAGATACGCTCACAGTTTGACGTGTAGATGGTAATAATTCCCAGTGACCATAGGTTTTTGCAATTATTTGGCGTACTTGGCTTCTAAACTCTTCAGGAAGTATATTGTTTCGTTCGACACAAGATTTGTAAAATTTACGGACATCGCTTAAGTGAATATCGTTCGTCGCGTATGATGAATTCGCTGTGAAATAGAATATAAAAAACACTAGTGCATATATAGGTATAGTTAAACAATGGGAACATGTGGCATTAATTCTAAAGGTATTATTGTAAAACAGATGTATTTTCTCTTGTCATTGCTTGTCAAAGTGGTGGGTGAAGACTTTGAAACTATGTATAATTCTAATTGCGGAAAACACTGGTGCCTTAAACTGACATCGATTGGTGAAGGTGTATTTTCGCTGCAAATATCTTCTCAAACAATTTTGGGCATACAGTTAGGTAATTCAGTTGTGATTCTCTCGGTAGACTGATTGTCAGCTTGAATCCTCACACGTCGTCATCAAAGCCTCTGAAAAAGTAGACGATATGTCAACCTAAGACGGGACACTTCTGTCCAATCAAACAACGGGAAAGTTCAAACTGAATTACCTACAACTGCAACCTGTTACAAAAGAGGTGATGGCTTTCGTGGCTGAAGTGGTCCAGTGGACAACATGCTTTGGAGTTTGAAACTATAGGTACACTGGGTTCCAGCCTCAGTGAGTGGAAGGACGCAATCACTGGCTCACTGACTGGGGAATTCAGGTATATCCTCTAGCTGACACAATTCCCAAATAAAGGATGAAATGCACACGCATTCTGGTGAATTCGATTGCAGACAATCACCATCACTAAATTTGCTATTCATTTTGTTTCCTTTAGTTCTTAGAGGAACATAGGGCTTCAGCCGCCCAAGTCTCCATCGTATTCGGTTCCCCCTAACGTTTTCAACTTACTTCAAGTCTGCCCAGATGCCTTCGTCTCCTCTCCACGTGACCTCTTCCTCCTTCAGGTCACCCTTGCACTGACGACCAACTCGCCACCCGCTTCCCTTTCGGGTTCCATTCGAGCGATCGCTTGTCTAGTGATGTCACTTGATAGTTTCCTCAGAGTGTGGTCAATCCAATCCACCTCCATTTCTTCCTGCTTATTTGTTTTACAATCGGTTCCTGCTGGGTTGGTTCGCTCATTGCCAGAGATCCCTGTTGCTGATCCTTCCTGGTTGGCCATCTGATTTTGAGTAGTACTGAGCGAAGACGGCTGTTGATGAAGGTCTGTAGTTTGTTTGAGATGCTCTTCATGACGCGCTGGGCAAGTCTCTGATCCATATAGCAAGTAGCACTGACTTCACACTGGAGTTGTAAATCCGGATCTTATTTCTCATGCTGAGTAGCGCTAGAGATCTCCACACAGACTTGAGAAAAACGAAAGCTTGCTTTGCTTTCCCTATCCTTGCCTCGATATCTTCGTTAGTCTCTTCCGCCTGTAGTTGAAACGATGCTTCCCAGGTAGGTTGGTAGGTGAAGAAGTTGTTTCTTTCAGGTTCCTCCCATTCATGCTGGCTGATTGTTGTCTGTTGTTGTTGGTGGTGTTGGCCAGGAATCTCCATCACTTACGCCTGTTTTCTCTATGTTCACTTGAATTCCTACCTTCTCTAGATGCTTCCTCTGACAACTTGTTGCTTTTCATCTGCATATTTTCCAGTTTTTGGGAATTCAGACATTTATCATTGGCGATGTCCAGATTGTCCAAGTTTGTCATCAAGGTCCATTTTGTGCCTGTTTCCTCACTGCCCGACCCGCTGTATGTGGCACTATCCAGTCTACCGCAATCAGGAAAATCATTGAATATAGTAGGCAGCCAGCCAGCTTGTCTTACTCCCTTCTTCACTTCGAAGGATTCTGTTAGTTTCCTATTGTGGAATACTTGGCATGCAACATTGTCGTTCAACTGTTGGATGAGCTGTGTATAATTGTTGGTTTCACCCCGTAGTAGTAGTGGCGAAGCAGTTTCCAAATCCCCTCTTGATCGACGCTGCCTATGGAAGGCCATTGCAAAGTCAATGAAGTTGTGGTAGAGAGCTGACTGCCACTTCAAGCTCTATTCAATGACGATACGTAGTGTTGCGATTTGACCCATTCATAACTTGTTTCTTCTGAATCCCGCCTGCTCTGGGAGGAAGTTGTTACGTATATATGTAGGTGACAGAGGAGCGACTTTTCGGGTTGCTCCCTTTAGAATCAGGAAAATAAAATATAAAGCAATAAAACATCGTTGGCACAAAGGTAGAGTGCTCGCCGACCACTCAGGTGGTCAACGGTTCGATCTCCAGCCATAGAAGCACTCCTTTACCTCGCTAAGCCAGTAGTAGGACTGATAAAGAGGAAAGGTTGGGCGTTAGGCTAGCAATCCCATCCTGTAAAAATAAAGACTGCTACAGAAACTTCAAGCCGCTAGATTGAGGCCCTCTGTTCCACTGGGGAACGTGAAGGAAAAATCAAAAAAGATGACCGACATAGAATCTGAGCAAATGTTCATTCCTACATAACCTCGAATTGACTGACTCATCACTTTGTGTCACAAAAACTCTACATTCATTACCTCCATCAGTTTTTCATCACATTTTGTTCTTGATTAAAGATTTTAGATCGGATTAACCATCCTAGTCAATCACTCTTCGTTCAGTGCATGCTATGGCGGGTGCGTATTACTGAAGAGTAGCAAACTAGGACGAAATGGCTATCTAGTACTCCCTGTTGGTTTTCCATTACTTCTCTAACCAATGTAAACTTGTGATTAAACCTCGAACTACCAATTGAATCCCCCTTGCAAACCAACACTTGAGAGAAATAACTACTTCGCATAGTTCAACGAAAACTCCGACTAGGTATTGTCCGCAATTTTTAGTGCTGATGTCAAGTTTGGTGCCTCTGTATACTTCAAAGACTTAGTGTATACGTCATTAGAAGCATTTACAAGCTAACTTTACTGGCTGGGTTAGGATCAGAATGAATCATTAGGCAACGTATCGTCAGACAAACATTCATAGGGAAATGAGGGCGAATTGAACATATAGTGAAGAGACTGTTCACAGTTCAGGCAATCATTCAAGTGGGATCCGAACAGGAAATGACAAACTGGTTGTAAGCTAGAGGATGATATAGAAGAAATCATTTCAGGATCGGAGGGGGAGGGGAAAAGGTTGACGGCCTACATTCCACTTGAAATCAAAGGGAACAAAATTATGTACATCTACTACATTCATGCCACTCACAGAATATTCTCCAAATGTATTTTTTAATTTCCTTGTCTAAGTTTGAAAACGTGTTTATTTTAAGCATGTCTTCCGGTATAGGATTATCGTTTTCCCATTTATCACAAGCATAACGATAAAAGTCATCACAAGGAGTAGCAGGAGGTAAGGTGTTTGCGCCAGTCGTTCTATTGGCATTTGCTTTGATGGTTTCTTCAGCTGAAATGAAAAAAATTCCAACCGATTACAGTTTATCTATGTGAAACTGTTAAATTTATTAGTTAATTACAAATCGAGAAGAGGTGTAAATACTTCGTCATCAGAAGTCATCCATTGATCCAACACTGACCGGTACCATGCATCCAGTCCTTCGTTTATTTGGAGTAAATTAAATTCTATCGGTCGAATTTGTAATGTGGCTACCATGTTAAATGGTTTGGCATCAAATATGCACTCGTAAATTTTTGTTATTAGGTGGCTGAAAGTAATCGCCAAAAGAGGACACCTTGAACCATTTAGGTTTCAGTCTTGTTGGGGACAGTCACTCATCGGTCAACAAGACGGGTATCTGCAATCTTGTCGGCACTCATTTCCCTTGTCTAAAATTTGAATCCACGTGATGCAGTGTTACAGTAAGAGATGTAAACTCTGAGTTCTTCTGGCTCGTGATTGACCTCCTTCCTGTAGGATGACAGTATTAGATATTTTGATTGGAAACCAGGTAGGTAGTAGGTGACTAGAGTCATACGTCCTGTCGTTTCTTACTTCAAGGTTGCAGATACATGCCTTCCTAATATATGTGTAAAACTTAGGCAATGTTGTGGTAAGTAATTCCATATTAGTTTGTTTATTACATGTATCCCCGGTTGTACCAGATATATTCATAGATAGGTGGGAAAACATAGCGATTGAAACGTTCAACCCCACCCACCCCAAACGTATGATGAAGGTGTGTAGATGACACATTCACTGTACATAAAAAACAAGATATACATAGATTTTTCGAGCACATCAACTCGAAGGTGGTAGAGGCAATTCAATTCACTTATGAATTGGAAAGTCAGGAAGGAGAACTTCCAATGTTGGACTGTAGCGTAAAAAGGAAAGAAGATGGGAAGTTAAACACACACTAGTGTGTGTTTACAGGAAACCCACACATTCAAAACAGATATTTGGACTTCCGATCATCCCATCCCATATCAGTCAAAATAGGATTGGTGAAATGTTTAAATGACAGAGCACAAAATCTAAGTAGTACCAAGGAAAATCTAAGACAGGAAGTGATACACATAAAAGAAGCCTTGAAACTTAATAATTACCCTGATTAATAAGTCGGGAAGTATGTGAGGAAATGTACAGATAAAATAAATAATGATAGTAGCGATAGTGACAAAAATAATAATAATGACGACACAAAGACTAAGGAGTCTAAATCATCAATAGTAATTCCACACAAGGAAGGAACCTCGGAAACCACCTTACGTAGAATTCTTAACAAGGCAGGAATAAAAGTGGCTGGCATTCAAACCAACCACAAACTCAATCAGAAACAAGTTTTGTTGGTTAAAGGATCAATCCTGTGGAGCCTTTAAAACAAAACAATTCAGTTTATCTAGTACCCTGCCGGAATGATGATCAGGTCGAATTCATAAGTCATACCAGTAGAACAGGGGAAGTCAGATTAGCTGAACATAAAAACCCAGCACGGAATCTAGATTGGTTGACCCGAATAAGATAAGAAATCTAGAGAATAGTTGAGCTACACCACTCACTACATGCAGTTACACACGACCATACAGTAGGCTGGATGGAATAGGATGACAGTTTTAAAATCTAATGTCACAGTGTGGAGGGAGAGATTAATAACATAAGCTTTGTTTATCGAATCAGCTGACAGGGAATACATGTGATAGGAATAATTCAACACTTGTCCAGCCAGACATCTGGAAAATTCTACTACCCCTACGACGACAAATAGGAGAGGACAATGAAAACTATAAAACTGAAGTTTCGAAGTCGTGTGATTACAATTGATGATATGATTATCAACAGCAATAAATTTTGTTCGAAACTGTGTCATCCAATAAATAATATAGTTTCATTCACTGTGCGATATATATCTAATAAACTAACTGATATGGAATTACATGCCTCGCTACCTGGCCGTCAGTGCTAGATGATTCAAAGCTTCCGCCTGGAGGTTGCCTCTAAGCACCTAATAATGAACTGACTTCATTCAGAGAACCGCAGGAAATTAAGAAGTACTCGACATCTATTTCTCACTAGTCTGTAATTCTCCAAACGCACACACCACACACGCACATATGATCTCACTGATAGGGATTGAATCTAGGGCCATTTCATCACAAGTCTAGTTCGTTCACCATCAAACCACTTTGATGGGGTGAACGAATTCTAACTTCACTGCAAGCTGATGATTTATGCAGTGAAAATTTGTTTGGTTAAACGCCATAGAGTAAATATTCTCCGCATGAAATAATTCTGGGGATAGATAAATGAAATTACATTTCATACATGAGGTATTTTTAACACTTCCAAAAATTTTCGTTTTAATGAAACCACAGTGGTTTTTACTTATCATGAAATTGACGAAGTAGCCATCTTACTCCGAAACATTCTTTAGTTTAACGGAGCATTGATGTGATGAAAAATTCAGCTCAGTTTGAAATTAACACATAGGTTGCATTACAAAGATATAACATTAGGTGAATATAGAGAGGACAGAAGTGATAGAAATAACCAACCGAACAACCGACCAACCGACTGACTGATAAAAACAACAAACACAACCAAATGCCGAAGAAAAAATGTTGGAAGAGGTCAATTCATTCACTCATATAGACATCGCCACTTCAGAGAAAGGCAGTCAGCAGAGACAAATATGACAAGGGGATTAACACAAAGATATAAAAATAGATAGATAGATAGATAGATAGATAGATAGATAGATAGATAGATAGATAGATAGATAGATAGATAGATAGATAGATAGATAGATAGATAGATAGATAGATAGATAGATAGATAGATAGATAGATAGATAGATAGATAGATAGATAGATAGATAGATAGATAGATAGATAGATAGATAGATAGATAGATAGATAGATAGATAGATAGATAGATAGATAGATAGATAGATAGATAGATAGATAGATAGATAGATAGATAGATAGATAGATAGATAGATAGATAGATAGATAGATAGATAGATAGATAGATAGATAGATAGATAGATAGATAGATAGATAGATAGATAGATAGATAGATAGATAGATAGATAGATAGATAGATAGATAGATAGATAGATAGATAGATAGATAGATAGATAGATAGATAGATAGATAGATAGATAGATAGATAGATAGATAGATAGATAGATAGATAGATAGATAGATAGATAGATAGATAGATAGATAGATAGATAGATAGATAGATAGATAGATAGATAGATAGATAGATAGATAGATAGATAGATAGATAGATAGATAGATAGATAGATAGATAGATAGATAGATAGATAGATAGATAGATAGATAGATAGATAGATAGATAGATAGATAGATAGATAGATAGATAGATAGATAGATAGATAGATAGATAGATAGATAGATAGATAGATAGATAGATAGATAGATAGATAGATAGATAGATAGATAGATAGATAGATAGATAGATAGATAGATAGATAGATAGATAGATAGATAGATAGATAGATAGATAGATAGATAGATAGATAGATAGATAGATAGATAGATAGCCTTTGAAATTTCTCTGTCCTAATCAATTTTTAATAATGATATTTTTCTCTTATCTTTAATGCCAATTTTATACGAAAGCTTAAACTTAATTAACTTTTGATGTATTGTCTTCATATGTTCTTTATATTTTGGAAATTCTTTTTGAAGTCTTATTAACTCTGGTCGCCTACACGCACACACAAATACAACACACGTTTTACACAAGCAAAAGAAAACGCTCCATTGTGATACAGACAATATGAGCTGTCGGTCATTAGATAATTAGGGACAGCACATATATATATATATATATATATATATATATATATATATATATATATACTGTTTTCAAATATAGTATACTTAATAATTTGTCTGATTATCAAATGTTCTTGTACGTGGATGGATTTGATTGGTGGTTACAGATTTGATGACGAGTTTAGATCAGTAAGATAGCTATTGTTGGAAAGCCACCAGAGAGTACTGGACATCTGCTGTTTCATCAGCCTAGTATGGGTCTTCTGAGCAGTACGCACCGACCACAACGGTTCGAAACCATGTCCTTCTGGTTACTAAAAGGCGAGCTCGTAGACCATTCATTCAGCCAATGGGACCCAATCCAACGGCCAGCCCATCAGTTCCAACTTCTGTCACTTCATGATATATATATATATATTCTTGTTGGTTTTCTTTTTCTTCCTTCACGTTCCCCAGTGGAACATAGGGCTTCAATCTAGTAACTTGAAGTTTCTGTCGGAGTGTTAATTTCTTACAGGATGGGGTTGCTAGTCTCATGTCCAACTTTTCCGCTTTACCAGTCTCATTACTGGCTTAGCGAGGTAAAGGAGTGCGTCGGCCGGAGATTGAATCCCGGACCGTGTGGATGGTCGGCGAACGTCCTAACCGCTATGCCACCGACACCTGTTGGTTTTCTAGTATTAATTATCTAACTGATGTAAACTCGTCATCAAGTCTTGCAATTCGTCTAATGTTTAGAAAATTCATTTAAAGGGAAGGTTGAAAACACGTGTATTCTAAATGAGATTCATTATTGATTATGTGTGACTAAAATACTCGGTCCCTGTGTCGACAAAGCAACTCCTCGTATGAAGGCTTCAACGATATTTTGCGATTAGTGTGTGATTATTTTGGCTGACAGTATGTGGAATCCACCAGGATGAGGATGTCACCCACCTGACTGGGACTTGTCTGCTGGATGTACCTGTATTTTTCTCACTGAGATGAAAGGGCATTATGTATCAGCCAGGCCACAAAAGTCTAGTTGTTTTGTGGTAAAGTTTACTGGCGATTGATTCATCAAAACATTATTTAGTCATTATTTATACAGAAAACAGACAGGAACAAGTTAGGTTCAGGAAAATGTGAATCATGTGAAGAATGGCAGCTAAATCTCTACCTCAAATTGACTGACTCTGAAAAAAGTTTCTGACAGAGATAACTGCAATACAATTCGGAAACTATTTGAACAATTATGGAGCGCTATAAATTCATAACCAACTCATCCAACAGCCTAGTGCTAATTGACAATGTCATATGTCAAAGGATCCACGACGGAAAGCTCAACGAAGAAACCTTTGAAGTGAAGATAGGAATAAGTCAAGGACGCTGTCTATTATCACCCACGAGGGTATTCCCAGTTGCAATATATTGAATTATGTGGAAGACTATGCTTGAGAGTGACAAGACACGAATGCGCTGACTTGATATATAGAAAGACCCTGAAAAATCTGAACTTTGCGGACAATAGATAACTCAATCTATTAGATTCACAGGTGGAAACCAACAAACCGACAGAAGAAGCAGCAGCCAACGAACACAGGAATTCAAGTAAAAATATTGAAGACGGAAGTGATGAAGATAACCACTTTCAGAGAAAGAAATCTCAATGAGGTCGCTTCCTTCACATCTCTAGGCAGTATCGCTTCAAACAGGATTAAGGGTCCGTAGATGTAGATGTCAAACCCAATGAAAATCAGTTCTTCTGTATGGGTCAGAAACATGGCATTTGCGTCACAAAACTCATTACAAACACGTCACTGAAGACTTCCACCTACAAATGACATCTTTACTGGCTCTAAACTGAAGATCAGATGCTTTGGCCGATCTACCAGAAGAAAACTATCAACAGGAAACTATTCAAATATACTGATAATCAAGAACCTAAGATTGTTCAAGAAATCTTTTGAATAAAATGGAGTTGAATAGAGCACAGGATTAAGGGTCTGTAGAGTGACATCCAATCTCATGCTTTCGAGTGGAATCCGGGAGCAGGAAATGACCATTTGTGTGTTTGTTTGTGGGTGTTGTCTAGCAGATCATGTGAAGAAGAGAAGTACATATTTTAGGTAATCTTGAGACCAGATGACAAGGAATGCAGAGAAGGCAGCGAAATGGAAATGTACTGTCGAAGATGTATGTTCCACTCAGAAACCGAGGGAATAATGATAATAATAGCAGTAAGAACATTCATCATTCACAGGTCTGCATATCTAACGATAAAAAGTACTACATGGTACCAGTTATACCTTAGCCCGTATTTATTTATGTTTCGTTACAAAAAGAATCTCATGAAACATCACTCCTATTTCAGAATATGATATGTAAATTGATAATCAATAGATCACAAGTATTTGATTGGTGGATAGTGACTAGCATTTGAATCCAGGATGCGTATTTCGTCCTATTTAGGACTCGTCATCTGGATGTATATAAAAAATCAACACACACAGATCAAATACTCAACTATACTAGCAACAATCCAATTACTCACAAGAGGAACTGTGTACAGACATTGTTTAAATGAATTCACACACACACACACTGGCACTCCAGAGTTGAAAAGAATGGAAGAAAAATACCTACTAACCGTCTCTTTAAAAAGAATGGTTATGCACAAAATTTCATCAAAAAGTGTTTAAAATCTAATCACAACACCAACAAGGAACCATCATCAAAGATCACAAGAAATTTCATCCTACCATACATGAGAAATATCTCTGAAATAACAACAGCTAGAATACTGAAACCGTTTGAAATAGATATAGCACACAAGCAGGTCAAATCGCTTAATTCAATCCAACAGAAAAAGAAGATAGGATTAATACCATTTACAAAATAAATTGCATGTATGAACTGTAACAGGCATTACATCAGCCAAAGTGAGCGTCCCCCTCGAATTAGAATCCAAGAACACTAATCAGCCGTGAAAGCACACGGTATATATGTATATATATTCTAGTTTTGTGCGTCGGTGGCACAGTGGTTAGGACTCTCGCCGACCATCCACATGGTCCGGGGTTCGAGCCCACGCCGGCGCACACCTGATATCTATGGTCGGCCTACAAAATTTGGGCTACCTATATCCACGCTGAAAATTCCATACTTGTACCAAAAATACAGTGTGGAATCAAGCTGTAATCAAAAATATAAAAAAAATAAAAATAAAAAATATCAATGCATATAGACATTATGAACATCAGTTTGATTGGGATAATGTCGAAATCTTAGAGAGAGGAAACACCAAAAGTGTAGTCAGGGAATTCCTAGAAGCCTGGTACTCAAATGTATATGCTATTAACAAACATGTTAATATAGACCAAATCTACCAACTAATAATAAAAAGTATATCATGTGACCAGAAAGTTTAAAATCCAAGTCAATAGAAAATGATCAATACACATATGTAAAGATGGTTACCGGGAGACGGAATTCTATCACTCATGAAGAAATTTAAATCATTTCACTTGATGCTAAATATTGCTCTGAAAGGGGATGTTGTCCAGAAGGGCGACGAAAGCTCGGAAACTAAACCAACCAGCTCAGAGAACACTAATAATTGCAGATCACCCTTTATTGGTCATACACTGGAAATAGACCACTCAGAATATGTCTACATAAAATTATCAACTCCCACCATGGTGATATTTTAAATCATTCGTTATTATTATAATTCTTATTGTATAGAATATACTAGTTTAGCTGACATTGAAATATATACATTTTGGGTGACGTCCTTGTGTGTCGTCGGCTAAATCTTACGGGCTGGGGAACAACAGGTAGATGTCGTATAGTGTTGTTAATGGCGTAGTCTAGAAGTATTCATGAAAAAATTTTACAGAAGAGAATAACAGGATTGTTTAACTCACTTGATGCAATTGCTTTCAATGTAGTCTCTGTAGCATTGTCCACTGAAAGTTCAGTATGATGGGATTTGAATTTCACTGTAATACAAAATATAGCAATTATGAAATTTTTAGAGGCATTTATGAAAATTTGATTCCTTTTGAATTGTGTACAATGTGTTGAGTGGAGTTTGCAAACACCAGCAGGATGTCAAGCAGTGAAACGCAATATTAGAAAATGGTGTGAAATGTTTCCATGAACTTGGCTAATTATCATTATCGCCATCCTCTTGAGTTCCGAGTGGAACGTGGAGCATTAGTCTTACATCTGTATTTCACTCTGCTATCTGTAATCTTTTGATTAGCTGGTTTTACGAATGCTCAACAACCTTTCATCTCTTCTTCACACAATCTCCTCAATGTCATCATTGATTCGATACCCAATATGTCGTTTCTGATTCACACTTCCAATTCACCTTCTCTTTATTCTCTGTGTGGATGCGTATTTGTTGTTTGGGCGGTGTGTCCTATTTTGATTCTCTGGCAGAGTTATTCTTGGTGCCAACCACTCATCTGATCTTCAGTCAGGAGCCAGGAAAGAAGGCAGCTGTTGATGAAAGTATTCAGCATACAGTACAGCTGGCTGACTGGCCGTTTTGAATCACACCTTTTACTCAAGTCTGTGACAGGCGATGTTACTTGACGATTCCATCAACTTGTGTCCATTCCGAGTTCACTCTCTTCTCTCCCTCTCTCTGTGTATTTGTTGTTTGGGCAGTGTGTCCTATGTTGATTCACTGGCAGAGTTCCTCTTGGTGTCTCTTCTTTATGGTGCCGACCGCTCATTTGATCTTCAGTATGGAGTCAGGAATGAAGGCAGCCGTTGATGGAAGTAGATATGATAAAGAAGATTTGTAGCTCAGATGGATGATTTTGATGTGGTTGTGTTCTCTGAACTGGATAGTTGATTTTCGAAGCTTTCGTCGCCCTACTAGGCGACATCCTCAGCACATACTTCAATTCATTGAAATGAGCTTTTAGATTTCTCTACGAGTTTGCTAGTCGCCTCTCCTGGTGGGTGATGTTGGACGTGATTGGTTGTTTTTGTGTGTTTTCACACCTTCTAGACAGCCACTTGTATTGGAACTAATTGTTTCTTTGACTTGAACTTTGACCCTTTGTGTGTGTGTGAGGTTTCTTTCCTATCGGTTGATAAATTTTGTCTATCTCGATATGTATATTGATTGACAATTCACTGGAATACCAGGCAGGCTTATAAAAACTCTCTAGCATTCTTGGTGTTTCCTCTGTCTAATATTTAAACGCTGGTTGTCCCAGTCGAATTGATGTCCGAGGTTGTCTGTATGTAGTGATATTAGGAAGTGGATATCATGTCTTTTGACGGCTAGTTTATGTTCGTGGATATGAAGACTAAGGGGACGTCCACTTTGGCCAATGTAGTGTTTTTCGCAGTTGTTACAATTTATTTTGTAGATGATGTTGATTTTATTTTCTTCCGCTGTTGAGTCTTTTGGTTGACATAGAGTGAAGTGACTTTGTTGGTTTGTGTACGACATCAATTCCTAAAGGTTTGAAGAGTCTTGTAGTGATTTCTGAGACATCCTTTATATATGGTAAGGCGATTTTCTTTGTGTTTTCTTTGGGGGCTTTTGGTTTGATAGGTTGGCTTGGGGGTATACGTCTTTTGATGAAATTCCGTGGGTGTCCCTTTTTTTGGGAGACGTCCATGAGATATTTTTCTTTAATTTTCCTTAAGGTGGGAGTGCTGCAATGGGTCCTTGCCCTCTTGAATAGTGTTTGTATACAATCCCTTTTGTGTGTTATTAGATTGTTGCTGTTGTAATTCAGGATTTGGTCTGTGTGAGTTGATTTTGCTATAAACTTAAGTTTCTAATTCCCCTGTGTTTGTTCGCTTGACTAAGACATCCAAAAATGGTATTTGGTTCTCGGATTCCTCTTCTCTTGTGAATTTGATGTCGTTGAAGACGCTATTTATCAAATTGTGAGTTTTATCTAACTCATTTCTTTTGATTATTACAAATGTGTCGTCGACGTAGCGTATCCAAATCTTAGGTTTGATCTTTGGTATAATTATGTTTTCGAGCCTTTGCATCACTGCTTCTGCAATCAAACCTGATATCGGTGATCCCATGGGTGTTCGTTTGACTTGTTCATATGTTTGACTGCTGTTAGACATAGGTTTATGCATTCCATCCAGCTTATGTGTTGCATTTTTGATTGTTGTGCAAGGTGTTCGTCGTCACTTAGTAACTACCCCATGGTTTCTTTTGCTGAAAGCATTCAGCGGACGGTATTTGCAATGACTAAATCCTCATGGTAACTTATTGAAGATGCTTAAGAGAAATTTACAAATGACTGATTGATGAACGTAGAATATTCTCTTCCGATAACTCCTTCTTCATCAGGTTTCACATTTATATGCTGTTTTTAATCACATTGAATGAATTAAAACGACACTAAACTGCATATATCAGATAAACTAAGGGAAGTAACACAGAGAATTTATGAACTTATAGGTGTGAAGGCAGACCAGAGCCACAATACAGGCTGACCGCATCTGTTGTTCATTGCACACACACACACATACACAGAACTCTATTCGACTGAGGTGAACTGCGCTATATTCTATGTTGTTTGCAGAGTTCGATGTTTAAAGCCCCCATTGGAAATTCATTGGACAGCTAATAGATGAAAAAGAGAAGGATTCTTTAATGCTGACCAGTTTTATGACCTGTTTGGACGAAGTGATCACATACAGAACTATTGGTGATTTCAACAAAACCTTCATTTAACCACACTGGTTGATGTGTTGCCCAACACGAAAAATTGACTTCCTAGAGCAACGGTTCATATATCAGGCTCTACAGAAGCGGCTAAATCGATAAATATAATTAGAGATTTAAGAATGTTGAAAATACTCCTCTTAATACATTTAATCCCACTCCAAAGATATGATGAGGATTTGTGGATGAAACCGTCAGTTTGTTAAAAGCAGAACATATCTCTTCTTTCTTCACACACAAATAAGCTCATTAGTAAGTGGGAATAAATTTCATATTTAAATCAGAAAATAAACAAGGAAAGTTAACTATGATGATAGATAGTCATATAGAATAGACACACTAGCGTTTATAAAAAGACAACGTATTCTAATATTGGATATTTAGACTTTAATTCATCTCATCCTTTATCTGTATGTGAAGGCAGGCTTAGTTAAGCTTCAAACAAACCGAGCAATAACAACACTAAGTAGTACACCAAAAAACCGAAATGATGAAATAAAACAGATAGAAGAAGCGTTGGTGTTGAACAACTATCCTATACAATTTATTGGGAAAATCAGAAAAGGCCAGAAGCAAAATAAAAATAATTGTAAAACTAGTAATGATAACGTAAGTGAGAATGTAAGGCGTCTACAGTTTTACCATATAAGCAGGGGATATCTGAGACCCTACATGGTAGGATTCCTAATAAAGCAGGGATTAGGGTGTCATTTAAAGCTACAAACTCACTCATGGACAAGCTCTGTAGCTTAAAAGACCCTGTTGAACCAATTAGACAAAATAATATAATTTACAAAATACCCTGCAATGACTGTGAGATCAACTATATAGGTCAAACTAGCAGATCAAGGGCAGTCAGATTATCAGAACATAAGAATTTAGCTAAGGTAAGAATGGTTGACCCAGAGAAGATAAATAATTTAGAAAAAAGCTCAGCAATTGCATTGTACTGCATGCATTGACACACAACCACACAATAGGGTACGAGGGAGAGGGTTAAAATTCTAAAAAAGTAATTTAGGTAGATGAAGACCGTGAGAGGTTGATTACTGAATCCTTGTTCATCCAGTCTACACCCAGTACGTACAATACAATTGAGTCATCACGCATACCAAAAGTATGCAAAATATGGCTACCAATCATCAAACCAAGAGATGAGAAATATTGGAACCATATGAAAGAAGTTGGAAAGTTATGTGAGTAGTGTTTTGATAAGATTATTAAGCAGTAATAAATTGTGCTCGAAACATGGTCGTCAGTAAATACTACTATATAACACTGTGAGAATTAATCATAATAAGTTTTATCTACACTTAGAGGTGGCTATGTGGTCAAGTTACTTCATCTTTCAGTTTAGGAATCCCCTCCGGAGCCAGCGATTTTGTATGTGCGTCGGTGGCACAGTGGTTAGGACTATCGCCGACCAAGCATATGGTCTGGGGTTCGAGCCCGCACCGACGCACATATGATACAATGGTCGGCCTGCGAAATTTGGGCTACCGATATCCATGCTGAAAATTCCATACTTGTATCAAAAATACAGTGTGGAATCAAGCTGTAATCATAAAAACCGGATATGTGAAAAATATAAGCTCCCGTTCAAAGACATTCAGCCTTATTTGAATCGATTTTCTCAACTTTTTGGTAATTATTTCACTTGGTATACCATTAAATTTGAACTCTAATCGCAGACATAAACAGGCAACTGGTTTCCCTGAATTACAGTATATCATTTTAGCAATCAGTGACCAGTAATAATCACCGGTCTTACGGCTCTAGACCAAATCACTTCCTCCGATTGATTGCCTTTTACAAGGAAATGTAATTCTCAGAAAATGTGTCATGTATAGATGAGTACAATGCATTCAAACAGACTCATCACACACACACACACACAAACACATACAGATGATAAACACATGTGAAATCGTTGGTAGCGAAGTTCATAACTGAGAAATCAACATCATAATTGTAAAGAAGTTAGTATATAAATAATCTTCAATTTAAGGAGTGTACTACTTATTTTAATTTTTTCTATTTTATTTTCGATTACAGATTGATTCCACACAGTAGTTTTGGTACAAATATGGTATTTTCAGCATGGATATCGGTAGCTCAAAGTTTGTAGGCCGACCATAGATATCAGGTGTGTGTCGGCACAGGGTCGAACCTCGAAACTAGAATTCTTTGAATATAAAACAGGGGTTTAAATTTTACTCAGTTAATATTTCAGATAAGCTATGTCTCCATGTCTGCTTTTTAGTTAAAATTTTGCCAAGAAAGTTCACTACATTGAGATTCTTTGTAAAAAGACTTGCTAGTCATATTATGGAAAGTTAAATTAAAGGAAACGATGGGTATCTTGGTAGAAGCGTACGTAGAAGAAGTACATTCACAAGGAAATACACGCAGTTCCTCAGTTACGTGTCAATTAAATATAAAAGAAAGAAAATGTTGTTAGATGTCTCACGACTACAGTAAGAAAGATAGTTTACAGATGAACATTTACAAAAGGAATTTGATGAGTATATATATATATATATATATTGATAATTCCTTGACGCAGTTATACGACAATGCTGCATGCCAAGTAATTCACAACTGGAAACTTACGGAAGCCTTCGAAGTGAGGACGGGAGTGAGGCAAGGCTGTCTATTATCGCCAATGATCTTCCTAATTGCAGTAGATTGGATAATGAGACAGACACACAGCAGGCAACGAGGAAACAAGCATAAAATGGATTCACACAAAAATCTTGGAAGATCTGGACTTCGCCAATGTTATATGTCTGATTTCCCACAAACACTGGAAGATATGCAAGTGAAAAGCAACAAGTTGGTGATAGAAGAAGCATCAAAGATAGGCCTTAAGGTGAACATAGAGAAAACAGAGTTGGGCAATGAAGATTCCTGGCCAACACCGACAGCAACAACAGACAACAATCAGAATAAATGGGAGCAGTCTGAAAGAAACAACTTCCTTTACCTACCTTGGAAGCATCGTTTCAACTACAGGCGGATGGAACTGACGAGGATATCAAAGCAAGGATAGGGAAAGCAAGACAAGCTTTCATTACTCTCAAGTGAGTCTATGTGGAGGTCAACAGCACTCAGCATCGAAAATAGGATCCGGATTTTCAACTCCAATGTGAAGTCAGTGCTACTTGGTATACGGATCAGAGACTTGCCCAGCGCGTCATAAAGAGCATCTCAAACAAAATTCATCAACAGCTGTCTTTGCTCAATACTCAAGATCAGATGGCCAGAAAAGATAAGAAACAGGGATCTATGGGAATAGACGAACCAACCCAGCAGGAACCGATTGTGAAACAAATAAGCAAGAAGAAATGGAGATGGATTGACCATACTTTGAAGAAACTATCAAGTGACATCACCAGACAAGCCATCGCTCGAGTGGAACCCGAAAACGAAGCAACGAGTTGTTCGTCAGTGCAAGGGTGACCTGGAGGAGGAGTAGGTCGCGTGGAGAGGAGATGAAAGCATATGGACAGACTTGGAGTGGGATGAAAAAGTTGGCAGAGAACCGAAGGCAATGGCGACTTGGGCAGCTGAAGCCCTATGTTCCTCTAGGAATTAAAGGATATAATGATAATAATAATAATAATCCTTGACGCACTTAGGCTGCCCGAGGAGTATCATAACGAAACATATGACAGCATGGAAGAAACTGCTGCTTATTAAGTTACAGTTTTAATGGAGGACTTGTCAAGTGAGATTTTGTCGCAAAGATTTTCTGCAGGAAATCTATGTTTGCTATTCTCTGTCTAGTCGACAAATGATTGGATCACACTGAAACGCAGGATAAGCTAGATAGTTTTGTCATATATGTACGTGTTATATTTGTTAGTTCAACTGCTCCTATGGAGACAGTTATCTTGAGTGTAGTACTAGACAGCTTAGATAACGCACGTTACTGACAAATGACTCTTTTGTCCTATTTAGTTGATAGTTTCATTTAGTGTAGAAAGCGATAGCGTCCAATAGTGATTCGTCGCATCCCATCTAATCTTTACAGTAGACATCGTAATCGTCTGCTAAATATGTCGCTGAAGTGATAGGCAGCCGAGCTATTAAGCTTAAACTATATATATTCAAAAGAAGTCTTTACACAGCGATTATCCTTTCCTTGGACAATTAGCACCTGACCAACTGATGACGTCACAAACAATTCCTCATCATTCCCTAATCTTATCACATCTTCATTACATACATAGGTAATCTACTTGGCTTACAATCTAGAATCACCGAATCGGACCATTTTATTTTTCTTAGCCTTTATTGATATTGTCTGCCTGGAGGTTTCTCTGCTTAACCATAGAGTTTTTTTTATTAGTCTTGTAATCAAACAGAGAGCTCCACAAACCTCAACTTCACTGTTGATATAAAAGTATGTTTATTTAACTAATTCATATGCATTTGTGTTGACGGAAGGGACTCTAAACAAAGACCTCCACTGAAGTACTGCCATCATCAATACGTATGGTTATATTAGATAAACAAAATGTGATTATATTATTCATATTTTTTGTGTTTAGATATTAATTCAACTGTTTGTTACTTACAGTTCTTAGATTCTCCCTCAACTATCGAGGCCTTCTCCACTGAAATTATACAAAATATACTATTAAGGGAGGTAAATAAAATAAAATCAATAAATAAATGTAGACATTATCCGTAACATTGCATTCATATCATTGATATAAATATAAAACTTCGGCACTGTGATAGGGGATAACTTCATTAGTCGAGAAAGAAATTGGAAAAGTTTACTTTTATAAAAGATATGTAGATAACGTAATAGTCACTTGTGTTAAATCGATAGATGCCATAGAAATCCTGAACCAGATCAACAGAGTATAAAACAGTATATCGCTAACATACGTTAAAGAGAATAGTGATTGCCTGCCATTTTTAGATGTACTAACAACTCGCCGAGAAGATGGGTCAGTAAAACGATCTGTCTACAGAAAGTCAACATGGATGGGACAGTATCTAAATTATCATAGTTTCTGGCCACTACAGTGAGTCGGTGGTACAGTGGTTAGGACTCTCACCGACCATGCTCATGGTCCGGGATTCGAGCCCACGCCGACGTACAACTGATATCTATGGTTGGCCTGCAAAATTCGGGCTACCGATATCCATGCTGAAAATTCCATACTTGTACCAAAAATACGGTGTGGAATCAAGCCGTAATCAAAATAAAAAAATAAGAAAAAGAAAGGCGTTGGTTAAATGTCTGTTCAAGCGCGTTCATTCACCGTATATGTACTGCCGATACAATTGAAAAAGTAAGACAACACCTCACTGAGACATTACTAGATAACAATTACCCACTGAGATTTATTAGGCGTTACGGAAGTGTCAGTCATAGAGTTTTGCCAATCCAGCCAGCTCCCAAAAAAGATGTTTACATATCTCTGCCGTTCAGATGTGATCAACAAAGTCTAGTCACTAGACAAAGACTTAAGACCGCAATTAGTAGAACCTGTTATTCAGCTTAACTTATCTTCATACAGAAAACGAGAACTATGCTGTCCTGTAAACCCTCACATTATCCGAACGATAGTGTCGCATCCCACTGTGTTTATCAATTTACATGTGTGTGCAGAGACACCTACATTGGGAGGACCCATCAGTCTCTGCAGGTTAGGGCTGCAGAACACATTCCAAAGTGGCTGCAACAACAAATGAAATCGTCAGACACAACTGACCCCGGAAATAGATGTCCAACATCATCTATAGCGAAGCATATTATAGAGACGGGTCATAAGAAGGATTTCAACAGTGCCTTTAAGACGATATATAAAACAAGGTTGGGCCACATACTTAAATTCATTGAAGCCATAGCCATAAAATGACTTAAACCTGTCTGCCTTATGTGTCCAAAAGATATTTGTTATCACCTTAAACCTGTCTTGGTAATCCAAGTGAGAACCAAGGACTAATTTACTTCATAATATTTTCAACCCCTTCTTTGCATTGTATTTCTCTTTTCTCTTTTCATCTTTCTTACCCACACCTTTTAAGTCTCCCTATCCATTACTTGTGACCTTGACCTGTACACAATCTGTAATTATTCATGCCTTCTTGCTCTCTATAAAAAATGTGTATGACAAGTACTCGTGTGCATGAGTGATCGGAATGTCCGAAATGTTTTGCACCAATACATCACACGTTTCAGACAAACTACGTTTTCTTATTGTGTTGTCGAAATTCATAAAGGGAACTAATTGCTTTAAATCCATTGTAGATAAGATTTTCTTTTGATAAATCACACAGTGGTGTTATATAGTAATATTAACTGATGACCACCCTTCGAGGACAAACTACTGCCACTCATAATCATATCAAGACACTATTCACACAACTTTTTTCCTTCATTCATATAAACGTGTGGCATTGACTTGATATTTGAATAAAAACCAATATGGGATAAGGTACATTCAATAATAATAATAATAATAATAATAATAATATGAGTGTTATTGACCAAATACAGTCAGATGGGAAATAAGACGAGTGTTTTTATAGTCGTCATAATAAGTAACTTGTTAGAATGTTGTGATGTGTTGGAATTGAAATAGAATTTCGGGATTATTTATTATCCTCTTCTGATTTGACTGACTGAATGGGGGTAATAATATCTTCCATGCATATCCCTGGCATTTTCATTGAGTCATTTTTATTGCATGTGTTGTGTTGGGTGTAGACTCGATGAGCCAAGCAGGATTCAGTAATCAATCTCTCTCTTCACCTACCTAGATTACTTCTTAGAACTTTTACCCTCTCCCAACCACCCTATTGTGTGATTGTGTGTTAATGCATGCAGTGCAGTTGCTAAGCTTTTTTTTAAAAATTACTTATCTCCTCGGTGTCAACCATACGTACCTTAGCTAAATTCTTATGTTCCGGCAATCTGATCACCTCTGATCTATTAGTTTGACCTATGTAGTTGACTTAACTCGCAGTCATTAAAAGGTATTTTGTAGATTATATTATCTTCTCTAATTCGGTCCAAAGGGTCCTTCAGTCTACAGAGTTTGTCTCTGAGTGAGTCTGTAGGTAAAAGCTCAGCGACTGCACTGCAGGCAGTAACACACGACCACACAATAGGGTGGGTTGGAGAGGGTTAAGATTCTAAGAAGTAATATAGGTAGGTGGAAAGCGAAAGCGGTTGATTACTGAATCCTGCCTGGTTCATCCAGTCTACACCCAACACAACATACGCAACAGAAATGACTCAATTCAAATACGAGAAATATGGAAGATAGTGTTACCACCAGTCAGTCAAATCAGAGGAGGATAACAAATAATCCCGAAATTCTATTTCAATTCAAACACATCACAACATTCTAACAAGTTACTTATTATGACGACTATAAAAACACTCGTCTTATTTCCCATCTGATTGTGATGGATGAATAACACTGGTATCATTATTTCTGAATGTACATTATCCTATATTACTGATTTCTATTCAAATGTCTAATCATCAATTCCACACATGTATATAAATGAAGGAAATAATCTGTGTGATTGAGTGACTTGATAAGATTATGAGTGGCAATAGTTTTTGCTCGAAAGGTGGTCATCAGTTAATATTATTCTATAACACATTATGTGATTTATCAAAATAAAATCTTCTCCATAATGGAGTGTGTTTATATCAACTCAGATTTTAACTGTCATGTTCAGTGATTAAGTGAGTGAATAAATAGGTAATCAAGCAAGCAAATCAATTCAATGTGAATGTGAAGCCACATAAAGTTAGCTTAGGAAACAACTACAAACCAATATTTGAATATCTATGAGATGCTAACTGGTGACTGGTCCTATTTAGGTAGGTAGTTAGTTACCTGGGCTCTAGTGGAAAGTCGTGACCAGTAGGGTGCAGCAGGTCGTGTATGAGGACAATTACTCGCCATAGAAGACATTGGCTATTGGTTACACTATGTCGTGAATCGGCAGAAGGTTAAAATTCATAGACTGGTCATTGGATCGGGTCCCAATGGCTTAATACTCTTCGAGCTAGCTCACCTTGTAACCAGAAGGTCCTGGGTTCGAACCTCTGTAGTGAGTGGCTGCGTACTGATTAATAGTCGAAAAGTAGTACAAAACAGCTGTCTAGTACTCCCATCTAGTTTTCCAGTGGTTCTCTAACGAATATCAGCTCATGATGAAATCCTGTAACCAATCAATCAAATCCCTACTAACCACTACTTGAACAACTAATTTCCTTCGAGTATGAACCTGAAGTATGATGGGTCAAGAGGATGAAAGCAATCGTGAGTGGTCTCCATCCATGTTATAGCCAGATGGCTACAACATCACAATAGGATATTCCAGTTGTGTAAAAAACAGGAGGTTAATAAAAGACCTTTATAGTAGCCATATAGAACACTGGATATGGCAGTTACAGCAGTCTTCAAGTATTGATTTTTTAGGGGTGAGAACTGAGATAGTGGACAGCAGAGAAAGGTGCTTAGTGAGATCCGATTGGCCTAACAAGTACGATCACCCAGGTCTGGCACTCGATGTCATCCCCATTTAGCAGGTTTAGGTAGATAATCTGGGACTTTGGGGCCTTCTCCGTTAGTAGGAGTGGCAGGACCTGGCTGCTACACCGTTTTCATGCAAGCGCACTAGTTAGAATCTGACCCAGACCACCGGGTCGATGACGATGATTGACCTGGAGAGCAGGAAACTAAAATAGCCAAATATAACATTGGATACGACAATTACAGCAATCTTCAAGTATTGGTTTTGTAGGGAATTTTGTATGATTGCTTAGAGCATTTCATCATGGGCTGACATGAGTTAGAGAACCATTGGAATACCAACAGGCACTACCTGAAAGCTGTTTCGTCAGCCTAGTTTAGGAATTGTCATCGGTACCCACCCACCACAAGAGTTCGAACCCAGAACGTTCTGGTTATAAGGCGAGCTAACTCGTATACTATTGAGTCACTCACTGGTCGTCGAAGCAAATAATACAAAATCAAACATGAGGAAATTCAAAACTGTAATTGACCATCTCCAATCAACTCATCCAAGTAGGCGGAAACGGCAGCGTGGCACGCCTGTTAGTTTGCTATAACTTATATGCAAAATGATTTCATGGGATGTTGTTGTAAGCAGACACATAAATTCACTTAATTGCATACTAATACTATCATAGACTTTGAAAAGGCCTTCAACAGCACTGACAGAGAAGTGATTCTGAAATTATTTCAAAAAACTATCAAGTTCCTGAAACCCTTAACAACCTCATTCAACAGCCATATATAACAGACAATGCCACATGTCAATTAATCCTCAAGGGGAACGTCGGTAAATACGTAGAAGTGAAAGGAGAAGTAAGATTAGACTGCCAGTCTGCTATCCCTGATGATGTTGATTATAGTCATGGGATGGATTGATTCGGACACCAGAATTGGGGAGCCAGAAAATAGGAATACATTAGACTGATCAATAAGAAGACGCAAGAAGATGTGGATTTCATGGCGGTCAATTTACATCTCTAATGTCTCATAGATTCAAAGACCCACATAGGAAAACTATTCAAAAGAAGTAGGCAGGAAGGAAAAGTTTCCCAGCGGATTGATAACAATTAGAAAACCATTGAAAACCGCCAGAAATCACTGGAAAATTGTTGGAATTCATGGGTTACCCATTGGTCAGTTAGGTTCTAGTGGATGAATGATCTACGAGCGATTGCCTTGTAACCGGCAGTTGACGGCGATGAGTTCGAAGCTAGGACAAAACAGTTGGCTGTCCAGTACTCAAACTGATATCAATCTGTTGTCAGAACAGAGACATGCATATATATTTATATAACAACTTGTTAGGTTCAGAAATCAATCGAATAAACATCGAATGTACATGATAAAGCGAATATTCTTACCTTCAGTAGGTCTCATTAAAAGATAGGCAATCACGGAGAGTAATGCAGTAATCACCAGAAAGCATCCAAGAATGATGCTCAGTTGTGTAGTAGTCCATCTACTTGATGGTTTATGATTTTTATGCATTGTTAACACTCACAAACTGAAACACAGACGGACAGACAGACAGACAGACCGACGGAGACTCACACAAGATGTGAAATATTGGTTCTGATTAGAAACTGTACTCAGCTTTTATACTTGTAGAAGACTTTACACGTCAGCAACAAATACAAAACGGAAACTATCTGCCCGTCATATTGTTGTGCTGTGATAATTCTTTATCTATATGATGATAGTCTGCTTATGTAACAAGACATTATAAACTTAGCACAGAATATTGAAACTATTTGGTCAATTACACACAACACAATCATTGTATAATTGGAATTTTAGATTAAAAAAAAATAATAAATCAGACTAATTAAAAAGGTCATTGATTATGGTTATATGATCCGTTGTTGTATGCATGAAATAGCTTATAGAAGACAGACTGATTAATAAAGCCTGAAAACTTTCACTGCGCGGCATAGTGATTTCATTTATCGCGCTTTGTTTGAATGAAAGACTAATTCCCTGAACATAGGTTGGATTAAGGGAGGATAGGTTGTATCCAAGGATGGTAGGCAGAATATCATACGATTCAATTCGTCATCAGTTCCTACATTTATATGACACTAATTATTTTAATTATTGTTCCCTTGGGTTCCTAGTGGAACATAGGGCTTCAACTGCACGTATCCACTTGCCACTTCTGTCTTACTTTTGCTGTACTTTTCACCTGCATCCATGTTAGTTAGTCCATACTCTTTCAACTCCTCTTCACACGATCTTCTCCATGTCACCTTTACACCGACGACCCACTCGCCGCTTCCACTCGAGCAACGACCTGACGCGCGCGCGATCTCATCCAGTGGCCTCCTCAGTGAGTATCCAATCCATCTTTCTTCACTTTCTCTTGCATATTTGTTGGCTGGCGATTGGTTCTTGTTTTGTTTGTTTGTTCCCATAGTTTCTTCTTGGTGATTCCTTCCGGCCCGGCCATCTGATCTGAACTTCAGTATAGAGCGAAGACAGTTGTTGGTTGATAAAGGTCTGCAACCGGCTGTTGGAAATATTCTTTGTGACCCCCCCCCCGCCAAGTTTCTGATCCATATAGAACAACTGACTGACTGACTTGACGTTGTTTGTATTGAAAATCCGACGGAATTTTGTTGTTGATGCTGGCTGAGTGACGAAGATTAGTCTCCAGATTGGTTTCAGGTTGATGAATGTGTTTCTCTCTGGCCTTCCCGATTCTCGCTCGATTTGACATCCTCATCCGTTCCGACTGCCTGTAGTTGAGATAATGCTCCCTAGATAACTGGTCCGGCTGCTTTTCCAGCTTTCAGAAGCTTGATTGCATTCAAGAATTCAGCTTTCGTTGAAGGATTGGTGTCATTTTGCAGTTGTGTACGTGCTGTTGTTGGTATGACACTAATAAATAGACAAATATTGTTATTTATAAGATTAGTGCTTCGTTTTAAAATTACCTTGGATCGATCAATAGTGTCGATAGGTGGTTACAAATCAATCAAGCATCGATAAGACAGAGAGAGAAAATAACACTAAGCTGACTGAATATCAGATGAATTAAGGCATGTAATACAGAAGTTGTGAATTTAGAAGCTCCATAGCCGGTACGGACAGAAAAAGTGACTGGCTGGCTGCACCTGTTTCTCTTGTACTCAGACCTTCGATTGATTTAGCTGAATTGCGACAATAGACTCTGAAGTTTTGAGTGTTGGGTATTTGGAGGCCTTTAGCCACTTCATTTGTTTTTGTGGAGTCGCATCAGCCAGCTCCCGTGAAATGATCGCTGACGAAATCTTAGCACGGAAAAGAAGGCTCTTTTACTTGTCATACGTCAACTTATGCCATATCTGGAGTAGACATGATTTCCCCCTGGTTGTCAACCAAACAGTTTGTGTGTGTGTACTGCTCAGTCGTTCGCTCTGTCCTCCATTATGTCTGTGAGATATGGCCATTAAATATTGTTGGAGACATGAAAAGGCTAGTTGTCTTTGATCAGAGGTGTGCGCTTTCTATTTTCCGTGTTAAAGTGGTTAGGCATCCAGTGTTAGGTAAGGAGGGAAAATAAATTGACAGGGTTGTGAAATTACGCCGATTGAGGTGGTTAGGACATGTGTTATGCATGCAGCCTAAACATCCGTCGCCTTCCTCAATCACAAGCAGTGTTACCTGACATAGGATCAGGACGGAAAAGAGTTAGAGGTGGCTAAAGCAAAACATGACTTCATCATTCAATGAAATCCATAACAATTAGTTAAACCAGCCATATTTGCACATGTAGAATTCCTGGTTGGTTGAGGTCCTCAGGATGGTAAAAACCATTGAAAGCTGAAGACCTAACATTGGTAATATGGCTCCGAATTGTTCTCAATGACTCTTGCAGATCCATTCATTCTTTGTGATTTCAATGTAGAAAAAATTCCCACTTAGACATTTAGAAAACAGAAAGATTGAGCGAGCGAAGAAACATTCACCTTTCAATTAGATCCTCATCTCACTCTGGCTCTACTCTAATATGCACACATGTATAGCACTTTTTATTACAATACACAACAGTTTGCCAATCAAGTGGCGATAAGTTTGTTAACAATAATTAGTCAGTCAGTGTCAAAATGTCAATGGGGTGATAATTAAAGAAGAAAATTAGTATATGTATAATTAAAAGGTGGAAATGGTTACAACACGTAGATTGCATAATGCATAATTTAGGAAAAATGAAGAGCAATTAAGGAATAAGCGTGTGTACAGGTTGATTGCGTAACAGATTGTTAAAGAAAATAAAACAATTTGCACAATGATAATTTATAACTAAAGTTGACGTGGTCATAAGAATAAAATAATTTGGACAATTATAGTTTTTATAGTTTTTTAAAAAGAAAAAATATTTTAGGGAGAGGGGATGAAGTAGTCTGGTTTCTACAATCATATAACGATGGCCAAGGTAGGGAAAGTGGCTGTACAAATTTCTTCTGGACACACACAGGTTTAGCTTGTTCTTCAGGTGGATTCCTATTGCTTCAGCTGTTGTATGTAGAAGACGAACTCGTAAAGCAAAATTAAGATTAGTAGGAATGCGATAAATAATTTCAAATGCAGTATTAACGTCATCCTTATGCTCACTATCTACAAGGTGGGCTAAAATAGAACTACGAATAGATCTTGTTTGTCCCTTGCTTAACCATGTTGGATGATATTCGGAAATACGACGATGAACTTGTCTAATTGTACGCCCAATGCAGCTGGCTCTTCAGCTGCAGTCAAACTGGTAGATACACATAGAGGTGGAGGCAAATTTAGGTAATTTATCCTTATTCCTCGAACGTAGAATAGGTGTGGTTGTGAAGAGACAACGTACATCTGCTGCATAATAATAAGCTCTTTTAACTGCATTCTTCAGGTGCTGTGTTATTATTTCGCTGATGTTGTCACTGAGGAACTGGAATTTTATGAACAGTGGTTTTTTCGGAACTGTTGCCATATTGACTGTCCTAGGTGATGAATTCATATTTTTCTCAATGAACTTATGTGGATGATCATTTTTTCTAAGTAATTTTCTAGTAATCTTAAGCTCCTAGTTGAGGCACTTCATCTTTAATTTACGCGTTATCCTTGTAAAATTGATTTATTGTAACCATTTCTACCTTTTAACTGTGTGCATTGATTTTCTTCGTTAATTATCACCCTGCTGTTTGACATTTTGGCACTGTTTAATTATTGTTAACAAACTTATCGCCACTTGGTTGGCAAACTGTTGTGTATTGTATTAAAAAGTGCTATACATGTGTGCATATTAGAGAAGAGCCAGAGTGAGATGAGGATCTAATTGAAAGGTGAATGTTTCTTCGCTCGCTCAATCTTTCTGTTTTCTTTGTGATTTGTCATATCCGATGTATTTCTATTTTTCTTCCATATTACTTTTCTCTCTCCTCCACACCTCTGTTTGTTATCTCCGTCTCCCTCTTGAATCTCGCTTTTTTCTCTTTTCTTGCTTTGTGTGCTAAATGGAAGGAGAGTGGCAAATGGAACTGCTACATATCTGTGCATAGTTACACGTTGAAACTAGTCCTGTTCAGTCCAGAGGCCTTTATTAATTTATTCGACACTCCACAGATGATAGAGAATGACTCTTCAATATTAACTATTTCTATGACCTGATTGGATGAGGCGATCCAGTATAGGGCCGTTTTTGGTTGCGACAACACCTTTATTTCATCCCACTGGTAGGAGGTATGTTCCCGAGGACGAAAACTTAGGCTCCAAAAGCAACGGCCGATATAACCGGCCTAAGTAATTCATGTTTCAATTTCAGAATTACAACCGGTTGTATGGAAAATATAAGCAATAGTATACCGGCATCAAGCGTTCTTTGAAACGATTTTCTCAACTTTTTGGTTATTTTCAAGCATTGATTTGTAGGGATTTGACTGATTGGTTACAGGATTTCATCATGAGCTGACATCGGTTGGGGAACCACTGGAAAACCAGCAGGGAGTACTGGACAGTCGGCTGTTTTGCCCCAGTGTGGTGCTCTTCAGAAGGTCACACCCGCTCACAACTGGGATCCGGACCCAGGACTTCCTGGTTACAAGGTTAGCTAGCTCGTAGACCACTGAGCCGCTGAGACCCGGTCAAATGGCCAGCCCATGAATTCTGACTTCTTCCAATTCACGACATGGCGCAACCACTAGCCAATGTCCACTGTGATGAGTAATTATCCTCACACCCGACCTGTTGCACTCTAGTGGTCACGAGGTTCCACTAGTACCCCAGGTAACTACCTACCTGAATAAGGCCAGTCGCTAGTTATTATTATTTCACTTGGATATGTATCACCTCCGAACTGTAGTCTTACACATAAAGAGGGTTCTTGATAACAGATACTGAAGAATTCTCTTCTACTCCCATGGCCAAGTGTTCAGTGATGAAGTTTTCAGAGTAGCTGTTTTCAATTAACATGTATCGTACACAACCTTAGGTTCGTCTTCAATCAAATCTTCGAAAGAAGTAGCCCTGAC